ATTAGCGACATTTGACATTTTTTGTCGAAATAATCAACATAGACAATGAATTTCGTGTGTTAAAAAACATGGATTGAAATCGTTTCAGAAACTTGTGAAGGCTGAACCTTTATCGGAAAATCTTCATTGAAATCCATATTTTCGATTTAAATGCAGATTGCCTAACTTATAGCATAAACAGTGAAACGACGCGGTGTATGTTTGGTTGCATATGCTCCAATCGTGCATTAATAGACGAATTGATCATTTATAAGGGGTACTTAACGATCAATTTAATAAACATTGAACTGACTCGTTAATACTAGAGACACTAGATGGTATTAGTTAGATAAGTTAATACGAAGTCGACGGAAAAGAATACAGGGTTTTCAAACTTATTGATTCGTCACTATAGCTATCTTGGTTATTGGAGCTACGAAGTCGGTTAAATGGAGAAATTAGTAGGTAGTATTTTTCCGCTAATCTCGATTATGGATACGAATCAAAAATTCAACATCGCGTTTACAAGTTATGTCAAAAAGTTGATTTTTTTTCAATGGAACAGTATACAATATTCTCAATCGATAGGGTATACGATTCTGAACAAGAACAGTCCTATAAACGTTCCTATCCTATCCTTAATTAAAAAATGACTGAGCTATAGACAATTTCTTTTCATTGAAAAGGAATATTCTCAGATAAATTATGAACACGAAAAAATGGATATAAACATATTATAAAGTGGCACATTGAGAATTCGCATTCTCTATGCGATGAAAATATCAATTCTCTCTAGGTTTATTCAACAGAAAACACCTATTTTCCCGATATTTTCCTGGCTATATACCACGACGAACATTGAATTATATCTATTGAACACACACAATAAGAATTTTGAAACAAAATCTTCTGAAGTTGAGAATCTGTATTCTCCTTCAGATGAAAATATGTATATGCAGATAATATCATTCTGAATATTCAACAGAGAACAACTACTTTCCTGGCTACTTCCAAAAGAAGAGCATGAAGAATAAAAATCCTCTAGAAATGAGGATTGTCATTCTCTCTCGAATCGAATAAGTAATATGATGTATTCTGATATAAAAATATAACTTACCAATATGTTCAGTATTGAAATTAAATGTATAGGAGAAGTATACGTGTACAAACTCTGATCCTAATGAGCTTGAAATTTTCAAAAAAAAAATCATTCGTTTCAGTGACATGGGAATTATATCTCTCACAAACAGGTTAGATGACTTCATTCGAATGAACTCATTTCGGATTTCAAACCCTCCTCAGTAATCTGAAGTCCAGTTCATTCTTTCAGCCATACTTCATGATAAACACAATTTTCATTTCTCTATAATATAACTAAAATTATAACGAACTGACTCTTGGAACCATTTGCTGATATCCAATGACTGTCATCTGGTTGTTTATGTTTCTAGATGTATGACAAATTGATATTCATCATACAGGACGTGGAAAGAAATTCTGAAATGGAAAAACTTAATCACGAATCTGCGATTGAAGGTCTGTAAGAATAACAAGTTTTCATCATTGAAGTTTGAACCCCTTGATTGGGTGAAAGTATTGAGAAAATCCTCATGACATGAACATATCAATTCTTTCTCGGTTCATTCGAAAGAAAAAAACTATTTTCCTGGCTATATGCCACGACGTATTGTTCAAATATACGGAACGACCCTGTAGATATTTCTTTCTTTCCACTTATTCCCTATATACCTGGGATTACATTTCTTGTTGGGGTTTCAATCGGTCAAGAAAGTGACGTAACTGATAATTAGTCATTAAGGTGATGAATCAAAAGCCAGGCATAATTGTATTGAATTTCAATGAGTACGGTCGATTCAAGTGAGAAACGAACAAAGTCACAAAATAAAGTTCCTTGTTCAGTTCAGTGATAATAGTGGTACTTTTGTGAGGTTGTTTGTGTGTGGTGCGTGTGTTTGTGTGTGGTGTAGGTATTGTTCTGGTATTTTGCTAAGGAATACGACATTGTAAAGTGGTGGACTATTTCATCGAAATCTATTATTTCACAAGCTGGTAAGTGTTTTTTTATTATGATATTGAGGAATTTGAAACAAGGGACTAAATAAACTGCTCAACAAATGAAACGTGAAATCGCATTTTTTCGATCGAATTTGAATCATCATAACTTTCGATTTCCTCAACCAAGTTTCGATTATTTTCCAGTTCCTGAAAGCTCGTTTTATTGACTATCGAGCCTATGGATATGATCTCTTCCAGATGAGATTCTACAGGATGATATTCAAAGCTGTGCATTTCTCCAAAAATTTCAAACAACTCCCGTTTGAAAGAAAAATTTTTCTATTTCTTTTTGAGGTCGAAAACAGATCAATCGAATAGGGAGATGTCCAAGATAAGTTTTCATGAACATCAAATTCGAATACTGATCGTATTCTCATTCTTCTTCGAACCTTTCTTCATGAAAAACGACTTTTATCGATCATTCAATCACACAGTCGAAAAATCAGTAGACATTGTGAGTGTAAAGAATCACGTCAGGTACCCTTACGAGGGGAGAGTATCAACTATGGCGTTTGTAATGCCTCTCTACGAAGGAGGATGGCGCCTCTAAGGGTAAGGTAAAGACAGTGGTTTCATACCAGTTTTTTCCAAATTATTTGTGCACTATAGGGCAGCAACAGTCGTTACAATGAAGCTGTGCTCTTTCAAGGAGAGACACATGCTTTCTTTCATGAATGTGAATTTCAATGAATAATATATTTTGTACTATCTGGGAAGCATAATACTAATCGAAGTGTTTTTTTAGGATATTCCAGAAGCAATGTGAACTATGGCAGATATCTCATCATTCGAGATCCTTTAATCGTCCAAGACAATTCACTTAGCAGGTCAACATCTGTCAGACAGATTAATGGAATAAGAAAATGTCCAAGATAAGTTTTCATGGACATAAAATTCAAATACAGATCGTATTTTTATTCTTCTTCGAACATTCCTTCATAACAAACGACTTTTATTGATCATTAAATCAAACGGTCGAAAAATTAGTCGACATTGTGAGTGTATGGAATCACGTCAGGTACCCTTACGAGGGGAGAGTATCAACTTTGGCGTTCGTAATGCCTCTCTACAAAGGAGGGTGTCGCCTTTAAGAGTTAGGTATAAACAGTGGTTTTATACCAGTTTTTTCCAAATTATTTGTGTACTATAGGGTAGCAACAGTCGTTTCGATGAAGCAGTGCTCTTTCAAGGATAGACCCATGTTTTCATTCATAAATGTGGATTATAATGAATGATATATTTTGTTGAACCAGAGGAGCATAATACTAATCCAAGATTTTTTTTAGGATATTCCAGAAGCAATGTAAACTATGGCAGATATCTCATCATTTGAGATCCTATAATCGTTCAGGACAATTCACTTAGGAGCTCAACATCTGTCAGACAGATTTATGGAATAAGGAGATGTCCAAGATAAGTTTCCATGAACAATAAATTCAAATACAGATCGTATTTTTATTCTTCTTCCAAGATTTCTTCATAAAAAAAGACTCTTATCGAGCATTCATTTAACAGTAGAAAAATTAGTCGATATTGTAAGTGTATGGAATCATGTCCGGTACCCTTACGAGATGAGTGTATCAACTTTGGCGTTCGTTATGTCCAAGTTATGTCTCTCTACAAAGGAGGGTGTCGTCTTCAAGAGTTAATAAGGTGTGTTCATGCTTGTACGAATTCCGCAAAATTTATGCGAATAAAATGACGATTGCGATTATCGCAATGAAGTTGAAATATTTGAACTTTCTTGCGAATTCGAATGGAATCATAATCACATAAAATGTATTGTTATTTTGATAACATCAAAATTGGAGATTTAGAGAGGACTGCAGAGTTCGAAAAAAGACACTAGAGTACAGGTAATTACAGAATTATAATAAAAAATTTCATCATTTCTTCATTCGATTAAATTTTCTTCGCAGGATGGAATTTTAAAGAATCATCTGTATCGTCTCTATTGAACTAAGGATGTATCCAGAAGCATATAAAACAGCTGTACTTAACGAAGCATATTTGAATGCCGAAAACTGAATGGAGATTAGTACAGACTCGTTCGATAAATGCGACTGAATTTTTGCTTTCGTGTGACGTGCCTTTAATTTGATGAACTTCTATCAATGGTGGGACCAGAAATAAAGAAATTAATATCACAACAAATTTTGTCGCATGAGTATGAACGTCAAATTCTGTCGGAAATTTCATATCTTGCGATTCGCATAAATTTTGGTGGTTTCATACCAGTTCTTTACCAAATTATTCATGCACTATGGGAAAGCAACAGTAGTTTTTTTGATGAAACAGTTCTCTCAGAAGGGGTAGAAAAATATAATACTAAATCAAGCTCTTCTTTCAGGATATTCCTGCAATGACCCAAATTATTCAAGATTACTCAGATTCTCACAAGAATTCCACATTTGTTTGTGAAACATTGTACTTTATTGGAATTCTTCTTATATAAGTGAATACCTTCCTAGATAGATTGATAAAATTATTCAAGTTGAACTATTGCACATATTTCAGAATCGTAAAACCTGTATTTGCAAGGAATCTATATTCTCTTGTAGGAAACTACACTTTGAAATATATCATTATTATTGATGAATCAAATATGCGAATCTTGAAAGTACGTTTTCAATAACATCAAATTTATCTTTCTTCATGCTCAAAATATTACCAATCCATGTTTTTAGAGAAGCACAGTGTTCGCACTTGTCACTAAATCCTGTAACCAGTAACCACCAAAAGAAGCTGAGTTGAGAGATCGTATTTCCGTTTTTCCATGTTCAATATGAAACTGCAGGAATTTCACTTCGGCTTCAGCTATCTATTATATATCTGTCGAACGGTCATTTAGGCTCTGTCATGCGCTTACGTCAGCCTTGCATACGTCATCGTTCGTCAAATGTCAAATTCTGTCAAATCAAAAAAGTAATGTGAGGTTAGAGGTTAGTTTATTATTTTTAATTTGGATTAAAGGCTGGAGAGTAGATATTTGATCAAATTCCTGGAAATTTCAAGAGAAATCTCTGAATATATTAAACGCATTATGCACTGGAGCTGCGAAGATGATGAGTGATCTAACGGGGACAACTGCGATTTCCTTTATTCATGAATATAGATGTAAATATTGTATAGCATAACAGAAAGTGCAATAATGGAAAAAGAAAAAGAAGGAAAGCTCACTTGGTCTGAGCTGAAAGGAGTGGTCAGTGATCTGAGAAGACAACTCTCCAGCTTATCTACCATGGTGCCAATCTCTATCACATTCAGGACACTTCCGGATGGTAGAACTAGGATATATTTTCTGAGTACCCCTCATAATGGTTGGGAGACCACATTGTTATTTGCTGATGTGCCCAACTGCATTCAACCTACTAGTTTGAGACTCCAGTGGCAATGTGTGATAGAGTCAAATTTTCCTAGTGTTTCTTCATCTAATAAATTCTCTAGAGAGGAACAGTTGCTATGGGAGAGAAAACGTTTGACTACTTGGGGTATAAATTCCTATGAAATTCATGGGGAATCTGGGAAAATAGTGTTTCCTGCTGCCAGTAGTTTGTTCCAATGTATAGATAGTGGATATTCGGTAATGTAGCATCTTATTTTTATTTCAGTGATTTATCATGTATGCTATCACAGTGATATATTTTATACAGTGTGACCCATTTAAGATGGAAGCACCCTTATAAAACTTACATTTTTCAACCGATTGGAATGATTTTTTTTTGTTAGGTAGATATTCAAAAAGTCTATTAGGACACCAAATATCATGAATAAATCTCCATTTCCAGGGCCAACTAATCTGATTTTTCAAGGTCAAAAATCTAAAAAAATTACTAGCGATTTTTTTAGAAAAAATCTGACTACACCACTGGATTTGTGACATTTTCAAATGGGTAACATGTAAATTACATTGAAATGCGTCAATCAATAAAAAAGTTATAAAGGAATGAAATTTGAAAAATATGCTGTTTAATCAACCCATCAATTTTTATTACTGAACAGATTTCCATGAAACTGTGATCAGTAATATTTCAAATTTCAAAACATCCTGAATCCAGTGGAGTATACAGAATTTTCATAAAATTCCTGAACATGAATTGGTGGGTTGATTAAAGGGCATATTCTTCAAATTTCATTTCTTTATAACTTTTTTATTGATTGACGCATTTCAACGTAATTTAGATGTTACCCATTTGAAAGTGTCACAAATTCAGTGGTGTAGTCAGATTTTTTCTAAAAAAATCGCTAGTAATTTTTTTAGATTTTTGACCTTGAAAAATCAGATTAGTTGGCCCTGGAAATGGAGATTTATTCATGATATTTGGTGTCCTAATAGACTATTTGAATATCTACCTAACAAAAAAAAAATCATTCCAATCGGTTGAAAAATGTAAGTTTTATAAGGGTGCTTCCATCTTAAATGGGTCACACTGTATATGATCATTGTAAAATCTCTTTATCATAATTATGTGTAATTATGCATGTTAGTAGAGTGCTTTTGCTTTACTCATTTGCTAATTATAGGGGGAGTGTATAATCTCTGGTTGATGCAATAGGTAAATTCATATAATTGTAAAAAGCAAATAACTTCTTTGGCTGACTGTAATTTGAGCAATGGTATTCAGTATTCAGTATTTATCATCATAATTTATAGATACACCCAGATACACCCTTTTATTTTCTCTTTGAAAATAATGATTATATTAATTTCACCTTATCATTCTCAATTAATCATGAAAAAAATATTTTTGTGGAAAACCTGCATTCTCACCTTTGAACTTTCAAAAAATGATACCAACAACAAAATAAACAGTTATCTAGACAGCTACAGCTATTTATCTCAATTTGGACAATAGGCAAGATAAACAGGTTTGACAATACATTTATACCTATCTATTTGATTTAACAGTAATGCTGGGTTTATAGATTCAATTAAACTAACAACTATGAACTAAAAAAGTTGAATACAAGGAAACATTTATGAGGGTTTATACATTTACATCTGTCATTTAAATCAAGAATCAAGAACAGTGTGCTGTGGAAATATCCGAGATCATCATGCTCCGAATGGACACATACATACCTCATTTTTCGAAAAGATCATCACCTTCGAAACCCTGGTTCAACAAAAACTGTTCTAGAACTGTTGCCTTGAAACAAACAGCCTACCATCGCTGGCGCAAAAACCCTAACCTCGTGACTAGAGCAGAATACGTTGATGCCAGGAATAACTGCAGCCAAACAATAGATGCTTCGAAAGAAACATACAATGCCAAGATAAGATCGAAACTCATAGATTGCCCCAATGGCTCCCGTTCGTTTTGGTCCCTTGCTAAAGCGGTCGGAAGAAATTTCACTAATAGTTCATTTCCACCACTGTCCAAATCCGACGGCACATTAGCAACAACATCACAGGAGAAAGCGAATATTTTTGCAGAGATGTTCGCAGCAAACTCTACGTTAGAATCCCAAGGAAAACTGCCGCCAGACATTCCACCCGTTGAGAGTCGAATGCCCGAAATCGTCTTCCGTCAACGCACTATCAGACGAATTTTGCTTGGTCTCAAAACGAATAAGGCTAACGGTCCTGATGGAATTCCACCCATTATCCTCAAAAAATGTGCACCAGAATTAACACCGATTCTCTGCAAGTTGTTCACCATCTCGTACAGGTCAGGTATTTTTCCATCATGCTGGAAGACAGCTAGAGTCCAACCAATCCCCAAAAAAGGGAACAAGAACCTGCCCAACAACTACAGGCCCATTGCCCTGTTATCAGTAATCTCCAAAGTGATGGAGAAAGCCATCAATATTGAGCTTATCAAATATCTGGAGAGCTCAGGAATCATCAATGATAGACAATACGGCTTTCGCCACCGAAGATCTACTGGAGATCTACTTGCCTACGTCACCCATTTATGGCAATCTTCAATAGAAAAACACGGGGAATCTCTAGCTGTCGCGTTGGACATATCGAAAGCATTCGACCGTGTTTGGCACGAAGGACTCCTCCACAAACTACCATCATACGGCTTACCACCTCAGCTATGCCATCTCTTATCGAGTTTTCTTTCAGGCAGATCGCTTCACGTGGTGGTTGACGGTGTATCGTCTGATACCATTGGCATCAATTCCGGCGTTCCACAAGGATCAATTTTGGCACCAACATTATTCCTGCTTCATATCAACGATCTGTTGGGAGTAACAACTTGCCCCATCCACAGCTTTGCAGATGATAGTACCCTCCATACTGCGTTCTCTTCCAGAATTCCCATTTCTTCTCAGGAAACTAAGAACTCACGGCGCAGGCAGGTCAATGCTGTCAATGAAGATCTTGCTGAAATCACAACCTGGGGAACGAACAACCTAGTTGAATTCAACGCCACCAAAACTCAAGCCTGCATTTTCTCTAGAAAGGCGGAACTCAGTATGCCCGATATTGTAATGTCTGGCTCCACCATCCCCACCAAGCCCACCATATCTATGCTCGGTATTTCCATCAGCAACACTCTTTCATGGGATAATCATGTCAGATCCATCGCAAAAGCTGCTTCACAAAAACTCGGATTCTTGTTCCGTGCGAAAAGCTACTTTACACCTCAACAGCTTCTCATGATCTACAAAGCGCAGATACGGCCTGTTCTAGAATACTGTTCCCACATATGGGGTTCAGCACCAAAACATACGCTGATGCTCTTAGATTCCATCCAGAGAAGAGCCATTCGCCTGGTGGGTGACGCCACACTCACTCACTCTTTGACATCTTTGGAACACCGTAGAAAGGTCGGCGACCTTTCACTTTTCTATCGATACTTCCACGGGAAATGTTCTTCGGAAATCTCTGCAATCATCCCTTCACTAGCAATACCAATCAGACGAACTAGACAAGCCCAGTCAGCACATCCTTTCGTTGTCAGCCTCGAAAGATGTCGAACAGCACTTTATCAAGACTCCTTCATCCATAGAACGGCTAGGCTCTGGAATTCATTGCCTGTGGAAGTATTTCCAACAACATATAATCTCCAAAAATTCAAAAAAAATTCCAATACCTACCTCCTGTCCCTATCCTCCCTAGGAAAGCACGATGTTCTTTGAACATTATAGGGATTCCCTTTCGTGCGCTCCAATCGATAAAAAAAAAAAAAAAAAAAAAAACTACAAAGTTGGCCAACTTTCAACTTAACAACTAAGAATTATGAAATTCTGGAGACAGAACATGAATATTGGATTTGTAGTTGAGTTTGGTGATATCAAATTGGAATATTTATTATGGATTCATGAATAGTGGAGACCAAAATCTCTTTTTCACATCATTTTAATCTTTTATCAAAAGACATTTCACATTTAATTCTTAATTAATATCAAATATGTATAAACACTCTCATGATTATTAATTGTTGATTGTTGATTGATAATTCCTAATTGTTTTAATGTAATTGAATCTATAAACCCACCATTAAGGTAGACATAATTCATAATTTCATTTTTCTAAACTCAGAGGTGGTATCAATTTATGATTGAAATTGAAAAGTGGGTAAAAGTGCACTTATCATGGTATGGTATTTTTTTTGAAAATTGTTTTGGTACTTATGTATTTTTGTCTGAAAAACATGAATATCCCAATGAAAATGTGAACAAACTGCTATTTATCCTGATATTTTATGAAAAAGTTTGAAATTTCATCTTCTTTTGCCACCTATCTTGGATATTCATTTACAGCTACTTGTCCTTTTTGCATCACTGTACACTTTATTTACTCATGTTGTACTTCAATGACACATTTTATTTCCTAAAATCACCAAGAAGTATGGTTTATTTGGAATTCCATATGCAAATGAGGTAAATAATAGTTTGGTTTCTTGCAAATTTTTCCTACATTAGACCTAGATTGAGATGACTAGTAGATTTGATTCAGATTTGATAATTGAATGGCCATCAGCTAGTGTCCTGGTGTGATTGTTTACCTCACTAAAATATGAAAGAAATACAAATGAACCATAATTCTTGATGGTTTTAGGAAATAACATGTAATATTGAAGTACAAAGTGAGTATATAAAGTATATAAAAGAAGGACAAGTAGATGTAAATGAATATCCAAGACAGGTGACAAAAGATTGTAAAATTTCAAACTTTTTCCTAAAATATCTCAATAAATAGTGGTTTGTTCACATTTTCATTGTGAAATTCGTGTTTTTCAGACTGAAATACATATAAGTAGTTATCGACCTATATGACTTTTTTAGCCGCTACCGATAATGTCTTGGCCGATATCGGTATATATCAGCATATCGGCCTTTTTAATTGATAACATTCATTATTGATTATTATTGTTCAAAATCTCTAAAATCTGAATATTCTGTAATATAATTTATAATTCTTTAACGTTCAATTTAAAATCATGAAAATAAAAACAAAAATTGCACTTTGGCAACACACCAATAGGCGGTAATTTATGTGGCTCAGCGCCAAGTCATTGGTGAATCCCCTTAATTTCTCTTCTTGAAAGAAAAGCGAAGAGCAAGAAAAAAGAGGAAGTTCTACCATTATTATATAATCAAGCTCTTATATAATATTTATCTGCACCAGTCCGCAGTGTTGCAAGTGAGCAAATGTTTTCAGAAGCTGGAACCGTAAATTCGGCGAAAAGGAATCCGCTGAATCCAGAAACAACCGAGACACTTATTTTCTTACATGATAATTTGCCAAAACTACAGTATTCATATTGAATGCCTATTTCATGTTATATCTACCATAATTTCTTAAGATTACCTTATATCAAATATTACTTTAAATTTAAATTATTCATATTAAATGCCTATTTCATGTTATATCTACCATAATTACTTAAGATTATCTTATTTCAAATATTACTTTAAATTTAAATATAAAACAAATGTTTTGAGCTGCTATGGTTGTCTTTATTTATACATCGGCCGATATAGCCGATATATACTCACATCTATCGGCCGATACCGATAATCGGTCCTCGGCCAATTTAGCCGATATATCGGCATCGGTGTCGGTGGATCGCTATATACAGGGTGGGCCACCAGTAACGCCTCGGTCTCTAGAGGGCTAACCACTTATCTTCTTGGAATTCTTCCTCTCTAGGAAGTTGCATGTCAACATAGGCTACCATTTGAAATTATTTCGAAACATACAGGATGTCCCTAAAAATCACAAAACATTGAAGTTGAACTTTTTTCAATCGAACACCCTATATATTATTTAATTTTGAGATTCTCCCTGGTGAGCTGATTTCAACAATCCATCATACTTGGGGTCTAGCAGTTATAATTACTGAGATAGGGTGTGAGAAATCGAGATTATAATTACTGAGATATAGGGTGTGAGAAATCGAGATTTTCAAAGTTCAAGAATTTTTTGTGTCTAAACCATTCATAATTGGTCAAAACGGCTCACATGTCCCTATCTCAACTTTTGATCAACTATCTACTGACATTTAATTGAAACAAATACAGGGTGGTGCAGAATTCAGAATCTTGATCACCCGGTATATGACCCAATTAAATATCAGTAGATAGTTAATCAAAAGTTGAGATAGGGACATGTAAGTCGTTTTGACCAATTATGAATAGTTTCGACACAAAAAATTCTTGAACTTGGAAAATCTCGATATTTCACACCTTATATTTCAATAATTATAACTGCTAGACCCCAAGTATGATGGGTCGTTGAAATCAGCTCATCATCAGGGAGAATCTCAAAATGAAATAATATATAGGGTGTTCGATAGAAAAAAGTTTAACTTCAGTGTTTTATGGTTTTTGGGGACACCCTGTATGTTTCGAAATAATTTTAAATGGTAGCCTATGTTGACATGCAACTTCCTAGAGAGAAAGAATTCCAAGAAGATAAGTGGTTAGCCTTCTAGAGACCGAGGCGTTACTGGTGGCCCACCCATAAGTACCAAAAAAATTTTCAAGATGAACCCATCACATTATAAGTGCACTTTTACTGAAATTTACTGAAAAGTGTGATGATTTAGCAATCAACAGAATATCCACATATTATATTAATACAAATTTACCCAATGTTAAATGGAAATTGAACATTTTCATTTCATTTTTGAGAGGTTGGGGAGGATCTAGGTATACTCTAAGGTATATTCTCATGACTGAGTATCTGTTCCATTGGAACCAGTAATGACGTCATCTTGGAAAAATTGGCATTTAATAATATCATTTGTATTTTTATGAACAATGAGAAATATCTTGAGGTGTGTAGAAATTACTGGAGAAATCATAAGCTATAATACATTTTCAATAAGAAATTAGTAGATGGGGCTGCCTCTGAAGGAATTTTTATACAGGGGAAATAAATTCATGGCACTTAATTATCTCCCCCTTTACCCCTCCTTGATTGTCTCTAATATTAACCAATTAGAGCAAAGATCATTGTTTCCCTATTGTTCCCAATGCTGTATTCTTAATTGGAATGGACAATAGTACATCCTGTACAGGATGATCCATGGTGGACTAGGTATTAATCAATACAGTGATGCCAATTGTATCAGAAAATAGTGGAAAGTTTGTTTTTTCAGATAGTAAATCGTGGTAAATTATTTCTCCAGCTAGATGTGTTGAGTACAAATTCCCAAATTGTTCAACTCTTCGAATAAACTCAAACTAGAAACCAACTGTGTGGTTGTAAAATAGTATGTATATGTATTTATGCATCTATTGAGCCATTTTTTTTATTTCAACCTATCTTCTGTGAGAAATTCAAGGTCAAGAGTTATTGGTTTTGATTTTTTGAGGTTCTCTTATTCATATTTTTCCAATTGCCTCAAGAGGCAATCACAACGACATATTTTAATGAATTTTAGTGCATTAAGATCAGGGTTGGAATAAGTCATGAGTTTTATAAAATCAAAAAACTTTGACTTTTTGAATTAATTCGGACTTTTTTGAATTAATTCATTTGAGAACAAATCAAATTCTATTTACTTGAACAAAATACAAGAACATCAAAAAAACTAAGTTTTATTTCCGTTAAAAATCTCAAAGCGTGACAATAAAATACCTGAAATATGCAATTTTTGCAATATAAACTGAGACTATTGATTGAATGAAGAATGATGTTTATGCAAATAATATTTCTCATTCACAATCTTCATTATAGAGGCGGTTTATAGTTATTTTCAATAAAATGCAGCAATATCCATGGCGCGCCTACGAATTGGTGTCACCTTGGAAAGCAATTTTTCGATGCATTGCAAGAAATGAGTCCGGACATATTTATTCATATTGTGGTAATTTGTATTACTGGTGCAATTCTTCTGGTGACATGTTAGAATAGAATAGAATAGAATAGAATAGAATACTTTATTTCCTTCAGACTTGGATTTCCAAGTTAGATTTTCGGAATTCGCGCATCATTAGAAACACGTTGGATCTTACTTTTCTTGCCTTTCTCATGGTTTCTTCTACCCAACTCTTGACCCAACTCAAAACTCGGTGAGAAGTAATACACAGAATCTATGACAAAAAGACATTGCGAGCCGGTAATTCCGATTCAGTGTTGAAAAGCCTACATATTATTTTTGCCGGAAATATGAATGGGAGCAATCAATTGCATGCAATGAAATATTGTAAACTGTAAAGCGGCTCTCAGAAAATTTTGTTTTCCGCGTGTGGTGCTTCACGGTTGTCAGTTGTGAGATGCCATCGGAAATTTCATTTTGAACTAGTTTAAATTGAAGGTAATAATGCGATTTGTTCCCATTTGATAAGTTCCAATACCTACCTCCAATCCCTATCCTCCCTAGGAACGCACGATGTTCTTTGAACATTATAGGGATTCCCTTTCGTGCACTCCAAGCGATAAAAAAAAACATTCCTCTGATGTCCTCAAAATAGCATAGGTGACTTTTATTTTTAGAATGGTCTGCTTTTTCCCACAAAACTTAGGATGACCTCTTCAGGTGCTAAAATAAATTCCCAAATCTGTCCATCCAACCCAGATCTTGTAGCCTACATATGCAACCACGATATATGGGTGACGCATACCATGTCGGGGTGCAACATGAGACTGACGTATGCCCATAAAGGCGGCAGGAATCTTGCAGACGATCCGCTGTGCGCAGGCGTACCGTCCTATGTGATGCAAGAAGAGTTTTCTAGGTACCAAGGTTATTGGTGGCAGCCTAAATGTAATGGTGAGTCTTGTGATAGGTTATTGCCGAGGATGTTTCATTGTGTTTATGAAGGATAGCTTGATTTATCTATAGTATTGAACAGTTTTCTATAGGCCACTGTGAAGAAATAAGTAGAATATAAACTGGTCAACATTGATAAGGTCCTGGTCCAAAATATAGCCTGAATTCAAAGTAGAATAACTCACGACTTTCCTAACCAATTTGAAATCGGTTTTCACCGATGATTAGCCCAATCTCTTGACAGTTTGTTGTGGCGATATGAAACTTCTGTAATTCCAGATAACATTGCTACAGGGTGATAATTGAATTGGTGTAAAATTGCATCGTGGTCTTTACCTTACCGTTTGAACAGATAACTTTTTAATTTTTTTTCTCACCTGTGTCCTCCTGATTGATGCTTTCTGTCGACAAGTTTTCGGAATTTTCAAATTCAGAGCTTAGATGATCGTAGTATGAATATTCATTCAAAATGATGCATTTTTTCCACAATTATTTCTTTTTCGAAGAATCAACGTTGTATGTATAGTCGTCGGATATTTGATCGTGTTCGAACACAGAAAATTCTAGTCTATACAAAGTGATTCAAGAAATACTGAATGATGGAATGGAGAATAACGTAGTCTTCAGTAGATGAAACATAATTTCCTCTATGTTACTAGTGAAATAATAGAGTGTTACTTCGTCATGAGGATGTCTGGTGTCTGACCTCGAAATGGTTTTGTAATTTCTCGGATCGAAGGTCATATAATGAAGGTACGCATTTTCAATTAAAATGATGCATTTTCGTTAAGATAAATTATAGAATTCAAAGAATTACGATTGTATTTCCTGGAGTATGAAATTTATATTTATTCTAGACGATGGATATACAAGGTGCGATAACAAAAAAAGGTCTAGATTGTCCCGTGATGAATAAGAATATGTGATGATCTTCAGTGATTTACACTGCTCGCCAACATCCATGGAACCATCCCAATTTCCAGAAAATGATATTCGGAATCAGGACGCCCAATTGATTAACTATTCATATTTTTCCTGAAAAAATTTCAGTTCTGATAAATTCATTTTTGTCTCACTTCTCAAAGAAACGCCCCCGTAGAAGTATGAACAAAATCATTACCGATAATAATGCGTCAAAATATGGGAAGTTAGTGAATTGGACGTCCTGTATCCGAAGTGATTTTTAACCTATCTCTTGATATCATTTTAGGGAACATGTAGTTCCACGACTGTTGGCGAGCAGTGTATATCACTGCAGATGACCATACTTGGACATAAAAACATTGTTGGTATATCTCTCGCTTCAGCAGATTTCAGGATCCTAAAACAACGATTACGTAGGGGTGTTTCCATGAAAAATGGGACAAAAATGAGATTTTCAGAATGAAAATTTTCCAGGAAAAATTTGAATAGTTAGAGAATTGGGCATCCTGATTCCGAATCAGAAGTAATTTGCAACCTATTTCGACTCCTGATATCATTTTCCGGAAATCGGGGTGGTTCCATGGCTGTTGGCGAGCAGTGTATATCACTGAAGATTACCCCACTTGGTCATAGAGTGCATTTTTGCTATATCTTTCGCTCCAGCAAATTTCAGGATCTCTACCCAACGAATACGTAAGATACAGGGGTGTTTCCATTATAAGTGAGACACACTGTATATTAAAAGCAGAGTTAAAAGCTATATAAATATGAAGAAGTTTCAAATTAAAGAAGGATAAATCAGTGGCCTCTAGAAGCTATTCCTACTTCATATAGTCTAGACAAAATTGATCAAGACAAACCCATATAACTTCATATTTTATATAGTTGTTCATTAAACAAAATGGCGGACACCTTAACTTATTGATCAAACTTTGAAACAGTTTTTTTAGGTCACACTGTGACTGTACTTAACAAAAAGTAGTTCACCTTATTATCGCTCATAGATACCGCCACCTAGGGTCCCTTGATATAAATTGACGTATTTGTCATCTTTACAGGGATCGGACAGATCCTCGTCTCCTCTCACTCTAAAGTGTTTGTGAAACAGTTATATAGTTCCATCTTTATTCATTTCTGGGGATAAACACTAGATTTCTGACATTTCTTTCTTCTTCTTCTTTATTTTCAATGGCCTCTGTTCTGTGAGACAATTGGCCAGCACATTCCTTTTGATTTGTTTGGGCCACCCTTAAGGTGTGTCTGAGATTAACTCATACCCTGACTGATTTGAGACTTCCTATTGGGTTTGGAAATTCACAGTTTCAATGTCCTCTTAGTTGTAAAACTTGGTTGACAATTATTACACACACAGATATAGACTTTGTTTCTAGGTTTTGGGTGTGGGAGTTAGTAAGACAGATGGCACAACAAAGGTATAGACTCTTCTCGATCCGGGGCAACGGCGGATCTTTCACAACCAGAAATGTTGCCTCGGTTAGGTAGCACCCAGGTGTATAAAGATAGGGATTCTGGAAAGAATTTCACTTATTAGAGGTTTATTTTGTTATGGTTCAGAAATGTGATAAGGAGTAGCATTGTTTTTTGGTTCATATGATATAAAACTGTTAAAATGTTCATTGGAGTAGGTATTCCGATTCTTCTAAATTCATTGTACATGTCTATATTGGGTATCATGTTAATTGGGCATTGGAAAAATATGTGTTCTAAATCCTCAATTTGTCCACATTCACAGTATGGATTAGTCTTGATATTCATTCGATATAGATGTGTTGATGTCAAACAATGTCCTGTCCTCATTCTAATAATAGTTGTGATATGTTTTCTGTCTACAAATGGGTATTTGGAATACCAGGGCTTCATTGGGAAGTTGGTTTGAATTTTGGAGTACCATCGTCCTTTGTTTATGGTAGATGCTTTCCATTCTTGTGCGAACCCGTTTTTAATTTTTCTTTTAAGTACTGGTAGAAGTTCGTTTCTATCTAGTTTAATATTTGTAGGAACGTTGAGAGCAGGGCCGATCCTAGCGGGTGTGCAGCGCGTGCCCCGCACGCGGGCGGCCAAAACAAGGGGCGGCCGCAGGCCGCATATTGTCCTATCAAACAAAATTATTTGAAACTCATAAGTCGAATGAATATGCTGCATTTTGAATAAATAAAATGATATTAAATAGTGTGTTGGCCCATTGTCAATTAATGTCAACTTTTTATACACATTCTTATCTTCCCAAATTTTAAATTTCTATTTGAAACAATAACCAAGGGGCATATTTTTCAGACGCCTAAGGATGTTTTGTTCCATCACTGTGCGGTAGCTTATTTATGCATTTCTACTACTTACTAAGAGACTATGAGAGAAAATCCCAAAAAATCTGGAGAACACCTACTTGGTTAAACTACAGACACCATTTAAAATACTTTTCACTTGTTCTTCTTATTGTTCTTATTTTCAGATTCCAGATCATTTTATATCAATTACAATAAACTGTAATATACTAATGTGATGAATTTGAATCCCAAGAAAAATTTCGCCTGCGGCGCATTTTTTGCCATAGGAAAATTTTGTCTGAGTTTCTTGGCCGCTCCCGGTATGCACTGAAATGGAGTTATTACCTGAAAGCATTTGACCTTGAACTCAGAAAAAATTCGCCTGCGGCGCATGAAGATTTTGTCTAAATTTTTTTTCTGTGTTTTACTTCTTATCCTTGTACAAGAAGTTGAAGTTATGAAGTCATCAGGTATTATAGTTAAAAAATATGAAAAATTCTCTAGAGGGGCGGCACATTAGGTTTATGCACGCGGGCGGCCGACACCCTAGGATCGGCCCTGGTTGAGAGCTCGGCCTATGTTTGCCAATGTGTCAGCCACTTCGTTTCCTTCGATTCCTGTATGTCCAGGAATCCAGGCTAGCTTGTAGTCCATTCCAGCTTGATTTGCTTCTACTATGATTGCTTTGGTAATTAAGGAAATAAAATCAGATGAGGCCTGTATGTTATAATTCGACATTTTTTTAATTGCACTTAGTGAGTCTGTATAGATTATACAGTGTTCAATATTTTTTTGTAGACACACGCTAATGCCCTTGTTTATTGCCGCTATTTCGGCCGAGCATATATTTATAAGAGATGGTATTTTTGATGAGAAGGAATAATCAATGATTGGAATGTGTACCCCTATTCCTGTTTGTTCTGTATCTGATCCTATGTTAATTTTTGATGCGTCAGTGTATACAAAAACGTTATTTGAAGAAAGGTGTTCAGTTTCGGCTTGGATTTCTGACATTTGTTGTTTTTTAGGTTATATTGAGGACATTGGCGTATCATACGTAATTTCTACATGTAATTTCTCATTCAACTCTACATATCATATCATATTTTTGAATTTTCAACTCCAGCATAATCTTTGTGGGGCAGTGAGCAAATTTTTCTGAAAGTTTAATACGTTTTACCAATTGGGACTGTTCTTAGGCAGTACCTATCAATAAATGCATTTTGGTTCCAGACTAAGCCTTATGGTTGAGAAATGGTGAACAATTTTATGAAGGTATTCAAACTAATGTGCTCATATGTCATGTGTGCTGTAAATATTTAAGTTGGGAATTATTTTTGCAGTTTTTCACGAACACTTAATATTTCCTGAATGTAGGTATATTTTTTTTAATGGTAGGGCATATGCCTCTTCTTTTAAACCTCCGTTTTAATCAAAACTGTTTCTTTTAAAATGCATTCAAACACTTGTGGAGTGGATAATTATAGGCACAATGAGAAAGTATAATATGTGATTTCGTATTAGTTTTATCTCAGAATATTTTTCTGATGTATTTACTAATTTTCCCCATTCGGTCACTTCACTTTCCATGTTCTAAGGTCATTTGCATTTGATGGAAAGCTGACAAATTCAAATTTGCCAACTGATTGATACAGCCTAACGCAGCACTTTTTACCATCCTTCCAAAACAATTGAATAATGTCATATCAAGATATAGTATGAAATTAAAATTTTGAAGGATATTTTTAAACGCCTATGAATGTGACGTGACAGCAATGTCATGTCAGGGACGCCAATACACGAAACAAAAGTCACTAGATGATTAAAAGAGAAAGGAGCTATGATCTGTCCGTACCCTGTTAGATGACGAATAAGTCAGTTTGCATCAAGGGACACCACCGCCACCTACTGAATATAATTTTTGGCCTCATGGCTCTCACAAGGATGGTTCATCTTGTTATTGTAAATAATCAAGGCCTTCAGACCATAATGGTTGGATTGCAGGTGGCGTGTACAGAATTCTGTACGAAGAAGTGGATGAGGGTGACGTCAAAGTGTACTGTTTCCCCTCCTCCCAATCGGAATCGGGGGAAGTGGAGGAGTTTCGCTTCCCCAGAGCAGGCTCAGCCAACGCAAAATCCTACCTCAAGCTGGTCGAGTTTAAGGTGAGATAATTTTCCACTATTCTACCTTTCCCAATTGAAACCCTAGAACCTTGAAAGATCCTAGGGCCTAGGGGAATTTGGTGAATCGATTGTCAGCTATTGCAAGTCAAACTGTTTCGGCTTGTCAAGTCTCATCAGTTGCACTAGGTCAGCTGACAGTCGATTCACTTATGTTTACGAATCTATGGCCACGTTTATACCGTATGGATAGTTGGTAAGCTTAACCAAAGAGATCTAACTAAATTCAGACCGAATTCCTTAGTTAACGCATTTTCACACCATGTATCTTCAGTTGACTAACGTTACCAACTTTGTTTTGATTTGATTATTACTTTGAGGTTAGGTTGTGAAACTCCACTAGAATTCGTAAATTAATAATAAAACCTTTAAGTAGGATACGAAATTATCTGAAATTGAATGAAATATCATTATGAGAACTCATTAAATAACTGCCACTTGCACTCAAGTCAATTCAAGGCTATACAAAAGTAGACCAAAATGCCAAAAAGTTTACACCGTCTTGGTCATTATACCATTTTAGTCTGGTACGCAACAAAATTCGGTACCAGACCAAGCTGGTAACTTTACCAAGTATACAGTATGTATTTAAGTGACCAAGAGTATTTGGTCAAAATATATCCATTAGCCAGCTTACCGAGACATGGTATAACCGTTGCCTATTGCTATCACTGAATTGTTACATGTAGTTGAAACTAGAGTTCCTAAATGTACTTGACACTGCTGCTTTGACGTTTTTTGTATATTTGAGTACGGACACTATGACAAGCACTGAAAATTAGACATAACCACAAATAAATTGATGTAAGAAGCGGGAACTGACAGTACACGGACGTACACGGCATAAAGTCCAAAGGTTTCACAACTTGAGAGAATTAGGAGAAAGATACTAGTTTGTACAGTTTCCAACTGTGAGACCACGGGAAATCAATTCACTCTATTCGAATGTTCATCGGATAACGTAATTATACAAAAAGGGAAACAGAATATGATGCGGTTGGCATGGAATATAGGTTCAGGCTACAAAACTTGCGAGGCATTCAAATTCCTTGGTAGATATAGAACATTTTTCAACGCATTTTCATCAGGTACACTTCAGAATGGAAGATTTTAGGTTGGAAGAATAAGATCGTATTGAGAGAAAGAGCCGAGCCCACAATTTATCATCTGATGATGAAACAGTAGCAACTTCCTGAATTGACTGACTCAAACAGATTTCACACCCCTGTTCAACCAAGAATTCTTTAGATCATCTTCGTATACGAACTCTTGTAATGATTTTGTGAAAACATATAGTCACTTTGTGGAACTCTGATGTACCAGATATTGATGTATCTAAACTACTCAACACTAATTTCGTCGCACAACAAAATGTCGCCCCTGTTTTAATGTGAATAACTTTTTTCAGTTTAGAACAATTTGAATTTGGTTCACACTGTTCGATAGCCCAGTCCTTCAGCTATAATCTGGTACTCCATTGAAACATAAGGGTATCCACATAAAATCTCTACATGGTGTTTTCCGACACTGTGCAAAATTTCGGAATATTCAAAAGGCTCTCAAATGGTGAAAAAAATGTTTTTCTCAACTTCGACAACAAAGGCATGAAGATGATCTCATTACCTCGAGATATTTCGCTAATCAACTTCCTATCTCTCTTATTTACAGAGTGATCTCAAAAAATCAACTTTTTTGTTTTGCAGCCATAACTTTTTTCCACGTCAACCGATTTTGAAAATCTTAGGCTCATTTTGAAGATGAAACTTCAGATGAAGAGATCTGAATATCAGAATTGACTCAAGATGGCTATCAAAGACCTAGAGTTTTCTTGAAAGTGACCCAAATCTGGAACGCCCTTCGAATCTTGGTTAGGAAGAGAATTGAATGAAAATCAACTTGTTCTCGGAAAATCAATTCATTCTGGATGCGTCCATATTTTCCTCGCTCTTAGTAGTCAAGAATTGTGCGTGAGAAAACACAATTGAAACATGTTCTTGCAAAAACATTAGATCATGTCTCCTCTGTACTGCATGGCCCGCCGTAACCAACGTTACAAGAATCACAATGAGTGACTGACAAACCCGACCAGCTGAGACTCATCATGAATAGTGTACCAGCAAGAGCAACGGATTTTGATTTTTTCAATAAAGTGATTTGTTTTACAGTTGTCACGTACATAACATGCGATTTAAGAATATGGAGAAGTATTCAAGCAAACAACGTTTATTTATTGAAAAAACGCATTTCAAGAATGGTGAAAGTTTCACGAAAACAGTTTGCCAATTACGTCAAGTTTTCAGTCGCAATAATGCGCCGAACGAATCGACAGTAATACTGAGGTAATAACCAAACAATTCGTGTCGGAGATAAGCCCTTTGAATGGATCGGACTGTCGTGTTTAGCAGATCCGCGATTTGGAGGGAAGATAACCCTTGTTCCCTCATTTGTGGAATCAGTTCCAACTGGTCGGGCGTCAGATACGGCATCGAAACTATCAAAATCTGTTTATGATTCGAAAACGACGTCTAACCTGACTTGTCAGTCACTTAGTGTGATTCTTGTAACGTTGGTTACGGGCCATGCATTACAGAGGAGAAAATATGGTCTGATGTTTTTGCAAGAACATGTTTCAATTGTGTTTTCTCACGCACATTCTTGAGTACTGAGAGCGAGGAAAATATGGACGCATCCAGAATGAATTGTTTATCCGAGATGAAGTTGATTTTCATTCAATTCTCCTCCCAACCGAGATTCGGAGGGCGTTCCAGATTTGGGTCACTTTCAAGAAAACTCTAGATCTTTGATAGCCATCTTGAGTCAATTCTGATATTCAGATCTCTTCATCTAAAGTTTAATCTTCAAAATGAGCCTAAGATTTCCAAAATCGGTTGACGTGAAAAAAAGTTATGGCTGCAAAACCAAAAAGTTGATTTTTTGAGATCACTCTGTAAATAAGAGAGATAGGAAGTTGATTCGCGAAATATCTCGAGGTAATGAGATCATCTTCATGCCTCTGTTGTCGAAGTTGGGAAAAACAGTTTTTTCACCATTTGAGAGCCTTTTGAATATTCCGAAATTTTGCACAGTGTCGGATAACACCATGTAGAGATTTTATGTGAATACCCTTATGTTTCAATGAAGTACCAGATTATAGCTGAAGGACTGGGCTATCGAACAGTGTGAACCAAATTCAAATTGTTCTAAACTGAAAAAAGTTATTCACATTATAACAGGGGCGACATTTTGGTGTGCGACGAAATTAGTGTTGAGTAGTTTATATCAAAGAGTTGAATATATTGTTCGTGTATCGCTTCTTTGAAGTTGAAATCCCAAGTCTGAATGTGCATCTTCATGCGTAGTTGAGAAGTGCTAGACGACTACATAGCTCCTATAGTGGATTTTGAACCACTTCTTGGGTACCAAGATACGAGCAAGATATTATCAGAGCACTGAACAAGAACGCTTAACGAGTGCACCATTTATGTTAGGTATTGAAAATGATCTTCCGATGCCGGGTTCAAACGTTCAAATGTGAACGGCGATCTATAGTGAGTCGAGCGCTGAAGTCCATTTATACCTACTTCCGTATGTCTTGGAGAACCTTTATTATTTATCCTAACTGAAATCAGCTGTTATTGTTGCCATATCCTTTGTTCATTTATTAATTACTTATTACCTGCCACTCTTGTACAAGTGAAATTGTTCCATACGAAATAAAAGTATGTTTCATTAGTTGGAAATTATCAGTTTTCACCCCATTCTGAATTTTCGTGATAAAAAAATATTCAACTGAACGTATATGTATTTCGTTGGTATATATGTATATACCAACTTGATATCGACGTCCATCGAGGTCCTTCTGCCTTATCATTCAATATTTCGAGAAGAAATAATTTTCTAATCAATTTATCGTACCCTTTTACCCACTCGGGGAGACGCTATGCACTCTCATACAAAAATCAAAGACAGAGAAAGATATATGGATGTACTCTTCCCAGGACTTGTGGAGGAAGGAATAAGATGCGAGGATCCTCTATCTAAGCGAAAAACATATTCTTGTCCTTGTCTGGCAAAACATATGATTTGCTTCCAAATCGTTTGTGGTTATGTTTGATTGTCACTGCTTGTCTAGTGTCCGTACTCTGATATACAAAAAACGTCAAAACAGCAGTGTCAAGTACATTTAGGAACTCTAGTTGAAGCTATGTCATTTTCCATTTCGAATGAATTAAAAGGTGAACGAGCACCTACAGATAGCCGAGGTGTGCTCTTTGGAGTTGCAGTTTTCTTTGTCGCTGCTCTTTCCTTGGATGGAGTACATCGTCAGGGTGGGTTGGACCCCCAATGCCGAATAGTAAGTACAGTTTATTTTCGAATTTGATAAGTGATTTGTTGGCGATATCAATGACAAAAAGATCGTGGCGTATAACTGATATATTTGGCATGTTCGTTTGTGTTTGCTCTACCTGCATAACTTGATTTTTTTCTAGGACTTTCTCTGTTTACATCATGCCATGAACAGAGACAACCATGGAAAAAATCAACTCTAGCAAGTTCAGCGATACAAACGAACAGACCTAATATGTTGCATGTTTGTATCCCAAAAATATGTCACCTATTTCATTGTCGACAGATTTTTGACACTACACTACCATGATCTTTACATTTCAGTAGATACCTGATACCAAAATTATTCAGAATTGGTGTTATGTCTGCTCACAAGGCCAGTTTCAGTATTTGTTTTTGATTTCACACTTGAAGATGAGCAGATCAGTACTGACAGTTGAATTCGGAATATATCCTTCGTTTGCATCAACCTCACCACCTCACTAATTGAATATTCCACTTTAGAAGACATGAGTTGTTCTGTTTTCTGAAATTTATGCATGTTTTAAGTGATTTGTGCTAATTATGTGAATTCTGTGATCAATGGATCTACTTTATCTGTCAAATTGAGCTCACACTCCGGCAATATCAGAAGGTAGGTATTTAGTTGATGTGATATAATGGAAAACATAAATCGTTCTATTTTTTGACAGTGAACCTCAATGGACTAGGGTCGGGTTATAAAAAGTTAATCTGATTATCTTCCTAATGGAAAATGGAGGTAATTTTTTTCTCATTGATTTCCTTGAAAATAACTAGAGAAATGTGTTTTGCAAGGTCTAGAATCTTTGCAACAGAACCACCGATCAGACCAGTCATTGCGGTAAAATGGTTCATTTTTTCTGCAGGAAAAATAATAGTTCGAAGATGTGGCAACATTTGATACACTGAAAATACCTGCTTATTGACAGCTGCTTCAGTTAAAATGACGCCAACATCGAAAACTCAAAGTGTATTACCCTTTATTTCCCTCATTTCTTCCTTATGACTGCGCCAAAAAATAAACATGGGTTGATGTTGATATAACTTCATGAAGTATATCAATTTCCATATAAAATTGAGACTCCAGGGGCGTATTTTTATTTCTGAATAATTCAACAGTAACATGGTGATTAAATTTTTTCTACAAACATCAGCTTCCCGAGTGCTGAATTGAAGAATCAAAAGTGAAATATCATAGGAATATATATTGAAATAAAAATATTAGGTCATATAAATACTGGTTGAGGCCCATTGAGAACAATGTATTAATGCAGCAGAACAAATCTTGAAGAGGTTAAATTCCAAAATGTCGATACCTGAAAGCTTGAGTACGTTTTCGAGAAAGAGAAAGGCTTTTTTTATTTATCAATGACAATTTCACAAATCTTATGTTGGTCCTTCCTTCAATTTTGAATAATTTTGGTTTTCTTCTGCTATACATTATGGTTGAGCTATTTAACAGCCAGTCGGCATTGTCATGATAATACGTATAGTGCAGATGTGGTTATTTAAACCAAGCTACTCTTACTGTATTAGAAAACATTTTATATTGGAGGGGAGAACGTTATTGTACAAGAAGCCACTCTTTTAAAATGTGCTGGGCTTTGACCATTAGACACGTTTGTTTATATTTATCCAATTTGGGCAAGTTTAGAAAAGTTTTCAACTTTTTCCATTTCCATTGCCACTATTTCAGCATTTGGATCCAACTTCTCGATCGCACGCAACAAAAACTCGAATTGGAGCTGCTATCCCTGAGCAGTTTCACCGAAATCCTTTCACTACGACAACTCTAGTAACGGATTGTAAAAAGTTCAACTGGTTATCTACCCAAAGTTATCAGTGATAATAATATGTGTATTGATTTTATTCTACAAACATCAGCTTTCCGTGTACTGAGATGAAAAATTAAAAACGAAATATCTTGGAAAAATCCAAAATGTCGATACTTGAAAGCTTGAGCTCGTTTTCGAGAAAGAGAAAGACTTTATTGATCAATGAATATTTCACAAATCTTATGTAGGTCCTTCCTTCAACAATTTTGTATAATTTTTATTTTCTTCTGCTATAGATTATGGTTGAGCTACAGCCAGTCGGCTTTGTCATGATAATACGTACAGTACAGATGTGGTTATTTAAACCAAGCTACTCTTACTGTATTAGAGAACATTTTGTATGGGAGGGGAGAACGTTATTGTACCAGGTGATTCAATAAGGGTGATGAGGTACTGTATCTCAGGAACTCATATAGTTAATGAAACAGGCCCCTTTGCAAAGGCTATAACAACCAGAGTGGCATAGAAAGTTTTTTATGTTATTCACCAAACCTTCGTTTCTTGAAGACCTTGTTAGCAAAGTTATTAGTTCCTGAGATACAGTATCTTGTTACCCTTATTGAATCACCTGGTACAAGAAGCCACTATTTTAAAATATGCTGGGCTTTGACAATTAGACACGTTTGTTTACAGTCATTCATAGAAAAGTTTTCAACTTTTTCCATTTCCATTGCCACTATTTCAGCATTTGGATCCAACTTCTCGATCGCAGGCAACAAAAACTCGAATTGGTGTTGCTTTCCCTGAGCAATTTCACCGAAGTACTTCCGCTCTACGACGATTCTACTAACGTCCACTTGAGCAGTCCTGTGGTGCAGGTGATCTACTCTCAGGAATCCTCGATATGGATCAACGTACATGATCTCCTGCATTTTTTTCCTAGCAACGATAGTAACGAGGTAGGAAATAGACTTAAACAATATTAAATACTAAATGATACACGAAGGCATCTCCACGACATTCAATGTGATTAACACATCAGGATTGGTTGGTACATGTTTTGGACATATATATGTCCATCATCAGCCATTTGAGAAATTACATAATTAGTGTCCTAAAATTATAATGGTTAATAGTACAATCGACAAGTTATGAATAAGAGTGCTTACAGGGGATAAAAAAGAGGTTATGTGACCAACTTTAACATTTCAAAAATTTCTTTGTTCGGGTTTTGAAAAAGAAAATTATTAGAATGGGGAAACCCAACAAACCCCTGGAAATTACCATACAATATATTTTTGTAAGAACCATCAAATGGCACATATGGATGCGACATTGGAATTGAAAACGTGTCTATGTTGCCCTGTACCAGCACACGACGGATATCACCTGACCAGGCGGAAAGAACCACGGCATGTGTCACACGTCACAAGTCAATAAAAAAGACAAGTGGTACGAGACAACATGGTAGTGACTGTCCACCCAGCGGTGACATGCTATCGGTGTACTGGTAAAAGGAAAGAAGAAGAAGTTATGTTATGTTATGAGGTTATGTAAAAACCGAGGTAAAAACTCAAAAATCTCTATCTCTAACAGATTCAATAATTTCCCTTTCGAGCAGACATGTAAAATTCCTCGAACAATATGTTTTTTGAAGTATTCCAAGAGTGCCTACTTTCTCGGAGCATAGTCGTTCTTAATGAAAACTTAATTGGCGACGGGTCGATTCTGTTTGCAAATAGCAATATGGCTGTAGAGAAGATATTGCTATCACAGCAAGATTGGAAAAATAGGAATTCTAATCCTTGATTTGTGGCAATCGGGTCGATTCTGTTCGGATCATGACATATAACAATATTGCTATTCAATTCTGTATTCTGTTTGGACAGTAACTGCAAGATTGGTTTTAAGTTCAAGTGATTATTGAGCTGACAACACTAGATTTAACTCATTTGTTAAGTGTTGGGCACTTCTCAATGACATCTTGTTAGCTTCCTTGCTATCTCAGCAACATTAATGTTGTGCTTTCTTTCTCATAACAAGGTTTAAAATGACAGTGGATTCTTTGTTATTGCAGTAATGGTGTTTGAAAATTAAAAAAATTGGTGTTTATAAATATATGAGAAGTTCACTCGTGTAACTAACTACTTGAAAAACCTTTCCTTGAAGTTCAAATTCGTAGAGGAATTGGGAGACTACAATTTGGGTATTTCATCAGCAACACCAGCAAACCATTTGAAATGCCTGATGGAAAGCTTACCAAGCTATATTACCAAGAGTTTTTCCGGTTCATTTTCATCTGGCTTGGCTGTATTCTTATCTTGAGACATAATTGATTATTTGCAACACTTGCAAAAATACAAATAAATTCACCAAATGCAAACAGTTAGTCAGTTTGACTATTATATTAAAAATGTCAGTGCGATACAGAGAGAGGTTAGATAATCATAAAATGTTCTTCTTCATGAAATAATGTCAATAACGGTACATGAGTTAAAAACAGTGTTGACAACTAAAAAAATCTCTATTTTTCAACAATTATGCTATGCTATCACTTCAACTTATAACCAATCTAGCAGTAACTGTCCAAAGAGAATACAGAATTGCATAGCGATATTGTTATATATTATGATCATAACAAAATGGCTATCTTGGCAATGTTATAACAAGATCTGGACAGAATCGACCCAATTCCGTTCATTGATTTTTTTTTTCCCTTATTGATCACATTTTTCGTGAGCTAGTGATTTCTATTCCGAGCTAAGTTATTCATTTGTTATACGAACCCTGGAAAATTTTCAAATTCCTGTCAAGATTTGCAAAAAATCTAACAAACAGTGTGAAAATGGCATTCCAAAACCATTCTTTCCTAACTGTTCCGGCAGATCATACTCAAAATCAGCAAGGAATCAGTGCATCCTCAAGATTCTTTGAATAGAAATAGAAATATTCATTTATTCTTTGTGACATCACGAATACGTATGTAGTACAAATCAATCACTTACTCTAAGAAGTGTTTTTGAGATTACCTAAATATTATCACATGGTAAAAAAAGTTGAATAACATGAATACAGGCACATATAAAAACAATGAGATTTCTACAAGCTTCCATGGAAAATAAATAACACGTTGGGAAGGTTTATTCAAAATAATGAAGAGAAACTTCTGAATTCGAAAAATCAGGGGTATACAAACTTAACTGTGGATCTTGTCCTAAACTATATATTGGTCAGACAGGTCGAATCTTCTATCACCGGATTCATGAACATAAGATGCTTTTTTTTAAAGAAAACGAATTCAACATACGCGAACCATAGTTGAACCAGAAGAAAACCATAGTTTTGATGATAATTTCGAAATTTTACACGTAGAAAATGAAGAAATACAACTCAATCGTTTCGAATTCAGAAATCAAGGAACGTAAAAATTCAAACATTTTACTTAACGATCACCTCTATCTCAATAATTTACCACAGTTGAATTTGTTTTCTCAGTAGGTAATTATCCTTTTGAGGTTGATCTGGCAGGTACCCCTAATTTAATGTAGATTATTGAGCGTTCTGTCCGAAAATGAAGATTTGATTAACCTTTCGATAGGTAGTTTTAATGCTTTAGTTTTTGTAGGTTTGATATAAAAGTTGAGCAGTTTGAAGTTGTGAAGTTTTTTACATTTATCATGGAGGTATTCATATATTCGTCAACATAAGCTTTATTGTGTATGTGAAACTATGTAGTTAAGGGGTCTATACCTCTAATGGTTAGTGGAAGTTTATTGTAAATTTTCATCTCCATATATCTAAAACTATTTTAAAGTTTAGTAGTTTTGTACCTTTGCGTGTTTTTCGTGGGTTCATAAGAACCTCAATTTCAGACCGTTTCAGGTCCAGTTTATCTGGGCATCAGAGGATACGGGTTATCGGCACCTGTACTTAGTCACTGCCCAGATTCAACCGTACATGAACGGCATCACCGAAGGTACAGAGATGATGGACTATGTTTTCCTGCAGCCCAAGATCACCTCAAAGGTAAAGTACAAGGTTCAGTCACAGAAAGTCGCTAAAAATCTGAAGGGTATATCTTCCATGCAGTAATGAATTTGCGCCTTCGAAGTGCCCACCTGCAGGGGGATTCTGTTTCACGATCGTCGATTGTCGTACGATACGATGATGAACTCGAAGTCGAATTCATTTCCTATTATATTTCTCGATCAAGTCGGGATTTATTCGACTTCGGAAATCGTCGGTTTTTTGGCGAAATGGGATGAGATTTTGATCCAATGAAACGAGCACCGAGGCCATAGTCCCAAAGCCATCACAAATTTGAGGTTATTGAATTTCAGTTTTTTTCAATCCCAAGACAAAAATAATAATAATTCTAATTGTTCGAGATGGTATTTCAGCAGCTAAAGATAGGCAAAGAAATTTGGATCAAATTCGTGGACGACAAGAACTATGAAACAGAAGTAGGTACCTTACCTAATCCTTTTTCATTACCTGAAAAATGATTTATTGAGCTATTTTGATTCAACAAAAGGTTGATTCGTCTTCTGATACAATCATTGAGACCCCACTTATTAGTGGATAGGTCAAAGTATGAAGGAAATGGGTATACAGAATCTCAAATATTCTGTGCATTGAGGTTTTATGCAACTGGATCATAGTAAAGATGCTACCTTATGTCATTTCTTAGGAGTTCACTCGCCAAGTCCCCAATGAATTTACTTGGCTTGGCCTGGTTCATCCTGTTCACAGTATATTTTATTGATGTCACGACCATTAGACTCTGAAAATCATCCTGTGGCCGTGGCCATGTTCTGTGCTGTTCTAAAAATGTTATCAACATTTCCCAGATGGGCATCTCTGAGTTTGAACGACATCAAGAATTAATTATATATTATGTTTATGAAGTTATAAGTCTATTACACACTTTCAAAGCTGCGCTTTCACATAAACACGATGATCTAACCTCAAATTGGGATGAAAATGAAAATAAGCATTCGATGATAGATAAGGATAGATTGTCAAAACGCATCGACTCGACCCCTCTTGAGCTATCGAAGAGTCTAGTCGAGTTTCCATGATTCATTCGAGAAACAATACCAAATATCGAATAAATATGGCCGATTCGACTCGATTCGTGAAACAGAATCTCCCTGCTTGGGTTTGGGTATTGGATATTCTCATTTCATCATCTAAATAATCTGAGTCCTAGGAGTCCTGGAACACGGATTCTAATAGTTAATATCCAAGGTACTGACGTATAGAGTTTCATGTTTGGATGTTTTGTGTCCAAAGATCAAAAAACAGAAACAAAGCATTGACAAAATGAAATAGAATGCGTAGAACAGAATGGAGAACAAAAGACAGGTAGATGCACCTCCATATTAGAGGTCTGACCAATCAAAAAATGTACCACTATTGTCGTCACTCTGTTTATAAAATCACTCTAGCTAAGAAGTGGTAGGGATGAAAGTCACCGCGGCCTGTCAGGACCCGCATGGCTTTCCATTTATTTACTAAGAATCATTGGACGTGTGAGCAATGCGACTACGCAGGTGAAGACAACTATCAAAATGTAGTGCCAAAACAGTTCTAACCCCTGAAAATATCGAACGTGTTCGATCAACACGTAATAAAAATTTTGGGTGGACGAAGTGCATTTTGTGCTGATTCCTCGATATCACTTGAGAAATCTGAACTTCAATCATTCACTTTCCACTAATGAATATATCAAACAAGTCTATTTCGTGAATTAAGTCGCTCATTCGTGACCATATTATTGTTTGACGGGTACATCAAAGTGACGAGCAAAGTCAACCAGCCTACTAAATGATGTCCATAATCCGTCGTAGAACTCATGTAAAACTGTTCGTCATTTCTGTGACGCATTTCCTAACTGCTTACGAAAATATCAATTTCGTGCTTTTATTTTTTTTGTGTGGCCCTCGAAATGCAATAAAGAGGTTTTTATTTTTTATCTCGAAAACAAAGTGAGATACCGAAACACCACAAGGGATACAAAAGTTGTTACATGAGTTTAAATCCGAAATAAAAGTGTTGAAATTACAGGAAAAGTCAGTGGCGTATATTTTTCGTGCAATAATGTGCTTGATGTTCGAAATGTTTGTTTTATGTATTTTCGTCTGAAAAACATGAATTTTACAATAAGAATGCGAACAAACCACTTTTTATCGGGATATTTCAGGAAAAATTTCTAAATTTGACCCTCATCTCCCGTCTGTCTAGAATACGCATTTACAACTGCTTACCCTAATTATTCTGTCATTGGACAATGTATACTATATATATATACTTATAATTTACCTCAATGACACATTTTATATACGAAAATCAACAAGAAATATGAGTTTTTTTGGCTAGTTTTTCTTATTTAGTGAACAGTGCGTAATGACGACCATCAAATATTTCAATTATAAAAGACATAAGCTACAAATTGCTTTTGAATGACGTTACACCGGCCATAAGTTTGAATGACATTCTTTATTTTTCAAATCTCCTTCTCCACTTTAATGATTAACACTACTAATTGTGTGCTATGAATCTTCGGAATGAATCAAATTTATCTTATTTAACGACGGAGAAAGTGAATTCTTGCATATTTGCCATGCAGCGTATGTCTTTTATAATTGAATGGCCGCCAGCTGGTGTGATTATTAAAAAAATATGGAAGTTCTAGTTGATTTCCATGTATTAAATGTGTCATTGAATAGGTACATCGTGATATATGAACTGTGATATGATGAAAAAAGAAGAAATAGTTTTAAATGCCTATCGAATACAGGTGGAAAAAGAAGGTGGAATTTCGAACTTTTTTTCATGAGATCTCGATAAAAAACAAAAATTTTTGGTACATATCGTGATATATGACCTGTGCAATGATGAAAAAAGGGTAAATAGTTGTAAATGCGTATCGAATACAGGCGGAAAAAGAAGCTGAAATTTTGAACGTTTTTTTCATGAGATATCTCGATAAATATTGGTTCGTTCACATTCTCATTCTCAAATTCGTAGACATAAAAAGTGTAAAATTACCCAGCAGTTTACTAACTAGGTGGCATTGACTTCTGGCGATTGGGAAGTTTTGGGTCAACACTTGTGGGTAGACCACGAGAAGTTGCTGGTGTACTTTATGGGCTTGAAAGAAACTCCTCTGGAGAAGCATCTGTATGTGGTGTCTTTGAGGAGGCCAGGAGAGGTCAGATTGTTGACAAGGCCCGGATATTCCTATTCTGTCGACTTCAATAAGGTAAGTTGTGAAATTTGATTATTTAGACTACAGGGTTTTTCATTATTTTCCAGATTTTTCGGGATTTTCTCTCCTCGTTTTTATAAAATGAAAATATGAATATTATTTCAATATACGTGTAGTAAGGACAAATCAGATGATTTGCCCCGAAATGTCACTGCGTTTGGAGAATTTTCCTATGAGAGAGCCTAAAAGAAAAATTCACTAGCTTGTCAGTGACAATTTGTATTGAAAAAAGTTTGGAGAAGAGAAATAAAGGTATATAAAAAAAATAACAAATTTTCACTTAGCTTTGGACGTTTCGGGATTGAATCTGCTCCCGTTTTCAACAAATAAAACGTGTTGGGGATAAATTTCGAATGGAAACTGTGTTCAAAACTGAAAATACAATGAGATCGATTCTAACTCAGACAGCCGAAATATGAAAAACGATAGTCGAAAAATTGTAGTTACAGTATACCTTGTGCTTGTGGAAAGTTTTATACAGGTGAAATCAAGAGACTCCTTTCAGTAAGGACGAAGGAACATGAGTACAATATAAAGAAAAGACACATCGACAAATCGAAACTAGCTGAACATATCCTTACTGAAGACGGACAACATATGGCAGAGTGGAATAATATTAAAATCATTGGAAAAGAAGATAACAACCAGAAGAGAAAAATCGAGGAATCTGCTTGCATTTTTCTGAACGGAGACAATAGCATTGCTTCTTGTCCAGTTGATATAGAGAGAACATGATATTCAATACTGAAATCTGAAAATGAATATGGTAAATTCAAGATTAATTAATGAAACCATCCAATAGCTCATTTGATTGCCAACGTCACCAATTGTCACTGAGAACTGAAAAGTTTCAAGACAGATGCGAATTTGCTATTCAAATAACCATTTTTTATGTTGAAGGAGCAGAAACGTTTCCGAAACGTCCAAAGCTAAGTGAAAATTTGATATTTTTTCTATATACCTTTATTTCTCTTCTCCAAACCTTTTTCAATACAAATTGTCACTGAGAAGCTAGTGATTTTTTTTTACGCTCTGATAGGAAAATTCTTCAAACGCAGTGACATTTTGGGGCAAATCATCCGATATTCATATTCTTATTTCCTAGAAACGAGGAGAGAAAATCCCAAAAAATCTGGAATAATGAATGCACTACCACCTCAATTTAAATTTTTATATTGGAAATGAAAAGACTGACGCCTTACATACATTTGATGTGTTGATATTATAATATACAAAGTGAATTGTTTATAATATCTGACTGTGGACATTTTGCGATTGATTGGCAATCTTGTATATAACGTCTAAATATGATAATATAATTTTCCATCATTACCTCATTGGTTGGTAATGTTTTAGAGCAATGAGAAGAATCATTGTTGAAATATTTAAGAGAAAATAATATTTCAACAACAATTCCTTCCTATTGTTCAAATGCCTAGAATTTTTGTATTTGTTCACATAGGACAAAAGTATCAAACTTACCCTCTCTTAGATATGTTTGCTGATAGACAAAGGGATTGTTTATATTTCACTCAATATCTATCTTAGTTAATATTGGTTTTACAAAAACGTTTAATTGGACAAATAAGAAGTATTTTTTTATCGGCATTCAGAATTCGTTAACCTTAAAATGCTACTTATTCTGGTACTTTTCAAAAGTATTCTATTTTCCTAATCGGTAGAACGCTTTCTTCTGATCTCAAATATAATTACTTTGTTGAAGTTATTTTTGTCAGTTTTTTTGTTCGTATAAATTTAAGAAAGCTGTAGACCGACAGAAATTGCAGCATTGTCCTCTGGCGTTCTACAGCTGCCGAGAAAAACTACATTTTATGAGAACTGACAAAGATAACATCAAATTTTCAGATTTACGATGCTTTCCTGCATTTTCTAGTGCTGAATTCTCATTGCCCATAAAAATACTTTATATTTGTCCATCTACTCGTTTTTATAATATATTAACTAAGATAGCTATTGATCGAAATATAAAGAATCACCCTGTACAGCAACATCACACACAATCAACCTTGTCACTCCAGTGACTATAACTGACTGACTAATTACTAATCTTTTTTCTTCAACCGTTCTGCAATCCGTGATTCATCATAATCGTAATCACCAGCCACTATCCGCTTATATTATAGTCTGTATGGATGGAGTGAATAATCATATTATCTTAATAATAATAATAATAATAATGTATTTATTCCTTTCATTGATCATATAAAAAACGATATAGAAATCGTCAAAAAAAAAGTTGTATAAAATTATTATAAAGAGAACATACAAACACATAAAAGTTTATACATTGACATGAAGATCAAATGGGTCTAACATTCAGAACATTCAGAAACAATGATTGTAGGTAAACATTCAAAATGCAATCACTTTGAAAATGCAATCACCTCACTTCAGATTTTTATTTCCAGAAATTCCTTCACTGAGTAGAAACTTCTTTCCAGAAGATAATCCGTCACTTTTTTTTTGATTTTGCGAAAGTTTATGTTTCCTTTATACAGGGTGTCCCTAGACCAGTGGGACAGTTGAATATCTCCTGAACCAATAGGAATTTTCGAAATATTATTATTTCACATCATATCGCATCATGATTGCTAACTTGAGGAATGACTATATTTTATACGAGGGGCGCAAGAAAGGCTCACAAAATCGAACATAATTTTTTTCAAATGGAACACCCTGTATTTCATTGCATTTTCAAATTCTCCTTGGAGAGCTGAATCCAACGACCTAGCACACTTGGAGTCTAGCGGGAATTATTTCCGAGATATAGGGTGTGGAAAATCGAGATTTTTCATATTTGGAAATTTTTTGTGTGAAAACTATTGATTATTGGTCAGAACGGCTAACATGTCCTTGTCTCAACTTTTGATTCACTATTTACTCGTATTCGATTGAAACAAATACAGGGTGGTGTAGAATTCTGACTGAAACTGAGAATTCTAAACCACCCTGTATTTGTTTCAATCGAATACGAGTAAATAGTGAATCAAAAGTTAAGACATGGACATGTGAGCCGTTTTGACCAATAATGAATAGTTTTGACACAAAAAATTCCCAAAAATGAAAGATCTCGATTTTCCACACCCTATATCTCGGAAATCATTCCCGCTAGACCCCAAGTGTGCTAGGTCGTTGAATTCAGCTCTTCAAGGAGAATTTGGAAAAGCAATGAAATACAGGGTGTTCCATTTGAAAAAAAATATGTTCGATTTTGTGAGCCTTTCTTGCGCCCCTCGTATACAATATAATCATTCCTGAAGTTAGCACTCATAATGCGATATGATGTGGAATTATAATATTCTGAAAATTCCTATTGGTTCAGAAGATATTTAACTGTCCCACTGGTCTAGGGACACCCTGTATATGAGGGCAGAGAATTAAGGAACCTCGGACCTGTTGTGAAGTGTGACTTTTGAAAAATCTGAGTGCGGTGTTGTCTCAGCCTCAGTAAATTACCGCTCCTTGTAGGATAAGTATGATATTTTTCATTTGTTTCGAACTTGGATTCGTGTTTTTTCACGAAAATCACAGAATGGTACCTGATTTACCTTATATCTCACAGGTACGTGATCTGGTCTAGTGACGTACTTGTTTTTGTTGATGGAAAGCGTGTTTTAGACATTGATATCAAATAACCTCACGAAGACGATACAAAATCGCATATTATTATGCTACAACAAGTGAGAGTCAATTCAATAATGCGTGTACACGCATTTATAAAAATACAGATTGAAAAATATCAATTCTCTAGTAATGTTTCCGCAAAATTTTCCCCACCATTCGTGATTTCTTTCATTCATCCGTGTTTGTCGTTTTTGTCGTTATTAATGGTTTTCCAGCTGTTGTCTGATTAGTTTTCGGTGTTTCAGTAACTCAAAATATCAATAATCTGAAAAGGATACGTAATAATACATAATTGATGGTCTTCGCTAGTGTCAAATCTTTAAAGAAAACTCAGTTGAAAATATCCTTACCTGATATTTCACAGGTACGTCGAAATTTGGTCCAGTGACGATCTTGTTTTTGTTGATGGAAAGCGTGTTTTAGACATTGAAAATATCAAATAACCTCACGAAGACCTACAAAATCACATATTATCATGCTACAACAAGTGACAGTCAGTTTATTAAGGCGTATACAAGCCTTTATAAAAATACAGATTGAAAAATATCAATTCTCAGCAATATTTCCGCAAAATTTTCCCCACCATTCGGGATTTCTTTAATTCATCCGTGTTAGGATTGTCGGCGTTTAGATTCCAATGATTTTGAATTGAAGAGGATTACAAAAACTATATTAATCATTGTGAAACCAGTATCAACTCAAACCCGAAACATCTATGGCAATTCGTGAAGTCGAAAAGAAACAGTACTGCTTCAATCAACACTCTGAGAGATGGAGATAGGATAATTACAAGCTCTCTCGAAATTTGCAAGATATTTTCTGACTATTTTCTCTCGGTTTTTATTCCAAAAAGAATTCTTCCTGTTCAGATGGTAACACATCAAGAATCATATAATAACATTTGTTCCTATGATATTTCCTTACAGTCTATTATTCAAAAACTTGAAAATCTTTCGAATAAAGGAATGGGACCAGATGAGATACCGACATCATTCCTCAAGAACTGTGCTGAATATATCGCAATCCCACTCTACATTATCTTCAATAAATCTCTCGAAGAAGGCGTATTTCCTTCAGTTTGGAAGAAAGCTCATATAATCCCAATCTTGAAATCCGGTAACAAACTACTCGTGAAAAACTATAGACCGATTTCAAAATTGTCAATCATAGCAAAAATTTTTGAATCAATTATTTTCGACAAGCTGTTCTTCGACGTTAAGAACATAATCAACATTGAACAACATGGCTTCATGAAGAAGAGATCAGTTGATTCCAACTTATATTATACACTGAGTATATTCTACACAGGCTCAATGACAAACAACAAGTTGATGCTATCTATACCGACTTCAGCAAGGCGTTTGACAAAATCGATCACTCTGTTTTGCTACAGAAACTTGCTGGTGTCGGAATAGATGGCAATCTGCTGAATTGGCTTCATTCTTATGTAACTGATCGTTGTCAAGCAGTAACAATCGGTAATCAAAAATCTGAATATCACCAAATCACCTCTGGAGTGCCTCAAGGATCTCATCTGGGGCCACTATTATTCAATATTTATATTAATGATATATCTCAATGTTTTCGATTCTCCAATTTTTTAATGTATGCGGATGATCTAAAAATATACCACTCAATTTCCGATGCTGACGACATCAAACTATTGCAGCAGGATATCAATCGTTTTCATGATTACTGTGAGCTGAATAGTCTTTACATTAACTTTGGGAAGTGTTATCGCATTTCGTTCGGACGCGGAAAAAGCATTTTGAACCACTCTTATCAAATATCTTCTCGTCCCTTACAAACTGTTACAGAAATTAAGGATTTAGGAATAATATTCGATTCAAAAATGGTTTTCGATAAGCATATATTCTACATTGCTAAAAAAGGTTATAAAATGCTAGGTTTCATAATGAGAACTTTAATGAATTTAAAAACACACAGACACTCCGTACCCTTTATATGTCATATGTCAATAGTGTTCTGAGTTATGGTTCATTAATATGGAACCCTGGTTACGATATTTATATAAACAAACTTGAACGGATACAGAATATATTCATTGATTACGTCAATAAAAAATGCTTTCCATCCAACCCCAGCAACCGTAACTATGTTCGAAATGAGCTGAACTTATTATCACTAGCGCATAGAAGGAACATTTCAGACGTGAAATTTCTTTATAAAATCATAAATAATTTAGTTGATTCGCCTGCTATCCTCAGTAATATTTACCTTACAGCTCCTACTTATATTACAAGGAATCATCACATTTTTCGTTACGAACAATCTCAAACAAATTATTTTTTGAACTCGCCAATGCATAGGTGCAAAATATTATACAACGCTCTGTCGAATTCTATCGATATTGATATTTTCTCTGACTTTCCAAATTTTCTTACATTTTGAAAAAACATTTCCTGGCTTCACCTACTTGATTTTGATATATTTTAACGTTTCAATATGTACTGAATAAAATTATTTCACCCTTGTTTGTATCAACACACTACAATCACTACATGTTGTACCTATACTCAATCATTTATAATTACTCCAATTATCGATTTTCATCAACTTTGTAATTGATATTCGATTTGTTGAGTTTTAATATATCTGTATGATGAGATATGACATATCTGTGAATACTGCTTTTGGGTTAGTCCCGTTTGTAATCCTATTCGTAAATAAATAAATAAATAAATAAATAAATGAATGGCGGTGTCTTCTAGGAATGTTCGTTACTCGTCGCCGTATACAGCAACATCCAGAAACCGCCTGCCTGTCAAGTGTTTCGCGTAGCGCACGCCGATTGGACGGTCGAGGGCGTGTCTTTAACGCCCTTGGGCTACCTCACAGAGGCCGCGATTCCCGCCCACGATCACTACACGCCCGACCTCTACACGCGCGAGATCGATTCCGGGCATGCGCTCTACGCCATGGTGTTCAAACCGCACCGATTCGAAGGCGGAAAGAAGTATCCGACGGTGTTGAACGTGTACGGAGGGCCCGAGGTGCAGCTTGTGTCGAATAGCTTCAAGGTGAGTGATTTTTTTCATTCTACGTATACAGAGTGACCGATTTGAAAGCGGAACGACCTCATGAAAGGACCCCGCACGAAAACACGGGAAATTGGCTCTTGGTCGAATTGGCTGAAATTTTACTATGTTGTTGTGGGATGGCTCATTAGAAAAATATGTGAGTTTGAAAAGTTTTGTATGTTTAGTTTCTGAGATATAAGCCGACAAAGTTCGTAAAAACGTCGTATCGGAGGATTGACAAAGAAAAAAACTGTTTTTTTAGTATAAATAAGGCAAAATGAGCTTGAAAATGTATTGATCAGAACTCAAATACATGTCTAGTTATGATCCCCTAAATTATAGTGAATCAGGGTGCATACAAGGCACGGTCAAAAAATTCATTTTTCGGAAAAAAAATTCGAGCACTATTCCAAAACCCAAAACCAACAAGTTATATTTTGGTGGGACATCATATAGTTTTAGTCTATTGTAGGCTTCGAGAACGTATTTTGAATCTTGATAATCTCTGTTCGGCATATGAATTTTTAGAATTTTGTGTTACACCCCTTTTTGAAAACAATTGACAGCATGTTTTTGATCACAAAGAAAGTGATTGATTGATACTGTTGATTGAATGAAAGCTGAGGTGACTCACTAGCGAATTCAGTTGTTCAAAATTGCCTTTCATTTAGATACAGGTGTGTTAGATTTTGTTGAAGATTATTTAACATAGGTATTTCAATTGAATATCTCGAAAACAGTTCCGTTAATTTGGATCTTATTTTACTGACACTATTTTGAATATGTTGACTATCTTATGCAAAAAGTTTTTCCATTTTTTATGTTTCGTTTCTGAGATATCAATTTTTGAGTTTACAGTACAACAGGTATTATAGGTATTACTATCGATTCAACAGAACTTTACGGAATCTTTTGAACATTCAATTACATTATGAAACTATCAGAAATCAATAATTTGTTACTATAAACAACACGAACCACATTGAATAACAATATGAAACTAAACAGTATGGATTCCGTAAAGTTCTGTTGAATCGATAGTAATATCCGAGTTGATAACCCTATAATACCTGTAATACTGTAAACTCAAAAATGCATATCTCAGAAACGAAACATGAAAAATTGAAAAACTTTCTGCATATGATAGTCAACATATTCAAAATAGTGTGTGAAAAATGAGATCCAAATTAACGGAACTGTTTTCGAGATATTCAATTGAAATTCAAATTCAAAGAACTCATATTTCGAACAGAGATAGTTATCAAGAATAAAAATATGTCTTCGAAGCCTACAATAGACTGAAACTATAATGTCTCATCAAAATATAACTTGTTGGTTTTGGAATAGTGCTCGAATTTTTTTTCCGAAAAATGAATTTTTTGACCGTGCCTCGTATACACCCTGATTTACTATAATTTATGTGATCATAACTAGACATTTATTTGAGTTCCGATCAATACATTTTCTAGCTTATTTTGTCTTATTTATACTACAAGAACAGTTTTTTTCTTTGTCAATCCTACCCCGGTACGACGTTTTTACGAACTTTGTCGGCTTATATCTCAGAAACTAAACATACAAAACTTTTCAAACTCACATATTTTCATAATGAGCCATCCCACAACAACATAGTATAATTTCAGCCAATTCGACCGAGAGCCAATTTCCCGTGTTTCCGTGCGGGGTCCTTTGTATTTATGGAGCGATTTTCACGAATGTTTTCAAATGTAGAGGGGGAAAAGGTGTATTTTGGAGCTAGTAGCTGAATAATCCAAGAAAACTAGGTTCTTATAATTTTTCCTTATGCCTTCGAAACTCCATATTCAGAAAATCATCTCAAACCAAATTAACAAAATTTGATTAATTTTTTTCATTTTCATCCTCGGGAAATCAGTGGTTTGAAATTGACTGCAAATTCTGGAACGTTCAATAGAGAATCGTGATCGTGATCATGTTGAACTCACCGTTTTCGTGTAATAGTATATTACACGGATAAGATTTTTCAATTCAAGAAGGAATTCTTTGTTCCAGATTCTTTTGGGATTTTCTCTCCTCGTCTCTATAAAATAAAAATATGAATACTATTTCAAAATACGTGTAGTGGGGACAAATCAAACGATTTGCCCCAAAATTTCACTGCGTTTGAAAAATTTTCCTATCAGAGAGCCTGAAAGAAAAATTCACTAGGTTGTGAGTGACAATTTGTATTGAAAAAGGTTTGGAGAAGAGAAATAAAGGTATATAGAAGATTTTCACTTAACTTTGGACGTTTCGGAAACGAATCTGCTCCTGTTTTCAACATAAAAAATGTTTTTTTTGTATACGTATATTGAAATAATATTCATATTTTTTTCCACCACTAGCTATAAAACCTACCATTATTTACTTTTTTTCCACGCGTTTCCGTCAATTAATTAACTACTACTACTACTCCGTCCTTATAGATTCATAAAGTACCTCTCATTTTGGTCCCATTTTTGTTGAGATATCATATAGGCGATGAACCATATATAGAAATAGTACATAATATATGGGTAATTGTGTTGTGATGTGACAACTTTGACAGACTTTGAAGTCAATTTTATGTCCGTTTTCAGCTAACAGAAGAAATATCATTTTTCATTATAGATTTCGAAGATTTATTGAAAATAATAGAAATGGGTGCAGCAGGAATGGATTTCATCTAATTATAGGTATACTTACATTCTGAAGATTCCTTTGATCATCAAAAGGTTCATTATTCCAAAGATGATTCCATCAGTTGGGATCATGAAAACCAATTTATGAACGCTTCAGGACCAAGGAGTACCTTTATCCTCGTCGAAAATGAATTTCTCGAATGACATATTCAATTATTATCACTCAACAAACTATCTTTCGAGAAATATGAAAATTACTTTTCTTTGCAATGATTTATTTATGTTTTCCATTCCCAATGCTGACAGATGAAGTGTGAAATCGACTAATTTGACACACTTCAACGAAATCTTGAATGACATGGCGTGTGACGTCAGTGGACATGAAGCTTCTTGCATCTCTTTCTTAAACAATTGCCTGTCATGTGCTTTGAGCTCTCCTTGTGTGTATAGTCTTCTTGGACTGGTACCAGTTCAATGATGGCTCCGTATCAAGAACTTCATCTGAGAAGCTATCCCGACTAAGATCCCCCGAAACGCCATACATCCTGTTTTATAGCCTTGACCTCTTTACCTCTTAGACAACAGATGATTCTGGATCTGGACCATCTTGAATTTAACGAGTTTCAGCAATAACGGCAGCATTTCATTAATATATGTCATCTTCAAAAAATTGGATTTTTTTGTATTTTCTTTTAAAAAAATGGTGTTTTTTGCAAGGGTATGAGACAACTCAGGATGCACATGTTGGCTGCCAGCGGTTATTGTGTGGTGGCGATAGACTCCCGAGGCTCCCAGCACCGAGGCTTGCACTTTGAGAGCTATATCAAGGGGCGAATGGGCACTGTGGAGCTGAAGGACCAAGTTGAGGTGCTCAAATGGCTGTCTGACAGCTTGGACTACATCGATTTGAGTCGTGTGGCGATCCACGGTTGGTCTTACGGTGAGTTTCCGAATTTTTTCGACAGGCTGGTTTGATTGATTGTCTTTATTACCCCAAGAAACATTATTGTTTATAATAGGGATATACAGGGTGTCCCAAAATTAGCCTGCCAAACTCCACCAGCGGCTTCTGCGACCAAAAATAGGAAGGAAAGTTCCAATGAACATGAGTCGAGAAATGTCTCCTATACAGAAGATGATATTTCTTGAATATTTCCGAAACGTCACGTGATAAAATGATGCAATTTGGTACAAGAACTGAACTTTCGAAGTTTCATTCAAGAGTGTATAATACAGGGTGGGACTACATTGAATATTGCTCAAACTTTTTCGTATGCATATTTTTTGACAACTCAATCTCGGATTATGAAAATCCACACCGTATCACAAAAAAAGGTGCTCCTATTCCGCATCGGTCAGATGTATCATTTTCGAGTAAAATCGATTTGAAAATATTTAAGCACTCACATCTTATGCATAACGTTGCCAGTTTTCAAATAATTCCATGAAAGCACGAAGAATAGGAGAATGATTATGGAAAAAAATACTTAAATTTTTGTGCATTTTTTTCTATTTTCACTACGCCTCATTGCAATGTTATGGATAATATCTGAGATGTAACAATATTTTCTGCTTCTACTCGATAATAATACTTCTGATCGTCACGGAACAAGAGTACCTTTTTTCTGTAAAGAGGTGTGAAATTTCATAATTTGGGATTAAATTGTAGGGAAATATGCTTACAAAAAATTTTGAGCAATATTTAATGTAGTCCTGCCCTGTATTATACACTCCTGAATGAAATTTTAGAATGATTTTATTCACACTGCATTGGGCATGGGAAGTTAAGTTTTTGTACCAAATTGTATCTTGTTATCACATGTAGTTTCGAAAATCTAAAAAAATATCATCTTCAGGAGCCCCCTTTCAGGGGGTCGTAGCTCCCTTGAGAGACATTTTCTCGACTCATGTTCACTGGAAGTGTTCTTTCTATTTTTGGTCGTTACAGCCGCTGGTGAAGTTTGGCATGCTAATTTCGGCACACCCTGTATACAACAAAACAATAACCTAATAAATTGAAACAATAATAATTGCACAATTATTGTTTTTCTCGAGAAAAAAAAAGAAATATGAAATGAAAATATAATTCATTTCAAGTAATCAAATTGTGAATGATTAGCAGATATGGAATTGGAGTTTACTGAGCAGATATTTCTTCAAATTGATCTCAAATCTTTCTAATTCCTCTATATTTTCAAACTCATCAGGTAAGGAGTTATATAAAATTATTCCATCATGGAATATTGATTGTTGATTTGACTCAAAATTATTTGCTATCAATAAATTAAATTGCTTTGTTTCATGGGCGTGAATTGTTTCAACTTCAGAAAAATTCAAATTTTAAATTTTCGATTCCTTCCTGACAAAATGAATAAAACAACAAATTTTGAGTTCTTATAATGAAACTATATTCAGCAAGTCTTTGGGTTTGTAAAGATTTTACAGTTGATTTTAAAAAAGGTAAATTGAAAATGCACTTTATTGTTCTATTAAGGAACGAATTCATTGGCAAAAAATGACTGTGACAAGTTATGAATAACATATATTAATATACCGATAGTGAAACACTATGGATACTATCGCAAAATACTATAATTTATCATTATTAGTGATCAACTTCATTCAGCCAAGGAGAGATTTATGGTAATTATTCATGATACTTGACAAACTAGGATTGAAGAACCTATTACATCTCATCACTGTTATGATATAGTTATTATGCATTCAAAGAACAATATCCGGAAATGTAGACATATTGATAATGTCGGCAACGTCGTACTGGCACAGGGAATCGTTTTTTAATTCTGTGTGAATGTGGATTTTCAGAAAGTACGTCATAGGAATGGTGGAGGAACCAAGTTTCTCTTTTATTCATTTTTTTCTGAAGTGAAATTTGATCCTACGACAAAAAAAACGTACATATTAATTTTTTACAAACTTTACAGTGAGATAAAAACCTGAATATAGGAAACTTCCCCATTATTATCAAGTACATTTACCCATTTCATGTCACTTTATTGACACCTGGTTTCTAAGAACGAAATAGTCAGAGCCACCTTGGACTAATTTGAATACATCGCTCTCATCTCGCTCGCGTTCAGCGATGCTGATTAAATCATACATGAGATGCGAGCATATTATTATCTGATATGCGAGGATCTCTATTTCAGTGGCAAATACGAAGTCAGCCGCATAGATTTGTTCGCTTGTTGCCTTGCTGAATCGCGTATAGGAGCCCATACACTGCGTTGTTGGTAGGCTGTTTTGTTCGTCGAACAGGTCTGTTCGAACAAAAATGACGCAAAATCGAAGTGTGTGTTGTGTGGCTAGCGAAAACGACCATTTTGCAGCCTCACACTTCGGTTTCGCGTCATTTTTGTTCGAACAGACCTTTTCGTGGAACAAAACAGCCTTTCACGCAAGCATTAATTCCATCGCCTAGCAACAGCCGTGAAAAAAGAGTACTTTTTTTCCACACTTCCTCTTGAAATAATGAAACAGAATTTTGATATTAAAAAATTGTTTTGGGGTACTTCTGTTGAATCAACATCTACCATCATGATACAGAATCGGGCGATTCGAACAGTATTCATATGAGGTATAGAGATTCATGTAGGAATTATTTTGCAAACTATAAAATATTTAAGTGAGGGTTACTTAGCTGTGTGGAGGTGTAGGTCATTGTTTATTGGATTGCATAACTGGTGAGATTGAAAATGGTATCCCTAATTCATTTTTGGTTATGTTGACCAATTAGTGTTTAATTCGTTTGTGCTCTAAGTGCGTTGAAAACCTAAAAAATAAAATCAGTTGTCCATGAAACTTAGTCCTCTGCAAAATCTTGAAAACATGGCTCCTCCACTCAATGTATTCAACTTTTCTCCTATTTCTTCAAATGAAGTCCGTGACATCATAAATAACATTAAAAATAAAGCTAGCTGTGATATATATGGTCTGAACATTAAAGTAATTAAATCTATCAAAAACTTGATAATCAGTCCTCTAACTAAATTAATTAAATGTTGTTTTAGTCAGAATGTCTTTCCTGACATCCTAAAGAAGGCTCTTGTTGTGCCTGTTTATAAAAAGGGTGACAAAAATGAGGCCAACAATTACAGGCCCATCTCTTTGCTGCCGGTATTATCTAAAATTTTTGAGAAGTGCATGGCATTGAGGCTGACGAAGTTCTTTGAGGAGAATGGGTGCTTTACGGAAAGTCAATTTGGCTTTCGAGAGGGCAGGAGTACTACACTGGGCATATCAAATCTCATTGCTGGTATTCTTGATTCTTTTGATAATCTCCAGTTTAATGCTGTCCTTTTCTGCGACTTGAGTAAGGCATTCGACTGCGTGAACCATGAACTCTTGCTGAGCAAGCTAGCTCGCTAAAATTTCAGTTCAGATAGTATTAAACTTGTCGATTCCTATCTACAGAATAGATCCCAGTCTGTCAGGGTGGGGGGGGGGTGTACTCTGAGGAAAGGGTTGTAAACATAGGTGTGCCTCAAGGATCTGTCCTGGGGCCGATTCTATTCATAATCTATGTGAATGATCTTCCCTTAAACAGTGTTAGAGAAAAATACACACTCTTTGCGGATGACACCGCCATCTCCCTGTCAGCGGAATCAGTTGATCGGGCTATTGTAGAGCTTGAAGCCATGCAGGCAAGAGTGAAGGACTGGTTTAACGCAAATAAGCTCCTCATGAACGAAGACAAAACAGAGAAATTGATTTTCTCCCTGAGAGATTCCAGTAACGTGAATAAAAATGTGGAGAGTGTTCGATTCCTTGGAGTGTACATTGACCCCACTCTAAGATGGGATGACCAAATCAACCAGGTTTCATCAAGGCTTAGCAGGGCACTTTTCGTCCTTCGAAACCTTTCCGAGAATATCTCAGAAAAGGTTATGAAAACATCGTACCATGCTATATTCCACTCTGTAATGACATATGGTATCTTGGTTTGGGGTCACTCCCCTCTTGTGTCCAGACTTTTTGGATTACAGAGGCGAGCTATTCGAATCATGGCGGGTCTGAGTTTCAGGGGGGACTGCAGACAAGCATTTAAACATTTTAATATACTCACCTTACCATCTCATTACATACTAGAAAATCTGATGTATGTGAAGGACAATGAGGATAAATTCAAGGTGCATAGTGGGGTCCACAACTATGATACAAGACAAAAAAACTTGCTCATCCCAGCTTATCATAGGTTGAAAAGGTGTCAAGATGGCCCAGGCTATCTATCCATAAAATTTTTCAATACTCTACCAGATTCCATAAAGAACTTGGACCGAGATAAATTCAAGGATAAAGTTAAGCAGATTTTGTATCTAAATTGCTTTTACTCATATGATGAATTCCTCACACACAAATTTTAATAATTGTTTCTAATATTTTCTAATATTTTCTGTTTATAATCAAATGTTTTAGTCTAAAAATTTAAATTATACTATATAATTGGATTGTAGCTCCACTATATTGTGCCTAAAGTCAAACTTGCATTGTGCTCATAATTTTGACAAATATTGAAGATTTTAATTCCCTGTTTTTACAAATGTATGCTAACCTGATTACTATAGTTTCCTACTGTTTTGACGAGTGTAAATACCTATGTATAATGACATGAAATATATTGAGTATTGAGTATACGAGAAACTTAGTTTTGCATTAGTTTCGTTTCCTCTTTTCAGGTGGCTATTTGAGTTTGATGGGTCTGATAAACTATCCCGAAGTATTCAAAATAGCGATAGCTGGTGCTCCGGTAACGAATTGGAATTTGTACGACACCGGTTACACGGAACGGTACATGGATCTGCCGGAACACAATCCGGAAGGTTACCATGACGGTTCCGTTCTGAATTACATCAACAAATTGCCCGACGAGTGAGTTGGACATTTTTTTTTTCGGTTTTAACTTTTAAGGCTGTATGACACCTGTTAAATTTGATGATAAATATGATAACAAAAATGATAACAAAAATATTTTCTATGTGCCATACAGTAAAAATATTTATAATATCAAAATATTTAGAATCAGTCCCATATTTTTACAAGAATGTTTGCAAATCTGCGCAATCACACCTTTTTCACTGTACGACACATAAAAAATTTGTTTGTCATCATTTTTGTTGAGATATTTGTCATCAAATTTAACAGGTGTCATACAGCCTTTAGAATCGGCGTTCTTTATTTGGCTTGTGGAACATACACATAGTCCCTGGGACCCTATTCTCAAATGGTGAGATATTTTGTCGCATGCGAGATTTCTACATTGTCGAACAAAAAACGTGAGTTCCCATTCTCGAATGACAGAGTGGTCTTAAGCAGTCGACATTTTGATGTCGAATGCGAGATTGAATATTTGACTGATTTCTTCACTTGTTAACTTGGTAATGGCAGTTTCATTGATGGAAATTGAAAATTTGGAAAATCAAGAAAATCATCAACGGCCACTAGAGAACGTATATAATGCGATCAGATTTTTATCGGACATAAAATGTATAAAAACATTAAGGTAAGGAATTAGTAAGAGTCCATTGCACTGCTAGTGAGTGCTAGAACCATTTCTGGTACAGGGACATAGGTCTTCTGCATGTTTTTCGCCAGATAAAAGTGGCTCATTCTATTTTTCTTCCATCAAGTTGAGTGTTTCCTTTTAAGATGAAATACAATAACTTTTTGCTTTTCACTGCCATTATTATTTCAAAATATCATTGACATAACCTCCATCGTAACAACAAATTGAACAACAAAGAAACCACAACACATTGGCACAGAACACATTCGAGAATCGTTAATTCGATGTTGCCAGTTCATGCTATTCGACAAATTTTGTCTCATGCGAGTTTGAAGTCGAAAGCAATCGAGAATACCACACTTTAACGTTGTGCGACAATTTCTATCGACATATGTCGCATACGACATATTTCGTTCGACATTCAAGAATAGGCCCCCAGAAGCCAGCTGCAAATTACGACCATCTTCTGATAACGAAATGACAAATACATGGTGGTCCAACGGAAACTTCACACCCCGATTTCAGGGCTTTAAAATGAAGATCCGAAAAAACGCTCGGACTCGTCGATATCTGATTCAACCCCTGGATTTTGAATAGGGATTTTGAAGGTTTCATCCAGTAATATCTGACTTATTTCGCGTTAAAATTTTCATCGATAATGAAATACAAATACAAATACTTTATTCATCACTGGAAACTTTTGTACAGCTTATGAGAATATAAAATATACGAAAAGCTCATTGGACTAGTCAAATTTAAAATATACAATTAAAATAAGTAGGTAGTACAACAGTTATTCATCAACATCACTAGTTTATACACAATTGACACAATTCATTACAGTTATCTAAAATTATTCACATTGCTAAAAATTCATCTGTACAATAAAATGCATTGTTTGAGAAATATGCTGTTAGCTCATCTTTAAATTTGGTTTTATTTTCTTTGTCGCCGAAGAGATTTTGGAATTTGTTATGAAATTTTATTTGTTGATAGGTGTGAGAGTTTTGACTGATTTTTAGTCTGGAATAAGATTACGACCACGTGTTTCATAATTATTATGAACATCACGATTTTTTATCACAAATTCATCATTCATTATATCTTTAATCAAGAGATATACAGTGTGTCCCACTTACCATGCTCACCATGGGTATCTTTTTAACGGTGAGATATACGAGGTCGGTTAAATGACACCAAATGTGGAGTTTGTCAGGGCCAACTATAATGTGAAAAAATATTTTGATGAAATCTATTCGTTTTTGTTTTATACGCAAAAAACAGATTTTGATCATTTTCATGTCTCCTCCGTAACTTCTTTATTTATGAAAATATATTCAAAGAGGAATTTCACATTCTCATGGCAGTTTTTCAAAGTGATTTCGAAAAAAATATGAAATTTATACCAACTCTTCTAGAATTTGAGATATCAGCACCAACTTTAGTTTTTCAAATGTAGGTCATAGCTCACTATGACTTAGTTACAAATAACTTTTTTATTCTCTCACAGATCATATGTCGCAGTAATAGTTGTGTTGATAACAACGCAGTTATCGTCATTTATACAAAAACAAAAAATTATTTTGAAGCCGCCATCTTGAATTATTAAATGTTAACAAAAAAGTCATAATCTCCGACCTCAAAAACCATCACTCACCAATTTTGAATGGAATCGGACAAAATATTGCCCGCCATCTTGGAGCAGCCATTTTTTTATTTTCAGCAAAAATTCAATAACTCCGATTAACTTGAAATTCAGCAGGTGTTCATAATTTCGGTGACACATTATGGAATTTTTGTTGAAATTAAAAAAAATTGCTGCTCCAAGATGTCGGACAAGATTTGGTCCGATTCCATTCAAAATTGGTAAGTGGTGGTTTTTGAGGTCGGAGATCATGATTTTTTTGTTAGAATTTATGAATTCAAGATGGCGGCTTCCAATTAATCACTTTGAAAAACTGCCATAAGAATGTGAAATTCCTATTTGAATATTTTCATTAATAAAGAAGTTACGGAGGAGACATGAAAATGATCAAAATCTGTTTTTTGCGTATAAAACAAAAACGAATAGATTTTATCAAAAAAATTTTTCACATTATAGTTGACCTTGACAAACTCCACATTTGGTCGTGTCATTTAACCGACCTCGTATCTCTCACCGTTTAAAAGATACCCATGGTGAGCATGGTAAGTGGGACACACTGTATATAGAAATGAGAGATGAAATAGTGGAAGAGACAATGTCGGACTTACCTCGAAAAGCTTATATCGGGTCCTCAACAATGATTAAACACCACGTGACCATAGTAGTATGCAACCAATAATACATTTTTGTTATCATGTTTACCCAGGTAACATCATCATATATGTCATATTAGCACCCTGGATCATTCATGGCTGTAGTTTCCAGTGTATACGTTCTGTGGTTCACGTCTTTCGCAATTTGATTGGTCCGTTAACTTGTCAAATGTCATAGCAGCCAATAGCTTGCCCTGTTTTATAAAAATTAAAAACAGGGAAGTTGGATTGTGAATCTGTCTCTTCAATTTTGTGTTTTCAAAATTTATACTGCAAAGCTGTAGCTCATTAGCACCCAGTAGCGCTTTGTTGTCTTTTCTCCTGGGTTTGTATTTTATTCTATTGTTCTTGCATTTGATTATTCCACTCACAATTATCACTTTGCGAAACAAAGTTTTTATCAAAACAACATCTCCAATTCATTGTCGAGAAAAGGTAAGACCAATAGTGAACCTCTTGTTTTTATTTCAGGCTCACGGTTTGAAGTAAGAGCGTCATTCATTCCTTCTAATGTTTTGACACTTTTGCCATTGAAGCATTCCGAAGAAATTGGCTGAGAATTATTATCTATTCCGTTGCCAGTTCTGAAATGAAATTCCGAAATGTATCACACATATCTTTCCATTGTACCCAAATGAGTACACCATTGTTTTTTTTGTTATGTGAGGAATAGAGAGAAAAATTGCCAGGATAGTATAAGCAACGGACCCAGTGCAAAAAGTAACTCTTGAAAACAAAAGATGAGTCAGCACTAATTTACACAATCTCTTTGGTTGGCATGATCGACATTTACGCCATTTGTGAGTACATCTTGAAACTACGAGTCTTTTGTACATTGCAGAACACTACCACGTCATTATTTTGTTGAAGTCGATAAATCATAATGTTTTCACATTCCTTTGGGACATATAATATCATTTCCTTATCAGATGACGGTCGAAATTTCTAGCTGGTTCTTGGACTATAAGACGCCTCAGAGAAGAATGGCTTTTTTCTTGGTTTCCAGGGAAAACAGACTGCTCATCATCCACGGTCTCATCGACGAAAACGTCCATTTCTACCATACCAGTCAGCTGATAAACGGCATAATAAAGGCCGGCAAGCCGTACCAGCTGCAAATCTACCCGAACGAAAGACATTCTCTAAGACATTTAGACGCCAGCAAACATTACGAAACCACGTTGCTTTCCTTCCTTCAAAATCATCTGTAAATTCACCGGAACACCGGAAGAATGTTTTGCTGGTGAAAAAAAAACAATAACAAATTACAAACTCGTGCGACAGAATTTTGGGAAATTTTAGTCTGATCTGGAAAATGTTTTACTGGTGAAAAAACAATAACAAATTACAAACTCTTGGCGACAGCATTTGTAAATTTTTGATCGGATCGGTAATGAGAAAACAATAACAAATTACAAATTACAAACCAATTTTTTAATCGAATCGGACGGGTACTCGCGAAAGTTTTTATTTTCAGATTGTGGGAAATGATCGAGTTTCCAGCTGAGGGTTTTATTTCTCTGTGAAGGTCACGAAAAATTATCAAAGAGAGTTGAAGTACAAGAGAGTTTTATGAAGTTTTTCTGTTAGGGTGTCCCCAAAAGGTCTGTACAAAATCTTAGCACATATTCTTGAAGTCAGAATAAGCTGATTTGAAACAACTTACCTTAGTCCGAAATTGCTTCGTTTTCGAAATACTTGAAAGTTTGACCAAAAAATAGTAATTTACGTTACAAGTCGGGAAAATACTGTATTTTTTTGGACGAGTGGACAAAATTCTAGGCCGAGCCGTAGGCGAGTCTTGAAAGGCTAAGAGTCGAAAAAAAAAAGTTTTTGGTCGTGTTGCGTGCACTATTTTTTCGGCAACCATGTAGAATAACATATCAATGAGACACATTTCCATTTTATATTTCTTTGTAGAATACAATTTCTTCTTTATTAATTCTCATTTGTATCAAAGACTGAAATTTGAACAGAATTCCTATACCTACTGACTGTTACATTAGAAATTTCGTATGGACATTTTCAAACTCACTGCAGCTGCTTTCGATAGTTTTTTGCGATAATTGCAAACAAACTTTTAAATATCAAAATGTCAACTAATTTCATGTCAAATAGCAGTCAGCCTATATTTCGCTGCTATGATAACTATCATCTGCATTTATCAAAACCATATATCGAAGACTGGAACCTTTGGCACGATAATACACTACACTGTTTTACCACTAACCAAACCGATTTTTTTAACGCCTCGACACGTGTTTCGCTAACTATGTTAGCATCTTCAGGAGAAGATTAAAACTAATCTTCTCCTGAAGATGCTAACATAGTTAGCGAAACACGTGTCGAGGCGTTAAAAAAATCGGTTTGGTTAGTGGTAAAACAGTGTAGTGTATCAAAACCATATCTATCGCGATTTTCATAGTTACAGTGACCGGCCGGAAAAATGTTATTTTCTCAAAGAAAGAGCGCCGAAAAAATATATTTCATGAACAACTTTCAAACGGCTGCCTTGTTATAAATGAAATTCCGGCAACTAAATTAACATATACTGATGCTCCTTTCGATATGTAGACGGCTGTTCAGTATGTATGTTCTATACAGAATGGGACGATTTTTGTCCGTTTAATGGAGACATTTTTGACGGAGGCGACAAATTTTGTATTTTGCTTCCACGGTTCGATTCCTCCATCTGTTTTCTACAAAAATAGTATACTTTATTTCAATCGATATCTTGTACCATTCCAGAGAAAATCTAATTTTAAAAGCATAGATCCCAACCGTTTCGAAAGTAATAAAAACTCTATTCATTCAATGGGTTGCGTGCAAGGACTGTCAGATGACCAACACTGGACGTGAAACATTGAAACACAACCTCACTTCTCTTATTTGTTCACAAATGATTGGAATAATTTTCCACATTTATTTTGGCATAAGAATAGTGTTTTTTGACTATTCATTAATTCGCGCATGTCATCACATTGTGCTGTTGTACACTGCACGAAAAATGCAGCGAGAGACGAAGGAATCCGGTTGGTACATTATGATTCAAAAGTAAGTAGGTACCTACTATAGTCACTCACATATATTTTTCATTTTGAAATTTGGTAATTTCACTGATTTCTCATCGGAATTCCTTCTGCAATAGGAGCCAATAGAAATACTCGTGAAATTTCTAAAAGAATGCAAGAAGATTGGATTCATGCAATCAAACGGGAGGACTGGTCTGACATGTTGACGAAATATGATCGTGTGTGTTGTAGACATTTTCAATCTATTAGCAGTATTAGCTTCTATTGCAGAAATGGCAGAAGGAATTTGAATAAGAAATTACAAAATTTTATAATGAAAACTATGTGAGATTATTATTTACCTGAAAAATCATATTCCTTCTTCTTTCGCTGCATTTTTCGTGTATTGTACAACAGCACAATGAGAAGGCATGCTTGAATTAATGAATAGCGCAAAAAACACGATTCGTATGACAAAATATTGTGAAAAACTATTTCAATCCTTTGATTCTACTGTAAACAAATATAAAAAGTGAGGTTGTATTCCAATGTTTACAGAGAAGTGAGGTTGTGTTTCAATATCATGGTGTTGAGTCATTGTCATCAAATCATTTTTACAGTATTTTATACTTTGGTAACACCATGGATGAGTTTAGTAACGATGAGTATCCATATTATGTAGGGACTTGCAGAAACTTCAAATTCAATAACTCTGTAAGGAAGTGTGATAGAATTTTTTTTTATAACTCTATCAGCCCTATCATTTACGATATGACCTTTGCGGATACCTTATATACAGGGTGATTTGCCTAAGGTTGCGAAAGATTATTCAGGGAGTTCCCGCCGAAGTAAGTTGAAAAACTGCGAATTGAGCAAAAATAGAAAAAAAAGGAATTATTTTACGCCGTCCACGGATTTCAAACATCATTTATGGTAAAGATTATTAATTTCCCGTGTCATTTTTATACAAAAATCACGTAAAATAGGTGTTTATATGTATATATCAGCTTTATATTTATGACTCACTAACTTATATCATGTATAAAAATGAAAATAATATTGAAGAATCTTCACTATGTTAAATATAAAAAAAATCATAAACATCGTGAGCTCTGAAAAATTGAAGAACACTTCAATATCATTTTTATCAATATTCTCAATATTTTTACTAGTATTATAATTAAATTGTTATCATTATCATCACTACTATCATTATTTTCATGATTATTATCATCGTTTTTATTATATTTTACGTTGGTTGAAACATTATCATGAGCAAAATTAAAGCAGCTTGCTGGATAAATATTTCCAGGAAAAATAGTATCACAAGTCGTATTCCTCTATGACTATTTCATGATTGAGACAATAAACGAGCGCCTCGCGATAGAGATGCGCACACTGCATCCATCATTCTGGCTTCCACATAATTAACGTTATAAACGTCAAAAATTGTATCGCTGAAAAACGAGATTGGTTTCTGATTGGTTCTCGAGAACAAGAGTGGAATAGTCGCTGAAAAACTAAGGGCAAAGTTTTTTCGTTGTCATAATTATGGCAAAACTACGATGGTTGATGGAATTTTTTATTCAAGAATCAAATCGTCATGGGAAAAAATAAAATATACGTGGCTGAGAAACTTTCATAATCTTCACGGAGAAATAAAAATCTCATTGGTAAACATAACGCGATGATCGAGTTGAACAAAAACGTACAGGGTAGCTCAAAAATATTCCTGAGAGTTTCTCTACGGATTGTCAGTGTTGCTATTGCGTCGAACACCTGTGTTATCGCTTGTTGGAATTTTTATATTTGTACTTACAAACTGATGTTGCTTGTCAAAAAATAGTTTGGCGCTAACAGTATTTTTGTGTCATGCATTTATTTCGTTGAAAGTAAAAACCGAGTGATCATTTGCTGCAAAATTGTGTGATTTTTTTGTTGAAACCTTCCTTCATCTGATCTTATTTTCATCTGCAAAGTGAAGACGATCTCAATGGATGTGAATAGGAAATATAGTGAAATGAAGGTAGGAACATCTATTTTTCACATACACGAGCTTTTTTTTGTCGAAGTAAACTTGACATTTCAATGAGAATTTTGTTCACTTGGACTTATAAAGATCTTTCATAAATGAATCAAACTGTGAAGAAAAAAACGTACATATACTAAGTGATATCCTCCCAAAAGTTTTTTTTTCAAAATATATTTTTTCCCGTTAAATAAAATTGGATATAGATACTGCAGAATAATTCGAAATTGCTTTCTTACTATACAGAGTGAATCAGGAGGTGAGTTTTTTTCAATAGGATATACAGAGCAGTGCACAAAAAACGACCAAACTGTAACTTTTGAATCATTTGAGATAGGGGTTTGTTTTTTAAATGGGGTAACCTGTATTTTATTAGGGATTGTCATAACGAATTCATCGATTCCGGGTTTGATAGGGTTATTCCAAACGATTACGCAGATATTCGCGTTCTTAGTTTCCATATGCTCAATGAGTGTGACAGAGAAAGAAGTTTTGATATTGCGAAGTCACACCCATTATTGAGCATATGGAAACTTCGAACGCAAATATCTTTGTAATTGTTTGAAATAACCCTATTATACCCGTTATTGTTAAGAAAAAATTCCAATACCTACCTCCTATCCCTATCCTCCCTAGGAACGCACGATGTTCTCTGAACATTATAGGGATTCCCTCTCGTGCGCTCACAGCGATAAAAAAAAATTCGTCATGATAATTACTAACCGATTATGGAATACAATACAGGGTGTCCCATTTAAAAATCAAAAGTTGGGCTCGGTGAAACTCAAAGTGGTAAAAGAAAAGTTGTTTCATCAATTATTATTGAGCAATTTGGTATACTTACTACCAATTTTCAAAACCCTATCTAGGATAATTCAAAAGTTTCAATCCTGGCCGCTTTCTGTGCACTTCTCTGTATGTAGGTATATCTCACCAAAATAAGTTGTTTGGCAAAAAATTGCTCATTATAAAATATTTAAAATAACGGAGGTACAGGTATTTAAAGGTTTGAAGAAGACTCCAACTATAAAACATTTTGTTCACATTTTTCTCAAAAAACGCAAAAAGGCGGTCATTAGTCCAGCATTAGATACCTTACAGTTGCATTATTGCATCAGAATAATTGATCAAAAACCTCTTCTTACATTTTCAATTAACCTTCGTTGCGAAGTGAGATATATACCCAGTTAAATAAAAAACCTCACTTTCAGATTCACCCTGTACAGAAATGAGGTAAAAATGATCCTAACGTTTTAATGCGTGTTTTGAATTATGTCACATGGTATACTTCTTCATCATCAAGAAATGAATCAGGATAACTCTAGTTCAATAATATTTTTTCTTGACAATTCTGTAATGAATTATTGATTTTAAGCTATCTTTAAAACTGCCCTTGATTTCTGCAAAGATGGAAGAAATGTCACATAAAATTTCACAAAATAAAAGAAATAATCATTAGTGCCGATTGTTATTATGATCATTTCATGATCTTTTATAATAATGGTTATTTCACAAAAGAGAGATACTCAAAGTCATTATCAAAATGGTTCATAAAATGAACTGAAATGATAGATAACGAGAGAAAAACAACTACTTTTCTGGCTATATGCTACGCAGAACATTGGATTACAGTTTCCCGAAATCTATACAGGAACGCGTGACTACCTTCAAACCGGTTTCGAACTGTTGGCTTTCATCAGTGCAGAGCTGTCCCAGATAGCATTCTTGACCGCTATCTGGTGCGAACCTAACCCAACGTAAATGCATCACAGCATCCATACCCCATCTGGAACAGCCCTGCACTGATGACAGCCAACAGCTCGAAACCAGTCTGTAGGTATAGTCACGCGTTCCTGAACCACTTAGATGCAGCTCAGCGTTTAGAAAGGAAACACTTGCGATTTTATCCGTCTATACAAATGGACATGTACACCTTAGTAAAACATTTAAGTAAAACCATGTTTATAATGATCCTTTTATACATTCAAATTTGGTTTTCCAAGTCAATAGCAATCACCACAACCATACAACCAGACAAGCAGATCATTTTTCTGTCAAGAAAATTAAATCAGATATTGGTAAAAAATCCATCTATCACAATGGAATGATACAATACAATTCACTACCAAATAACTTGAAGCTGATTAATAGGATTGAAAAATTTAAAAGAGAATTCAAGAAACATCTACTCCTGTAATATTGACATCTTATCTCATTTTTATAGTTTTCTTGTACAACTACTATAGTTTTCAATTGTGTACCTAACAGCTGAGTCAATTGAGGATCATATTCATTTGAACTTGAAAAAAAAAAAGATTCTTTTTGAGTGTGAGTCTTATTTTACTGTCTTCTTTATTTTATTTTGTCAAATATATTTATGTATTCACTATGTTCCCTGCTATAAACAAATGTTGTTTCTTGGGAATAATAAAGTTGATTGATTGATTGATTGATTGATAATTCGATCGAAAAATCAACTGGAATGTTTTATTTTTGGACACAAATAATAGTTGGTACCTTCTGGAAACGGACCCTCTTATGACGTAGAAACCTCATCTCGCCATAGTTGAAAGAAAATACCAAACGCCCGACGGAGACTGAGGCAACTGATATATTAATTCTTCCAACTGTGATCTCGCGCTAATTCTGTCTTGTCAGAAATCATATATCATTCATCTCTGTCTGGAATAGTCTTGTTTCAGTATTAGGGTTGTGACGTCACATCATCGTCTCGTTTTCAGAGGTCCGAAAAATTGGGGATTTCAATAATTTTTCATAAAACGTAGGGAGCTCACAGCAAGAAACGGTTTGCGGTGGTGAGCTAGTTTGGGTGAGTTCTATGGAATTATAGAATACAATTTTTTTGTGATATAAGCCCATTATTGCATCTATTTCGGGAGGATGTATTCCAATGTTCTGCGTGGTATATACCCAGGAAATTAGTTGTTTTTTTTTCTCCTAATTATCTACCATTTTCGTTCATTTTATGAACTATTGTGGTAATGACTGAGTTTTTATCTGTTGTGACCGCATTGCATTCCACTGTTGAGTATTTGACTTTTTTGTAGTTGTTTGCAGAAAAAATTCATTCCAATTTCATGCAAAGTCCAAATAATCCATCATTTTGTGTTCTTCCATAGTCATTGTCAATTTGGATTATCAATTTGATTATATTTATCACTTGGAAAGTTGCATAGCAACAAACATTTTCTGTTTGGCATTATACTTGCTCTGCCTGCAGTACTTTCTCTTCCCAGGCAGTACCTTTTCTGTCTGTTAAAAAGTCACTTTTATGTAATTTGGAAAAAACACCTTTCAATACCTACCTTCTCTCCCTATCGTCCTTAGGTACGCACAGTGTTTCTCGAGTAAAGATTCTCTTTCATGCGCTACAGAAAATGAAACTGTGTGAATTTCAAAATCGTTCCGTGATTCTTCAAATTCATCAGCTCTCAACTAACGGGTCTTCAACATTGATTGAAAACCACGAGACAGATTACTATGCATCCAAGAATACATTCATATGTGGGTGGAAAAGAGATGCTGCATCAAAAATGGCGACGAGACACTGAATCATTGTTGAAGACCTTGTAGATTTTCACCGGGTGAGTCAAATAAAGTTATGAATTAGGGCTCAAATGAATATCTTGATAATTTTTTTCCTCGACTATATTGACATTAGTTTTACATGTATTTTATGTTGCCACATATCCGCCATCGACAGGCAAGCAGGTTCCTGTAATCATGCTTGATTTATTGCTCAGTAAGTAAACTACTGCATCTACCACCTCATGAACTTCACCAAACCTAAAAACAGAAAACAAAAAGTATTGAGTTATGGTTAGATCAAATTATTTAGAAGGAAGTTGAAATCTTTTTTTTTTTAATTTCCTGGTTCCCACGAAAAGGGATATCCTGTAATGTTCAGAGAACATCGTGAGAACCAAGGGAAATGAGGTAGAAATTGGTGTTCTTATCAAATTTCTGGAGGTTATATGCCTCGGGCAACACCTCCCTTGGCAATGTGTTCCAGAGCCTCGCTGTTCGTTAGATGAACGAGGCTTTGGAAAGAGATGTTCTGCAGGTCTCCAAAGTGACCACGAAGGGGTGCGAAGCCTCAACTCGACGGGTTAATCTCGCGGGGACTACCAAGGGAGGTACAATTGTTGATATTTCAGAAGAGCATCGTCCATGAAATTATCTATAAAATAGGGCCAGATCGCCAACTTTTCTACGGTGTTCCAGAGAAGTGAGTGAGTTTGTGAGCGATGCATCACCCACGAGACGAATTGCCCCTTTTTGGACAGCATCCAACAAATTCAGGGTATGTTTGGGTGATGCACTCCAAATATGGGAACAGTATTCCAGGACAGGTCGGATCTGTGCCTTGTAGATCATAAGCAACTGACTGGAAGTGAAATAGCTCAGAAAACCGAGTTTTTGAGATGCACTTTTAGCAATTGATGTCACGTGATTTTCCCAAGAAAGGTTATTGCTGATAATGGGAGAAACAAAGAGAATCCTAATGAAATACAAGACCTACAGATGTTGAAAAAAATATATATACAGGATGTTTCAATGAATGAAGGCATCGTGTAAAGGTGAGTTGTATTATTTTTTTAGTAGTACCTATCACATAATTCCTCAATTTATAACGATGAAACTAGTTAGTGGGAAACTAAATACTTGTGACAATGCTTAGGAGAGAATGATGAATATAATTATCAAGGAATCCCGCCGATATTTCCATGAATTACAGGGTGATTTCAGAAAAAATGATATTTTGTCATTTATATCATTGAAAATCTTCATTATCTTCTTATATCCAAACGAAATCATGTTTACCGTATCAGCCATCTTTGGAGGATAACAATTTACTATACAGGATGTCTATATCTGAGTCGGTCATATGTGTCACCATTTTCTCATCACCTTCAAGTAACTTGTATAAAATGTATGAATTGTGATTCATGATAAAATGAGAATCGTTTAATGCATGCTGAATTATTCGATTTTCAGACACCACTTTTTTTCACTCTGTAAATAAGGACATAATAATAATCTAATACATCTAGATAATACTCTTAGTGATTTGAACGTACAGTGATTTGAGCAAAAAAAACGTTTGGCACCTTCAATAATTCACGAATTCCGCGATTTTGCAGGTTCAATCGAGTATACCTACTAAAACATCCAAAACAATTTTAAAAATTTCAACGAGTCCCATTTCACGTATAAAAAGTTCGATGTCGTTTACTTCCGCATTGCAGTTGAATATTTTCTGAATGTCAATTTACTAAACTCTTAATAGAGAATATGTCATGAAAGTTCTAACTTTTGAGATACAGTGTGATGAAGTTTTGAGAAAAAATCAGTTTTTTGATAATAACTGGGATAATATTGTAAACATCTTCATGAAATTTGGTACATATCTTCTATGCATCAAGGTGCATTTTTTGATGTACACAAATGTTCCTCTTCTCTACCAGTGGCGCTGTTATGGGGATATGATTAATCATATTATACTTGAAAGTGAGCAACGAAGAAATATTTCCAAATTTCATAAAATGCTATAAAAAGTCATTCAATTTTGTACAAAAAAGATCCTCTTGTTGATAGGACGCCCCGTTTTCAAGAAAAAACGATAAAGCGAGATCAAACTTCAAATTTGTATGTAAATGTTGAGCTTGAGTACTCCATTCAGGGCATCCATTAATGGATAACCACAGTATGTAACATTTTGGAATTTTTGCACCGTTTCAGTCACATAGCAGAATAAGTTTTGCCATCAGGAAAAACTATACAGGGTGGACAAAAAAAAAGAATCTGTTTCGTCTTATCGGGAAGACTCATGTTCATATCTCTATCATTGTAATCTTAAGTTTCATTTTAATTTTATTATTCAACTCATTTTTACCAGAAGAGTGATCAATAATTCTTCATTGCCCTCGCATATCTAGTTATTTACCTATTTTTGGAAAGTCACATGACGACCTTGTTCGGGCCGTTTTTTGTGCCTCTCTGCATGTTCATAATAATAATAATAATAATAATAATAATAATAAATATACTTTATTGTCATGAAAGAATTTCTTCTTGTCGACAAAGCATGAAGTCAGTAAAGAGTATATATAAAATAAATATAAAACAACTATAATATTGAAATCACAATACTAAAACATCAAATAAAACATTGAATAAATATTTTTTTGTCGAAATATGAAAATACTAACATACATAGGTATAAAAACAATCACAATCATGAGTATGTAAGCAAACCTAATTAGAATGAAGTAATCACAAGAATTCTAATCAGCATACCCATATATTAGGTCAGATCGTGTCATCGTAGAATTCTTTAAGGCTGTAATATGGTCTGAGCTTCATCAGTTCTTTGACGGTTTTCCTGAATATTTCAATATCTATTAATGCACCCCTATCATGGTTTGGCAAGTGGTTATACATTTTAACACCATTGTAATACAAGGAATCTCTCACTAAAGACGTGCTGGGTATCGGCAGTTCGGAACTGAAATGGATTTAAAAACCAGTATTCGATAAAATTTGTACCACAACGCATCACTATATACTTTTCGTTTTACTCGCTACCGCGATCAACGTTTCAAATCCTATTTATTCAAAATCCTTTGGTATTAATTCATGTGATTGTGCCTCAACCACCTTCGGCCGAAATTTGGGAAATGGCAACCAGAGGATCCTTGTGAAAAGCCAATTCCCACGACACCAGAAAAGCAATCCAGAGTATCGACATTCATCAAAATTTTGGGTGAGTCGTTATTGTGACCCTTCCAAAAAATCGTGGACACGATCTGATCATTCTCACTCAAAGCACTTTTCTGGTATTTTAATCTGTTACGCAACAGCATCTATGGATATGTTCAACTTTGATACCATGTATCTCAAAAGTTAGGACGCTATAACGGCATACGTTCATATGAAGTTTTTTTTCTCTAAATGGGTCCAATAATCGCCCCCTTGATTATTAGCATGTCATTAAGAAACACCCTGTATATGTGATTACCTTCTGAGCGGAATCTTCTGAAGCATCGGATCAGCGACCTTGGGATCAGACCAGCCTAACCGCCCCATATCCGTCAAAATGACCGTGGGGTTGACCGCGTTCACCCTGATATTTTTAGGGCCGTACTCAAGAGCGGCTGCCCTAGTGAAGGCGTCCACCGCCCCTTTTGTAGCGCAATATACGGAGTGATCCAGAAGACCCACAAGGGAAGCTTGGGATGACAAATTTACGATAGATCCTGGAGCGTTTCTCGATAGAAGGTTTTTCACCACGATTTGAGTTACGTTGATCATTGCTTTGACGTTGATGTCGAACAGCCTGCGAGATAAAATAATGATTATTCAATGTTATATATCTCGAATTGTTGCCATAATGTTACAAAATTAATGTTGCACTTGCAATATCGCCACAATTTTATAATATTGCACTTACATTCGCAATATTCCTACAATGTTACAATATTGCACTTGCATTTGCAATATTGCCACGTTACAATATTGTACTTGCTCTTGTGATATTGTCACAATGTTACAATATTGCAGTTGAATTTGCAATATTTCATAGATGTCACGGAAATATGGTATTTGTATATTGCCATTTCAATATTAGGAAATTCCTAGTTGACTGAAACATGCAGTGCTTTGATAGTGAATATACGGAGTGATTCAAAAAGACCCGCAAGGGTAGCTTGGGATGAAAACTTGAGCCTGGGAGGTTTCTTTGCTTTGCCGTTGATGTCGAACAGCCTGCAAGATAAAATAACGATTATGCAATGTTATATATCTCGAAATATTCTGCAAATATTGCCACAATGTTACAAAATTAATGTTGCACTTGCAATATCGCCACAATATTATGATATTGCACTTGCATTCGCAATATTCCCACAATGTTAGAATTTTGCACTTGCATTTGCAATATTGCCACGTTACAATATTGTTCTTAGTTTCGCACAATGTTACAATATTGCAGTTGAATTTGCAAAATTTCATAGATTTCACGGAAATTTGGTATTTTTATATTGTAATTTCAATATTAGGAAATTCCTACTTGACTGAAACATTGCGTTGATAGTGAATATCGGAGTGATCCAAAAAACCTACAAGGGAAGCTTGGGATGAAAAATGGACGATAGAGCCTGGGAGGTTTCTCGATGGAAGTTTTTTCACTACGATTTGAGTCACGTTGATTGTTGCTTTGACGTTGATGTCGAACAACTTCCGCTATAAAATCATTATGCAACCTTAATAACCGATTCATAATGACATGTTCAGGAAATAATGCCAAAATCTCACAATATTATGGTTGCATTCGCAATATTGCCACAATGTTTCGATATTGCAGTTGCATTTGCAATATTGTGGAAAAATCATATTTGTATTTTGCAATTTCGATATTTGGATATGCTCAGTTGACTCAAGCCAAATAATACCTGAGTGAAGAACGGAAGAAAAAGTTGATATTTCTTCGGATTGGTAATTTTTTCGAAGACAATTTTTTGCAAGGCAACAAAATTCATATTGAAATACTTCGGCGAAAAATGGTCTCGTGTAATGAGTGGGAAAAATTGGAAAAACTAATATGCGTAAGTCCGCACTGTATACAAACCATATGTGTTATATATTTTGAAACCAAATTCCATGCAGATTCCAAAAATTGAATAATAATAGAGGGTGTTCCTCTGTAAAAAATTGTCGCGGACCTCATTATTAGATGGATCACCCTGTATATTCAACTTCACCTTATTGATGTGACGAATTCGTGTTAAAAATCGACCTGTTTCAGAAAACTACTCAGAATTGGATAGTTTGACTAACTTTACAAGTGCAAAAAAAAAATACTTCGATGCATATATTTCTTGAAATACGGGATATTTAACGCCTTTTTTTGTTGAAATAAAAAAAAATGGCTGCTCCAAGATGGCGGACAAGATTTGGCCGATTCCATTCAAAATTGGTGAGTGGGGGTTTTTGAGGTCGTAGATCATGATTTTTATGTTAAAATTTATAAATTCAAGATGGCGGCTTCCAAATAATTTTTTGTTTTTGTATAAATGACGATAACTCCGTTGTTATCAGCACAAAACTATTACTGCGACATATCATCTGTAAGAGAAAAAAAAGTTATTTGTAACTAAGTCATATATAGTGAGCTATGACCTACATTTGAAAAACTAAAGTTGGTGCTGATATCTCAAATTCTAGAAGAGTTGGTATAAATTTCATATTTTTTTCGAAATCACTTTGAAAAACTGCCATGAAAATGTGACATTCCTATTTGAATATTTTCATAAAAAAAGAAGTTACGGAGGAGACATGAAAATGATCAAAATCTGTTTTTTGCGTATAAAACAAAAACGAATAGATTTTATCAAAATATTTTTTCACATTATAGTTGGCCTTGACAAACCCCACATTTGGTGTCATTTAACCGACCTCGTATCTCTCACCGTTAAAAAGATACTCATGGTGAGCATGGTAAGTGGGACACACTGTATAGGTATAATTCTTCAAGTGGAATTAGACTGGCATTTCAAAATAAGATAACATCCATATTTCATGATTACAATTATTATTAATATATACAATCAACTATTATAGTTCGCACAAAGATTAATTTGCTTTTGTTGTCCCTAAATCAAAAATAGAGATAAAATTGTCAATAATTTCATTGTTTTCGATTATCATATTGTAATATCCAAACAATAAATAATGAATAATGTGCATCAGATATATACCAAGTGATTACGAAAATATTCATTCATACGATACAATAAATACAGTGGTTGGTCTCTTCAAAATCTTTTGATACTTTTGGATTGATCGATATATCCGAATTTATCTTCCAATGAGGTTTCTTGTGTTCATTCTTGGTTCCGTATAAGACAGTTAATTGTGAAACTTGATTGGTAACAAAAAAAATCAGGTATAGTAAGGACATATTTATTATGTCTGAAAAAACTTTCAGTCCTAATAAGTTATGGAAATATTTTTTCTGTTTTATATTCTGAAGAACGCCAAGATTTAAGGATTATTTTTCTAGGGACAAAATATTCTCATATTCACCAACAGAATATGTGATTTGTCCTTACTACACGTATATTGAAATAATATTGATTTTTTTTATTTTATGGAAACGAGGAGAGAAAATCCGAAATAATCTGAAATAATGAATGTACCACCTCCTCGATTAACCTACAGACAGTATTTAATACAAAGAAGTACATGAGCATGTAGATGTAGAAAAAAAATTAATCAAATCATATTAAAAGGGTCACCTAGTATGAACAAAGTCATTCTGGGGACCACCATATCCTATCAGTGATTCACCGATATATTATCGATTTAATCACAAAAGTAGATTTTCACATGATGATAAAGATAAACAGTATTCAATAAAAATAGAACCAAAGTACTTCCTAAAGATCTCCATTCACAAAAAATCAAGAATAAGTATCGACATACAGGCGAACATATTCTTAGAACATCAAAATAGCTAAGTAGGTATTTGTGGAAGTGGAAAATGCCCAAGAGAAAAAATAAGTTCATAAAGATGGACGAGTTCCAAGACAAAGAAATGGCCAGAAAATTACAAGAAGAAGAAGATGCCAGAAAATCACAGGAAGAAGCTAGAAAAAGAAAACTGTCCCTTACTACACCAGGTTTGGTCTTCAGTTCAGTGACAAAGAAAGGGCTTTGCGACAAATCCCAGTCCTTCGATTTAAGCAGTTCTTCAGATGCAGACAGGAAGATTACTTCAGAATCTTTGAAAGAAATTCTTCCGAATCCTGGTTTGATCAACCTTTTGTTGAAAACAATCGACAAAGAAAACTGGGAGAAAAATATTGGCGACCCGCCATATGTTCTTCAGACAATGGAAACAAATTCTGCAGAGTACAAGATGTTGGAAAATTGGGCCAGGAAAATTGACATAACCAATATCGAGAGGATATACAATCCATATCTTCTCCTGCAGTATGAACTCCAAAGGTTGAAGTACGATAATAATGGTTGGTACTACGAAAATAAATTATTTTATCATGGTACCAGAGAACAGAATATTGGCAAAATTTGCAGTACTAATTTCAATTGGAGGTTGAAAGGAACTTCTACTGGAAATAGGTAAATGTTTTGTGCATCCTGATGTTTTGTCCTTCCATTCGTTGTTTTTGAATCAGTGTCAGTGAATTCGATTTGAGAATAGTTATTTTTGTATCTAGAGCGCGAAATGCTACTTTGGTGATCGAGATCTGATTGTTTAACGAGGCGTAGCCGAGTTAAAAAAATAGTCGAGATGACTAAAGTAAACTACTCAACACTAATTTAGTCGCACACCAAAATGTCGCCCCTGTTATAATGTCTTTTTTCAGTTCAGATCAGAACAATTTGAATTTGGTTCACACTGTTCGATAGCCCAGTCCTTCAGCTATAAGCTGGTACTTCATTGAAACATAAGGGTATTCACATAAAATCTCTACATGGTGTTTTCCGACACTGTGCGAAATTTCGCAATATTCAAAAGGTTCTCAAATGGTGAAAAATTATTTTTTCTCAACTTCGACAACAGAGGCATGAAGATGATCCCATTACCTCGTGATATTTCGCGAATCAACTTCCTATCTCTCTTATTTACAGAGTGATCTCAAAAAATCAACTTTTTGGTTTTGCAGCCATAACTTTTTTCCACGTCCACCGATTTTGGAAATCTTAGACTCATTTTGAAGATAAAACTTCAGATGAAGAGATCTGAATATCAGAATTGACTCAAGATGGCTATCAAAGATCTAGAGTTTTCTTGAAAGTGACCCAAATCTGGAACGCCCTCCGAATCTCGGTTGGGAGGAGAATTGAATGAAAATCAACTTGTTCTCGGAAAAACAATTCATTCTGGATGCGTCCATATTTTCCTCGCTCTCAGTACTCAAGAATGTGCGTGAAAAAAACACAATTGAAACACGTTCTTGCAAAAACATCAGACCATTTCTCCTCTGTAATGCATGGCCCGTAACCAACGTTACAAGAATCACAGTAAGTGACTGACAAGTCAGGTTAGACGTCGTTTTAGAATCATAAACAGATTTTTTTCTGTGACGGGAAAAAAGTTTGGCATTTCATTTCTGTTGGCAGGTTATAAAATGTAACTTTTCATAAATTACTTTTTTCCCGTGGGAAAAAAGTGAGTACTTTTTTCCCGGATATATATCACATAATATATATACTCTGTTAATGGCTTTTGTTGTGCAATAGTTCCGAAAAATGAGTTAATAATACCGTCTCCTAGAAAGAACTGCAAGTCCTTTTATCTTCCATTCGACTTCGCGGTTTCGTATATTACTAAACAACTACTGAATTCGCAATTTTTTAAAATCAAATCACAGAATTGAACTGACAGAAGTGACATCAGATATTTGATTACTTCAAAAGAATGATAAAGATGCCTATAAAACGCAGGTGTCCCTACTGTTAAAAACTTGAAATTTCACGTCGATAATTTTCAGATTTCGAAATAATGTAATATCTTCTCAATATTGATTCGTCCTTCCTTCTGTCACAGAAAAAAATAGTGTATTATACACGGGAAAAATAGTAGATTTTAGCTCACGGTTTTTTGTCTCCCTCCGCTACGCGTCGGAAGACAACACAACCTGGAGCTAAAATCTACTACTTTTTTCCCTTGTATAATAAATAACTATTTAAAGTGAAAATATGCTTAGCTTGATATAAAAAATAGTGTTGAACTGGCTTAAAAGGCCTCCCCCTATCCTCCCTAGGTACGCACGATGTTCCACGAACATAGTAGGAATTTCCTTTCGTGCGCTCCAATAGATAAAACAAAGTTATTGTTGATCATTCAGAAATATATGATTTCGTCGATGTTCGCTCGATTGAGGACCTTAAAGTTGAAATTTAAATATCTCTTATACTTTACAAGTAGGTACTTCGCGCACTGTTTTACTTCGCGCATTGTTTTGTGCAAGGTATCATGGTAACGTAGGAAACTGAAAATAGTGTCATTCCGCAATTTCTTGTCAATGCGCGATTCTTGGCATTTTTTGACGTTTGTAGAAAAAATATAACTCATCAATATGTTCAGTATTGAAATGAAAATTGAAATGTATATGAGAATTATACTTGTTTAAACTCTGATCTTGATGCGCTTGGAACTTCCAAAAATGAAAAAATCACTCGTATATCAGTGATATGGGAATTATATCTCTCACAAACAGGTAATTCAATGCTCGTCGTGGCATACAGCCAGGAAAGTAGATGTTTTCTGTTGAATAAACCAAGAAAGAATTGATATTCTCATCACATAGAGAATGCGAATTCTCAATGTATTTCTTTTTATATACATGGAACACCCCGTATATTAACAAATTTTTAGAATTGCCTTTTTATTACAATACTCTTTTGTTAATAAATCCCTATACCTATCTCTATCCGTTTCCGAGATCAAAAATAATTTGTGTTAAATATGATCCAAAACATATCCCTAATTAAACTTATGTGAATCGGGGCTCTCGAATCATAAAGAGTTGATATTTCCATTTAAAAAAATGAAGTTGCTAGGACTTTTTGATAGAAACGGCAACGTCGCAATTTCGAAAATATTTTAGATCGATAGAACAGGTGATAAAATGTAAGATGCGAAATGTTCAGTAAAATCCTGCGTTGCGTTCTCCATAAACGTCTAACGTACCATCGACCGTGAGTTACCCTGTCTGTATCCATATTTTTTTATGTTCATAATTACAGGGTGTTTCAGACTCAAATGTACATACGATACCTGTAGATAGAGGACACTTCGGTGGTTCCAAATCACCCCCCATCGATATGTCTACCGTCTTTTATAACTGAGATACAGGACGTTATCTTGATTTTGGCAAAATCTTCATCTGGTTATAACTTTTGAACCACTTTGTATAATTCATCCATACTTGGTTGAAATATTCCACTTATATTACCCATCAAAACCAAATAAAAATTCGGATCAGAATCCAGGTCCGTCTTGAGGAAAATGAGAAAACTTTTTTTATCTCAAAAACAACACCCTGTATGGCTAAATTTTGTAGGTCTGTTTTGATATTTGGAAAGAGCGGAAGAAAATGAAATAAGTGACCTACTTTTTACGAGTGCGCATCTAATTTGACAGATGGTTTATTATCATGTTTTGAAATATTCAGCTCCATTTCGAGGCATTTTTATTGAACTTATAATTCAAAATTCAATTTCAATACAAAAAAATAACAGTCTTCAAAGTTCAACATCATTAGAGTCAAATTAGGTGAACTATCGATATAGATTTGTTGTGACAGAATCACTTGTCTATGGTATCATACATTTTTGAGGGCTCATTTTATTTTCCACTATTAATTCACGAGCTGCGGTTAAGTAGGCTGTGCAAAAAAAATCTGGTATTCTGACAGGTCATAATCACTAGTGTGATATCATGGGTAATGTTAAGATAATTATTTCTGGTGCTTGTATCGGGTTGTTACATTTCAAAGTGTTCATAATTGTGCCTACAATAAATTTACCAATAATATCGCAACTATAGTGATTATGAACTGTCAGAATTTTCATTTTTTCTTCACAGCCTACTTTACCGCAGCTTATGAATAAATAGTGAAGTATAAAATGAGTCCTCGAAAATTTTTAAAATCATCGACAAATTATTTTGTCAAACAAACAAATTTATCGATAGTTCACCTAATTTGACTCTAATGATGTTGAACTTTGGAGATTGTTATTTTTCTGTATAAAAATTGGGTTTTGAATTCTGAGTTCAATAAAAATGCCTCGAAATGGAGCTGAATATTTCAAAACATGATAATAAACCATCTTTCAAATTGGATGCGCACTCGTAAAAAGTAGGTCACTTCATTCATTTCTCTCCGCTCATTCCAAATATCAAAACCGATCAATAAAATTTTGCCATACAGAGTGTTGTTTTTGAGATAAAAGAAAATTTCTGTTTGTCCTCAAGACGGATCTGGATTCTGATCCAGATTTTCTTTTGGTCTTGATGGGTAATATAAATGAAATATTTCTACCAAGTATGGATAGATTATACAAAGTGGTTCAGAAGTTATAACCAGATGAAGATTTTGCCAATATCAAGATAACGTCCTGTATCTCAGTTATCAAAGACGGTAGACATATCGATGGGGGGTGATTTGGAACCACCGAAGTGTCCTCTATCTACAGGTATCGTATGTACATTTAAGTCTGAAACACCCTGTATATCTGAGAATATTCCTTTTCAATACTTTCACCCATGCAATCAAGGGGTCCAAACTTGAACGATGGAAACTTGTTATTTTTATAGACCTCAATCGCAGATTCGTGATTAGGTTTTCTCAATTCCGAATTTTTTTCCACTTCCGTACGATTAATATCAATTCATCATACATCCAAAAACGAAAAGTACCTACCCTTGGTAGAGAAAACACACTTTACGCCTTGAATAGGCGATATAGTTAGTGGTTGAAAAACTGTTTTATATTTTTCACTTGCAGATATGGACAAGGAACTTCATTCACTCCTTATACGGGCTACGCTATGAGATACGGTGATGCAAACTCTCTGATGGAAAAAGTTATGTTGGGGGTGAATGTGATAGTGGGGAAAAGTTGTTTGGGGGATGAAAACACCATCATTCCATCCGACCAGTGCGATACAACGTACAACGAAAAACGTTCTGTGTTTGTCAAATATGATGACAATACCTTCTACCCTAAATATCTGATACATTATTACGAGTCCCAGTAAACCAGTTTGGAGAGAGGTTGAATGAAATTATCGACAGTATCGAAATTGTGTTTCCGAGCAACACCACGTGTCCGTCAGGACGACTGGTATTGCTGTATAAGTACGGCAACACAATTTAGTTGACAATGAGAGACATAATTACGAGAAGATATTCAGAACAGAGTGGTATTCTGCTAGACCATTTCACGAAGCATAAGAAGGATTTAAATGAACAAGATATTATCCAAAGCAAGTCAATCTGACACCTACAGCTATGATCATTTGATGCCGAACTGACAGACTTTGCTTCGCTATCCATGGTTTTGCATCGTTGAAACTATCAACGCTGATAGACCAATCAGAATTAAAAGACAGCTTGTGTTTTTGCAATAATACAAGTCTTTGGCTTCTAAATGGTTGGATTATGAGAGAATTTCAAGATGAGTGAAATCGTCATTGTCCGAATATTCGTGAATACTCTATATCTCTTCATACAGGGTGACCCATTTGAAAGCGGGCGACCCTCATAAATATTTTATTTATGCAGCCATTCTCACGATTTTTTTTTAAATGTAGAGGAGCTAAGTGGCATCCATTTTTTTTTAGGAAAATTCTTCAAACGCAGTGATATATTGGGACAAATCATCTGATTTGTCATTACTTCACGTATATTGAAATAATATTCATATTTTTATTTTATAAAAACGAAGAGAGAAAATCCCAAAAAATCTGGAGTATTGAATGTACCACCTCGTCCATTAACCTACAGACAGTATTCAATTGATTCCTATTTCGAAAAATATACAACCTGTTAATAAGTATCTCACCTGTTTACATCATCTTCCTTAACCTCAGTTAATGGCCCCAAAATAGCTAAACCAGCATTGTTGACCAGTAAATCGATTGGGCCGATGTTACTCAAAGCTTCTCTTGTGGCATTCCAATCTGAGAGATCTAGAGGGATGGTCCGTATGCTTGGAACTTCTTTTTGCAACGTATCTAGAAGAATAAAAAATTCACATAATTATATGAATATATTATACACCCAGCGAGCACAAAAACATCTCAGAGATGTTAAAAGTACGAGATTTCGAGACATGTAACCTCCACTGCGATGTTCTGTTCACACATGAATAGAACTATTATAGAACAGCCAATGTCCGCCGCAGGCGGCAATTACCGAGATGTCCTTGATATGTCACAAAACTACCTTCTCCCTAGTTCTTTTTAAAGCCTTCTCATGGACACAACAGAACATTTTCAACGCGACTTGCGCACATTAAATCGCTGTAAAAAATCCATTTTTGAGGTACTTTTCTGAAGCCTTTTGTCAAAATGAACTTTTGCATTAGGATTCCATTTCCCTTGAATGAAAAAATGCGTTAAAAATAGATTGAACATAAAAATATTTTCTTAATATGAAATTACCTTCTTAATCGGTTTCTGAGTAGTGCTTACTACAGACAGACATATAATTGGAAATAAGTTTCCCAATTTTTGAAATGATCTCCACAATGCATAATTTTGCAACTGCGGAGAAGCTGTGTATTGATGAATTCGTACTTATATATTGATTACACTGAGGCACCGAAGAACACATCTTGCATCTGATGGTCATTATTACAAACTAAATAAGTCTTCTAACACAATAAACTTCACGAAATTCCTTTCTGTTCGTTAGCAGCGTGATGTAAGCGTGACACGCTGCAAACGCAAATGCCAATTGCGAACAAGAAGAACAAAATCGAAAACAAATCAGAATTCATCGTATTGTGACGTAAGCATGAGACGTTGTGGTGAGGCAAACAAAGAAAGGGCACAAAAGAACAAAAACAATACTTTCAATATCATTCTAAGACCTCTTTGGGAAGTGCATATTACGCCTCAAAAAAACATCCTCATGCCTACATTTCTAAAACATTCCAAAACATCCCAAGGATACCTCTCAGTAGGCAAACAAAGAAATGCCACAGAAGAACAAAAACAATATTTCAATATCCTTCAAAGACCTCTTTGGTCAGTGCATATTACGTCTCAAAATAACATCTTCATACCAACATTTTCAAAACATCCCAAAACATCCCAGAGGGATGTTTGTGCTCGCTGGGCAGGGTGTCTCTAAATAACACCGAAAACAATGAAAGGGTGTTTCCTTGTGACATTCTAGCATATGAAGTTCATATAAACATGTGGCCTAACTGGCCCCTTTCTTAGATACAGGATGTTGAAGTTGGAAGTATCAATTGTTCTTATTTATAACCCTCCTGTATAAGCTTTCATGGATCCGAAATTCAGTATGGATGCCCAGCGAGCACAAACATCCCTGGGATGTTTTGAAAATGTTGGCATGAAGATGTTATTTTGAGACGTAATATGCACTGACCAAAGAGGTCTTTGAAGGATATTGAAGTATTGTTTTTGTTCTTCTGTGGCATTTCTTTGTTTGCCTACTGAGATGTATCCCTGGGATCTTTTGGGATGTTTTAGAAATGTAGGCATGAGGATGTTTTTTTGAGGCGTAATATGCACTTCCCAAAGAGGCCTTAGAAGGATATTGAAAGTATCGTTTCTGTTCTTTTGTGCCCTTTCTTTGTTTGCCCCACCACAACGTCTCATGCTTACGTCACAATACGATGAATTCTGATTTGTTTTCGATTTTGTTCTTCTTGTTCGCAATTGGCATTCGCGTTTGCAGCGTGTCACGCTTACATCACGCTGCTAACGAACAGAAAGGAATTTGGTGAAGTTTATTGTGTTAGAAGACTTATTTAGTTTGCAATAATGACCATCAGATGCAAGATGTGTTGTTCGGTGCCTCAGTGTAATCAATATATAAAAGTACGAATTTATCAATACACAGCTTCTCCGCAGTTGCAAAATTATGCATTGTGGAGAACATATTTCAAAAATTGGGAAACCTATTTCCAATTATATGTCTGTGTGTAGTAAGCACTACTCAGAAACCGATTAAGAAGGTAATTTCATATCAAGAAAACATTTTTATGTTCAATCTATTTTAAATGCATTTTTCATTCAAGGGAAATGGAATCCTAATGCAAAAGTTCATTTTGACAAAAGGCTTCAGAAAAGTACCTCGAAAATGTTTTTTTTACAGCGATTTAATGTGCGCAAGATGCGTTGAAAATGTTCTGTTGTGTCCATGAAGAGGCTTTAAAAAGAACTAGGGAGAAGGTAGTTTTGTGACATATCAAGGACATCTCGATAATTGCCGCCTGCGGCGGACATTGGCTGTTCTATAATAGTTCTATTCATGTGTGAACAGAACATCGTAGTGGAGGTTCAATGTCTCGAAATCTCGTACTTTTAACATCTCTGAGATGTTTTTGTGCTCACTGGGTGGGGACTGAGAAAGCCCCAAAACTCCAGAATGATTCTAATTGGGGTTATTGCGAGTAATCTCAATGGAAATCTTGAGAACACCTAAAACACCTACATTAAAATTTGAAGTCAAATCGAATTTTTATTGTTTCCTCAAAAACTAAGCTAGATACAAAAATCACACAGAGGATGAAAAAGTTGTTATTTCAATAATACTGATGTGTCTAAAGATGGCTGTTTGAGCCGAAACTAGTCACAAAACATTTTTGTGGTCGACCGACTTGGTGTTTTGTTGTTTTTCATTTGAAAAAATCTGGACCACTTTAAGAAGGATGGATGGTTTCCATGAGTTATTATCATCATCATTTACGACATGACCTTTCCGGACACCCTACTTAATATTGATAATGTATAAACATAAATATAAAGCCTCTATACAGATAATACTTACTCACCAAGAAGTTCTTTGTTCCTAGCTACAGCAACAACCTCAGCTTGACATTTTACTAACTGTATGACAATTTCCCGCCCAATTCCTGTGAACAATGGAGTACATTATAATAATAATAATAATAATTAAAAAAAATAGTAGGCCGATTTTTTTTTTTATTTGATGTAATGCATTTGTCTTAAAAAAAAATAAAGAGGTGACAATTTTTTCAAAGCCTCCTTGATGGTGGTGGAATAACTCGAACCATGATGTTATTCTTATAATGTTTGACCTCGTGTTTGACTCACTCTGTCCCTGTGTGTTAATTGAGTAATGGTATACAAAGTGCTTACACCCTATACAAAAGAGGCTTCTTTTGCGAGCATTTTGTTTTTTTTTTCATTGATTTATCTCTAAAATTTTCCGAATTACAGTTTTTTTGCTGATACCTTACGCATATCCCACAAATTAAATTTATTGAAGGATCAGAGTACTCAAAATTGATTGGGTTGTACTCTGGTAGGATCACATTTTCTTTAAAAAAAAACAAATGCCGTTGCCATAACAACTAATCTGTTGTATGCCTCCATATTTGACCATTTGTCATTGTGTCATTAATTAGGTAATTGTCTTGTTTTATTGACTAAAATTACATAAAATGCCTCAAATAAATCCTGAACCAGTAGCAAGATTAGTTGCGTTAGTAAACGATGGGCGTAGTAAACGTTACGCCGCAGTGGGAGTTCATGAAGCAACTGCTCGTAGAGCAATCCGCAAGTACGAACGAGGAGGAAGCACCGCTCGGAGAGCAGTTATGTGTCTAAATTGTTCTAAAATTGTTCTTGCCATAGCAACTAATCTGTTGTATGCCTCCATATTTGACCATTTGTCGTTGTGTCATTAATTAAGTGTCTTGTTTTATTGACTAAAATTACATAAAATGCCTCAAATAAATCCTGAACCAGTAGCAAGATTAGTTGCGTTAGTAAACGATGGGCGTAGTAAACGTTACGCCGCAGTGGGAGTTCATGAAGCAACTACTCGTAGAGCAATCCGCAAGTACGAACGAGGAGGAAGCACCGCTCGGAGAACAGTTATGTGTCTGGTAGGCAAAAACCAGTTGTGTGCCATACAAGCAGAAAACATTCTAGCAGCATAAACAAAAATTTTCTAAAGGGGACGTTGGACATGGTGAAAATGTGAAACATACAATGTAAAATATTTAGATAGATTTTATGCCCTTGTGATGCATTATACTACACTCAGTTCCAAAAAAAGGGACGCACTTGATATTTGACCTATCTTCTTAAAAAAAAATAAGTAGGCCGATTTTTTTTTAATTTGTTGGTAGGTAATGCATTTGGCTTACAAAATTTTTTCTAGCAGCACGATGTTCGGGCAATAATTTGGGACCTTTTGCAGATCTCCTAGCTTTTAAATTCTTCTTTTAGAGGTCTACATACCGTCTGCTTACTTACTGCAACATCACGAATTTGGCGAAGATCTTGCTGAACATTTACCGCAGTATTTGATCGATTCCGTAAAATCCGCAATCTCAAGAAGCGATCATCTCTTGGAGAAGTTTTTCGGGGGCGACCAGAACCGACCCTCCGAGCAGTGCTTCCTGTTTGTTCGTACTTGCGGATTGCTCTACGAGCAGTTGCTTCATGAACTCCCACTGCACGAGCGGCGTAACGTTCACTACGCCCATTGTTTACTAACGAAACTATCTTTTATCAGGATTTATTTGAGGCATTTTATGTAATTTTAGTCAATAAAACAAGACACTTAATTAATTACACAACGACAAATGGTCAAATATGGAGGCATACAACAAATTAGTTGCTATGGCAACGGCATTTGTTATTTTTAAGACAATGCGTGATCCTACCAGAGTACAACTCAATCAATTTTGAGTACTTTGATCCTTCAATAAATTTAATTTGTGGGATATGCGTAAGGTATCAGCAAAAAAACTGTTAATCTGTGTAAATCAATGAATAAAAAAACAGAAATAAAAATCGGCCTACTATTTTTTTATTTTTTTAAGAAGATAGGTCAAATATCAAGTGCGTCACTTTTTTTGGAACTGAGTGTATTTGGTAGGCGAAAAATGTATTTAGATACCAGGATGAAGAAAAAGTGTAAGTAATACCCACAGTAATACAGCTTTTTATCATTGAAATGGCTTCGAGAAATCCGAAATCGATTGAAATTTGATCAAGCCATCAGAAGCAGAATAAAAATAATTAGTTATTACGAGATTAGCACATTCACTCCATAACAAACTGCGAAAAAGTGAGTTGATGTTGTATCTCCTGGACTATTTTTCGTTTTCGATGTTCTAGTACTCATTCTCGTCAGAAATGAATGGTCCAAAATAACATCGGTACTGGTTGGAAACATTCTAAAATGTTCCTATTCGTCAGCGGTTTTTGTAAATCACAAATGTTTGAGATACTCCACCATTTTGTTATTTTCATATACGGTATTTTCAAATATTGCACTGTATACTTTAGCCCTCTAGCTACAAAATGATGCCGAGAAATTCAAATTCGGTTGAAAAATGATGAAATTGCGAGAAAAATAAAAACTTTCGATTTTTTTGTGACCACTCTATTGTGCCGTCGTATCTCCAGAACCATGCCTCGAAAATCAAATAAACTGAGTACGCCACTGGATTCTGTGCAAAAAAGTAGGAGAGTAACATATTATATAAGGTTCTGATTTAAATAGCAACCGATATTAACCTCTGGCATCAAAAATATGGGATTCACTGATGTGCACCGCATAATATTCATACCTAATCAACCAGCTATTTTACATCGATGATATTCATTAATTATTATTGTTAGGTATATATAATATCAACGTTCTTACCTTGACTAGCACCTGTAACAAGTGCTCGCTTTCCTTTGAAAGTAATTTCCATAATTATTAACTTAACTTATTATTTATTAGTAGAACAGAGGACTTTATTCCAATTTAAAGAACGAAAATCGAAAATCAATAGATATCTGTGAACCTGTGGAACACACACACTTAATGTTATCGCGGATTAAAGTCGGTTATTACTAGTAATTCCTTAACAAGGTCACTGTCACTGATGGCGATGACGATAAAAATACATTCTGATTTGTTAACAAATAACTGGAGGTGAAGGAATGTAGGATATAGGAACCAGCACTAATTTTATAATATGTAATTCATCAAGATAATAATAAAATACGCTGACGCTGAGCGATGTTAATTTTTTCATAGAGAATTTATATTTTCTGTGGCGGGAAAAAAGTTCGAAATTTCATCTATGTTGACAGGTTATAAGATGTCAATTTTCATAAATTAATCTTTTCTCACGGGGAAAAAGTGAGTGAAAAGTTTTCCCGGATATATACAGGGTTTCCCAAAAGAACCGGAACGGCCGAATATTTCAGCAACGGCTTGACATAAAATTATGAAATTTGGTGTACGGGGATAATCAATTGTGCCGGATCTAAAAATAATATTTGCAACGTTGCAACGACAACACTTCTGAATTCGAGAAATCAGGGGAATACAAAATTAACTGTGGATCTTGTCCTAACCCTAACAACACAGGGATGTCCTAGGTACGTCCCTTTTTTGTCCCGCGGTACAAGGTCATGATTGGGACATCCAGGGGATATCCTGCAGTGGTTTTCCAGTGGACATCCCGCCCGGTACATCCCTAGGTTATCCTATTCGTGTCCCTGGAGTATCTGGTATCCATTCACATCAGAGTCATTGAATTTCATCAAACTATTGAGTTGAATTTTTTTGAAAGTGTTTTTCTTCCTGACAATGATTGTAATGAAAATAAAGAATTAAGTCTCAGAACTTCCTAAGAAATTACCATTTTTCGCAGACATAAATCGTACATGCATAATGCCCCTCATTTTTAAACACCCAAGAATGATAATAATCATACCCAATTCCTAACAAAGTTGTATTTATTCAGGTTTCTGTAGTGAAGTCCTGGTTATAAATCTGTTTTGTACAGAAATCTTCAGGAGGCATGATAGCCAATGGAGCAAGGTGCGTGCATGATAAGCCAAAGGTCCCGGGTTCAATCCCTACTCGACCTACAACTATTTTTCTTTTGTCGAAAGGATGTCCCTGGGACATCCCTAGTATGTACATTGTCCCGACAAAGGACATCCCTGGGATGTTCTAGTATAAAATCAGGATTTACTGGTGTTGTTAGGTGTTGTCGGTCAGACAGGTAGTACGTTTAATCAGCGCATTGATGAACATAAGATAGAAAACAAATTGAACATACGCCAACCATATATCAGAAGAAAACCATAGTTTTGATGATAATTTCGAAATTCTACACTTAGAAAATAAAGAAATAAAACTCAACCATGTTGAATGTCCACAGGTAATTCTAATCCTTCAGGTTGGGAAAGTAGAATATATAAAAGTTAGGCGAGCCAAGGTTAGTTTAGTTCATTGTATCAGTATTTCACCTGATGAAGCTACTGTGTTAGCGAAACATGTCGTGTGATAGGGAATTTTGTGAAGTTTTTTTTACCCTTTTTTGTTTTGTGCACTTCTCTGTATAGTTCTCCATGATGAATCGATCAAATGACCGACCTCAAAAACACAAAACTCGTTTTTATCACATCAACAAATTCATCTTTCGTGGCATTCAATAGTAGACATCAGACCCCAGGAACAGGACACTCACTATAATATATATGGGGATCGGTAGGTTTTAGTATTCAGAAGATATACTCTGCCGTATCTGTAACTATATCAATCTTCATCAGGGAGACAGTGAAATTGCTACTTTATTTCTCCAGAAATGAAATCCTCTTACACCAGGTCAATATTTCATTCATTAAAAGGAATAGGGGTTAGGAGGTAGCTGATCCATTCAAATAGAATAATTCACAGATATGATGACAGGATTCTTGATTGTCATCATCAGTGTTGTTTAACAATATTTTTCTTGTGATAAAAAAATATACAGGGTGGGTCACGGTGGATGGCCTATTAGAAGTATCTGGAGAACGAAAAAACAAAACATTCTGAAAATCAGGATGCTTCGATAATTGAACATTCTCTATCCGTTTAAAATGTTTTCATCGATACAGTGTTGCCACTTCTATCAGAAATAACTATAGCAATTTCGTTATTTCAAATGGAGCACCCTGTATTTTATTATTGCATCGTCAGATTCTTCCTAAAGAGTTGATTTTATCAATGTATCACACTTGGGGTTTTGCAGGAATAATTACAGAGATATATATATAAGGTGTTCAAAATCGAGACTTCTCAATTTTGGAATTTTTTTGTGTCGAAACTATTCATTATCGATCAAAACAGTTAACATGTCCCTATCTTAACTTTCGTTCCACTATCTACTGACATTTAATTGGAACAGATACAGGGTGATCAGAATTCTGAATCTTGAAGCACCCTGTATTTTTCCCAATTAAATTCCAGTAGATAGTGAATCAAAAGTTTAAAAAGGGACATGTACGCCGTTTTGATCAATAATAAAAATAGTTTCGACACAAAAAAATCCTAAAATTGAATAATCTAGATTTTGAATACCCTATATCTCTGTAATCATTTCTGCTTGACCCCAAGTATGATACATCGATGAAATCAGCTCCTCAGGAAGAATTTAAAAATGCAATAAAATACAGGGTGTTCCATTCGAAATAACAAAGTTGCTAGTTGTTTCTGATAGAAGTGGCAACACTGTATTGATGAAAACATTTTAGACGAATAGAGAATGTTCAATTATCAAAGCATCCCAATTTTCAGAATGTTCTGTCTTTTCGTTCTCCAGATACTTCTATAATAGGCCATCCACCGTGACCCACCCTGTATACAATCAAAATAGTGTCATTTGATATGATTCTGCTCGAGGGACACATAATTGAGAATCACATCATATTATTGGAAAAATGCAATTCAATTCAAGATCATCTTCATCGGTCATACATTTTTTTGATGGGATGTAGAATTCTTGGTTGTTCTGCTCCTAATATGGATGATTTCTGTTAGAACTAATATTTTATTTGTATAAGAATATAAAGAGAAGTGCCCAAAAAACGACCAGGACTGAAATTATTGGTGGGCAGCTAGTATACCAAATTGCTCATTAATTGATAAACCAATTTTTTTCTATCACTTTCGGTTTTACTGGACCCCAACTTTTGATTTTTAAATGGAACACCCTTTATTGTATTCCATAATCGGTTAGATTTAGAATTAGATTTAGAATGGGGCCTTCGGGCTATCTGCCTCCACACCGCGACCTTTTCAGATCTATTGTGTCTGCCCTCAAAATCGATTAGAGTTCTTCGGCTAGCCCCGTCTTCTCTATGAGACTCCATAGGCTAGCTTTCAGATCCCCTGTGTATCTCTGGGCTTCTGGTTTTTCCTCACCCAGCGTAAGGAACCTTAGTCTAACCTAATCGGTTAGAGTTTGTCATAACGAATGCTTCGATACCGGATTTGATAGGGTTATTTCAAACGATAGCGCAGATATTCGCGTTCTAATTCTCCATATTATGCTCAATGAGTGTGACAAAGAAAAAAGTTTTGATATTGCCGTTGATTGATATATCAGCTATATCAATCAACGATATTGCGAAGTCACACCCATTTTGAGCATATGGAAACTTCGAACGCAATTACCTTTGTAATCGTTTGAAATAACCCTATCAAACCCGGTATCGTTGAGATAGAATAAATAAATCTAATGGTATGTATCATTATACGATGTGATAGAGAAACTACATCTCATAACAGACCAACGAAAACCGCAACCAGGTATCTTTTCGCCAACGGAAGATATTTCCCTAATAGCACACAACGTCCTAGGGACGTCCCTATTTGGTACAATTCCGAATGTCCCGGACCAAAAATAAGTGTCCTTGGGACGTCCCATCCCGTACATATCATGCAATGTCCGAGCAAGGACGTCCACGGAATGTCTCAGCTGGTACATCATTTCGAATGTCCTAGGAATAGCATCCCTTAGACGTCCCACGTAGTACATATTGTAGAATGTCCATGCAAGGACGTCCTTGGCATGTCCCTGATGGGATATGATCTTAAACGTTCCTTTAGGGATATCCATCGGATGTCCCGAGTAGTACATATTCTGGCATGACTTCAGATCTTATTCAATGTTCCTTCTAGGCAACCATGAAATGTCCCTGATGATACATTCCTTCAAATATCTCTGCATAGACGCCATTAATATTTCCAGGATCGTATAACAATCGAAATGTCCCTTGGGGACATCCTTCGAAGTCCCTTAGGGATATCCGTAGGATGTCCTAATTGGTACATGAACTGTACTCTTCCAATGTACCAGAAATAACGTCCTACGGACGTCCCAGTCGGTACTTTCAATATGTTGTCCCTGCGAGGACGTTAACTTACACCTCACCGACGAATGATTGCTCGTAGGGTATAAATACTCCACGTCAATGTTCTTCACGTAAGTCCATTGGACATCCTTGGGAAACTTTTTCAGGATCTATTGGGGACCTTCTACGGACCATCAACTCAACTGGTTGTCCTCATCAGTAATGCAAGGTCTGGTCCTAGAGGGACCCAGAAAAATTCAAATTTAAGAATAATCGTACGTCCCTGGGACATCCTATGGACATCCAATGGATATCCCTCAGCGTTGCTGATTGGTTGTCCTACGGATGTCTTAAGGATGTCCTCCGTAGTGCTTGATGAGGAATACTGTAGGATTCAGGTATTTGATAGTTGTCCCAGGGACATCCCTCAAGGACGTCCCTAACTGGTCCTCAAGTGGGACATTTCCCAGATAGCACAAGTACATCTTATGGATATACTATATGGATATCCATCATGGATATTGTGGATGTCCATAAGATATCCGAAAAAGGCTCTGGTATATTCTATGGACGTTCATAGGATGTGACAGTGTGACCTTTTTGGACGTCTTAAAGATAGTCATTATGGATATCCATAAGATATCAACTCTGGATATGGATAAGAGATAGTATACCCTACATATAGAAAAAATCACAAAAATTGGGAAGCACTCACGTCACACTGCGTTAGAATAATGTAGTTGTCAGTTCTTATGCATCATCAATTTCGGACGAATTCGTAGGAATCACTTACAAATCCACTTCAAATTAATTAAATATGAGAACAGATTGACATTATTTGACTTTTCCAAGGTTGGTTGAATCGATGATTTATAAATAAATCTTGGACAATTCGAGACGTTACGCCACCTCGCGCTGTTTTTGAAAACCGAATTAATAATAATAGCAGATAGTGCATCACAATGTGTGCTATCTTTTGGAAGACCCACGCACACAAGTGTTACTTTTTTGGATCTCCTTTCATTCATTTATCATTTCATTCATTGTATATACTTGATTTGATCTAGGTATTGATCTTTTGTCTCTGTATCTTATGGATATCCTATGGACGAATTCAGGACGTTTGTTTCGGATATCTTGAGTACATCCGCAATCGGATATCTTATATGGATATTCATTTTATGTCCACGGATATCCCGCCTTGAATAGGACTTGAAATGAAATTCCATAAGATATCCTGTGTTAACTGGGTTGTGTGTCCCACAGACGTCCAATGGACGTACACGGTACCAAATTCGAACAACCTATGGACGTCCTAAACGTCCCGATAGGACGTCCTAAGAATATCCATGGGACATAATTGTGATATTAGGGTACCTATCAAACTTGGAAGAATGATAAATATGACAGCCGTTCTTAGTTGATGTTCACCCGGTACTTTCTGTGTTGATCTTAAGTTTGTGAATTTAGTGTCTACATGTTCTTTGTTCGTTTAGATCTTATGACTGTTTTTATGTTACATTATTGACTTGTATAATAGCTTTTGCTAAATAAATTTAAAAAAAAAACACGAATCTCAACATATCACGTTGATGGAAAGGGTTCGAAAGATTTAGGCACAAATATCCTCTGTGCGACAATCGGAATGACGGCTATAGAAAACAGTATAAAAGCGCAATCCAGACGGACTCCTCTTCAGTTATGCACAGAATCCTGATCCTTCTGCTATGTCCTCTCTTGTTTTTCTCTTTGTGCTTTGCGACAGTTTTTGACCCACGCGTCATCACCAAAATCAGGCATGGCATCGAAAAAAGTCTCCACTATATCGAAGAAAATGTCCACAGGGTGAACGTGGACTGCTTATTTGGGGTCGTATTAACAGAAGGTAACGCTATACAGTGTGTCCCACTTACCATGCTCACCATGGGTATCTTTTTAACGGTGAGAGATACGAGGTCGGTTAAATGACACCAAATGTGGAGTTTGTCAAGGCCAACTATAATGTGAAAAAATATTTTGATAAAATCTATTCGTTTTTGTTTTATACGCAAAAAACAGATTTTGATCATTTTCATGTCTCCTCTGTAACTTCTTTATTTATGAAAATATTCAAATAGGAATTTCACATTCTCATGGCAGTTTTTCAAAGTGATTTCGAAAAAAATATGAAATTTATACCAACTCTTCTAGAATTTGAGATATCAGCACCAACTTTAGTTTTTCAAATGTTCATAGCTCACTATGACTCAGTTACAAATAACTTTTTTTTCTCTTACAGATGATGTGTCGCAGTAATAGTTTTGTGTTGATAACAACGGAGTTATCGTCATTTATACAAAAACAACAAATTATTTGGAAGCCGCCATCTTGAATTTATAAATTTTAACAAAAAAATCATGATCTCCGACCTCAAAAACCCCCACTTACCAATTTTGAATGGAATCGGACCCAATCTTGTTCGCCATCTTGGAGCAGCCATTTTTTTTAATTTCAACAAAAATTCCGTAACGAATTGTCACCGAAATTTTAAACACCTGCCAAATTTCAAGTTAATCGAAGTTATGGAATTTTCGCTGAAATTAAAAAAAATGGCTGCTCCAAGGTGGTGGACAAGATTTGGTCCGATTACATTCAAAATTGGTGAGTGGGAGTTTTTGAGGTCGGAGATCATGATTTTTTTATTGAAATCAATAAATTCAAGATGACGGCTTCCAAATAATTTTTTGTTTTTGTATAAATGACGATAACTCCGTTGTTATCAACACAAAACTATTACTGCGACATATCATCGGTGAGAGAAAAAAAAGTTATTTGTAACTAAGTCATAGTGAGCCATGACCTATACATTTGAAAAACTAAAGTTGGTGCTGACATCACAAATTCTAGAAGAGTTGGTATATATTTCATATTTTTTTCGAAATCACTTTGAAAAACTGCCATGAGAATGTGAAATTCCTATTTGAATATTTTCATAAATAAAGAAGTTACGGAGGAGACATGAAAATGATCAAAATCTGTTTTTTGCGTATAAAACAAAAACGAATAGATTTTATTAAAATATTTTCTCACATTATAGTTGGCCATGACAAACTCCACATTTGGTGTCATTTAACCGACCTCGTATCTCTCGCCGTTAAAAAGATACCCATGGTGAGCATGGTAAGTGGGACACACTGTATAGTCACTACATTACGACCCCTTTAATTTTTTTGTTTAAATAATTATTAGAAATATAGTTGATGGGGGACTTCGCTCCAAGTTGTCAACCTAAAAATATAAAATCCTCTACCACTGTAGAAGCAATATACAGTCTGTCTAAGATAAGGTTACACAGCATGGGGATCTCGGAAACGGTAGGAGATACGAAGTCGGTTGAATGGGGAAAAAGTTGCGCATTTGGTGACTCATATCAACAGCCTTCGAAAATTCTCAAAATTGTTTTTAGTTTTACAGTTATATCGAAACACGTGGAATTTTTGGAATATCTATTTATTTTTTTTCACCGTTTATCATTAGAGATACAGAAAAACTAAAAATACTTTTCCATAGCAACTTTTGATGACGTTCAACGTGGTGATACCGATTTCTAATGCGATGTTTCGTATTCGTAGAACCATCATCAATAAATTTTGTGTTTTGAATACGGTCCTCATAATTTCTTCACAGATTCTGAAAGCTTTTTTCATTTTGAATTCAACTATGTATTAGTGATTTGGATGTGTTTCGACCTATTTCTATCCATCATCAATGTTTTTTCGAAATTCCGATGGAAAAATGCCATCAGTTCCACTTATTTCTAATCATTTAGTGTCAAAAATTGATTGATCAGTTATTTAATACTGAAAAGTGAATAAAAAATATGTCACTAAATTCGGCGCTTCAAATTGCAACAAATGTTCAAAATGATAACCATTATTTTCTAAACAAAGATATCCCCTCCTCACAGTTGCTTCTGAGACATAACTAAGCATTTCTGTGGTTATACTTCTAAATGCTTTGATGACACTGTCCCTCAGTTCTTCATCATCAAAGTTATTTGCGTAAACAAAGTTTTTGATATATCTCCAAAGAAAAAAATCCAGCGGTGTCAAATCAGGCGACTGTGCCGGTCAAGGGACTGTAGATTTAGTACCAATCCATTTTTCGGGAAATTGTCTGGATAAAAACGCACAAACTTCTCTGGAATTATGTGCCGGAGCGCCATTTTGTTGAAACCAATAACAGTTCTCAACTTTCGCAATCGGTAAATTATCCAGAGCTTCCTCAAGATGATTCTCAAGCAAATTTCTATAACGTTCGGAAGTCAATGTTTCATGGTAAATAAAAGGACCAATAATTTGTGTACCAAATATTGCAACCCACATATTAAAGCCGAAACGGTGTTGGTGTCTCGCTGTTTTGTAAAACTGTTCATTTTCTCGTGAACAATAATGTGTATTTTTTCTATCGAAGATACCATTATGAGATACCATGCTTCCATCAGTTCAGATGATTTTTTGAGGGAAATCTTCAAAATTTTGACATTTATTCTTGGTATACCACTCACAGAATGTCCTGCGCCTTCGTCATCGCATGGAATTTTTGTTCCCGCAAAACAAAATGGGTTGTTGATTAGAACCAGTTGATAAGGTATCAGTGTGATGACAATTTTTCTTCAATATAAGTGGAACTGATGGCATTTTCCCTTTGGAATTTCGAAAAAACATTGATGATGGCTAAAAATAGGTCGAAACACATTTGAACCACCTTGTTTAATACATGATTGAATTCAGGATAAAAAAAGCTTTCGGGATCTGTGAAACAATTATTAGGACCGTATTCAAGAAACAAAAGTTGATGATGGTTCTACGAATACGAAACGTCGCATCAAAAAATCGGTATCACCACGTTAAACATTATCAAAGGTTGCTATGAAACAGTATTCTCAGTTTTTCTGCATCTCTAATAATAAAGGAAAAAAATAGATATGCCAAAAATTCACTTTTTTCGATATAAATGAGAAACTGAGAACAATTTTGAAAATTTTCGAAGGCTGTTGATATGAGCCTCTGAATGCGCATCTTTTTTCCCATTCAACCGACTTCTCCCCAACAGCTTTCGAGATCCCCATGCTGTGCAACCTTATCTTGGACAGACTTTTATAGAAATTTGAATACTCAGATAGGTTCATTTTGGTGAAATCTGATTGTAGGAGTCTACTCAGCTCTCTAAAATGTATGTTATTCAGAAAAAAAATAGTTTTCTCTACAAACGTCAAAAAATGACAAGGTTCGCGCATTGATAACAAATTGCGAAGTGACACTTTTTTTCAGTTTCCTACGTTACCATGATACCTTGCACAAAACAATGCGCGAAGTAAAACAGTGCGCGAAGTACCTACTTCATTGTTATGTAAAATATATGAGATATTTATATTTCAACTTTATGGTCCTCAATCGAGCGGACATCCACGAAATCATTTATTTCTGAATGTTCAACAATATTTTTGTTTTATCTCCTGGTGCGCACGAAAGTAAATTCCTATTATGTTCGTGGAACATCGTGCGTACCTAGGGAGGATAGGGGGAGGCCTTTTAAGCCAGTTCAACACTATTTTTTGTATCAAGCTGAGCATATTTTCACTTTATATATTCATATTTTTTTACGTTTGTAGAAAAAATGTTGTTTGCAACTCGAGCGCGAAATACTTTGGTCATCGCGACTATATTTTCAACTCGGCTACGCCTCGTTAAAAAAATCAGATCTCGATCACCAAAGTAGCATTTCGCGCTCTAGATACAAAAATAACTATTTATGAACTTCACATCTGACTGGTTCAAAAATCATGGTTGGTGTATCTGCGGTACGTCAATACTGAAATGTCTATATACATTCAATAGTGTCAGTAGTGTCACTAGTTAAAAAAATCTAATAACGATCAAGCATTGAACTCAATGTAGGTGTTCACATTGAGTTCATTGTGATCAAGAAACTCTCATGAGGAACGTGCAAACGTATAATAAACTGGATGTGAGGGTTCCAAAGTTATCTAGGTCTTTATATTTATTGTTGTACATTTATATTTCCTCGCTACCCATCAGCTACCCTTAAACTCTCTGTGTCTAATTATTTGAAAGAAGATTTGTTATTTTGATTCATTATGTTAAGAGTTTTCATAGGTTTTTCGAAAGCGATCCTTGCAAAATCAAGTTTGGCTTACATGGAAAAATGAATCATGTTTTCTTAATGTTAATATTTCAGCTATCATGCAAGATGTTTACATGAATGGTAGTCATATTATGGATGCGAGTTCCAAAAATATCATCGACAAATCAATGGAGATTGTACATAAAGCTATGCCATTAGTACCAGAAGATAAGTTTTGGAGTAAGTAGCAACACCGTACAAAATTTCTGATGGGAGTTGTAATTTCTATATATTTCATACAACTGATGATGATTTGTTTCAAATCGTTAACTTGATAATTTTGAAACTCTTTATTTTTAGACTTTTTTTTCAGTTGCGAAGTTTATTTTGGTACCTGAATTGTGGCAAAAGGAAATGGTATTCAAGAAGGGTAATTTGTACAGTCCAGTTAGACCGAACTACAGAATTATTGAGAAAATTTACGAATCTGAAAATGTCGAAATTCCGCTACCAAATTCAGATTTCTGTTTACATGATATTTCAGTTTGGACATCTTCACTTACACCCAAAACATGCAGAATAAACAAAGATTGCTGGGATAGCTATTATGGATATAATAATATTTCATCAGGATATACTCTAACTCACAAGTGAAGTATTTAATTCTTATGTTGAGAAGTCGATTTTATTTTTGAATTTCTCATCTTCAGATTACTTCTACTGCAGCTGGCAAGAGCTAGAAAATGTCTCATAGATGAAAACAATTATGAAAGAGAAACAATGAAATTATGTTCGTCCATATTTGCTGAGGTTTTCAACGGTGACTATTTTCATGAATTGGATGACATTTTCGATTTATTCTTGGAGCAAGGTTAGTGATTCATCGATAATTTTATGAATATGTACATAATCTCGAAATAAATCAAATTATTCATACATATTATACAGGATATAATATACGTATTCCATTTGAAAAACTCGAGAAAAATCACTTCCAAAAGTTCCGAATTGAAAAATCATTTTTAGCCACCCTGTATAATTTGAGGGCATGAAATATCAAGCATCTTTTCATCAAATGATCGAGAAATAGTCAACAATATTATAGGAGTGGGTGGAGGTCACAGGAATGCTTCAAAAAATGTGCTAATATATAGGGCATTCCATTTAAAAAAAGTGATCCCGACCCTCTCGATTTTTTCCGATGCCCCCTGTATATGCGGCAATAATTTCTAGTTATGGACCTCGTTGTCTCATTGACATTCGTTTTTGAATCGAGTTTCTAGCTATCATGGAACTCGAGCAATCGAGCTCCGACGCACCAATGCCCCACCCTACACAGAGTGGGCCTTTGAAAACGAAACAGAGGCTCTGTAGGTCGCCAAAACCGGATTATCAAAAAAAAACTGAAACAGGTCAACTACATTTTCGAGGGGGACATCTTTCTAAAATATTTTCAGCCCTGCGGCGTTGCCGCTTCTAAAGAAAAGAAGCAACAACTTTGTTATTTCAAATGGAAGACCTTGTATTTTATTGCATTTTTAGATTCTCCCCGAAGAGCTGATTTCATCAATGCATCACACTTAGGGTCTAGCTGTAATGGTTTCAGGGATATAAAGTGTTCAAAATCGAGATTTTTCAACTTTAACATTTTTTTGTGTCGAAACTATTCATTATTGGTCAAAACGGCTCTCATGTCCCGATCTCAACTTGTGATTTACTATCTACTGACATTTATTTGAAACAAATACAGGGTGGTTCAAGATTCAGAATTCTGATCACCCTGTATCTGTTCCAGTTAAATGTCAGTAGATAGTAAATCACAAGTTGAGATAGGGACATGAGAGCCGTTTTGACCAATAATGATAGTTTCGACACAAGAAAATGTCAAAGTTGAAAAATCTCGATTTTGAACACTTTATATCCCTGAAACCATTACAGCTAGACCCCAAGTGTGATGCATTGATGAAATCAGCTCTTCGGGGAGAATCTGAAAATGCAATGAAATACAAGGTGTTCCATTTGAAATAACAAAGTTGTTGCTTCTTTTCGTTAGCAGCGGCAACGCCGCAGGGCTGAAAATATTGTAGGACGATGTCCCCCTCGAAAACGTAGTTGACGTGTTTCAGATTCTTTTCATAATCCGGTTTTGGCGACCTACAGAGCCTCTGTTTCGTTTTCAAAGGCCCACTCTGTATATCTGACGGTTGGGCTAATATCGAAGGAGACACTGTTAACTCACCCTGTAAAATTTACATCTCAGTTGTTTTATGTGGCTACGAGGGATACTCGGAATTTTTCACAAACCGATGGCTCCATTACATCCTGAAATCGCAAGAAGCTAGTGGATGCTTTTCTGCAATTCTGACCGACAATTTGAAGACGAGGATCAAGAAGAGGAATATGAATATCTTCGAAGATGGATGTGTGGATCATACGACAGGTTTAGGAGCCGCGGCCCTGTCATTGTACTATAATTTCATTATCAAAGAGTCCAGTGTATTTTGAAATATTTTATCGTCTTCTGAGAGTTTTATATGAATCATAAAAAAAACGCATATTAAAAAAAATTTAAGTTGGTTTGTACTATTCCTTATCCATTATTCTGAAGAGTTGGTGCTTTGGATACTTAGTTGTGTTCTATCGACCTAAAATATTCTCAGCGTTGCGACGTTCCCGCTTATATTGATAAGTAGCAACAACTTCGATGGGAACACCCTGTATATCATTTTCAGATTCTCCCTGATAAGTTGATTTCATCGATCTATCATCACACTTGAGGTCTAGCGGGAATGACAACAAAGATATAGGGGGTGAAAAACCGAAATTTTTCAACTCTAAGAATTGTTAGCGACTAGCCAGATACCGGACGCCCTGTACCATTAGAAGCACAGAGCTACAGTTAGTGGTTACATAAAGTTTAGTCACCTATCTACAAATGACTGTATCCGATCAGGAGGCATTTTAGGTTGATTCATTCTAATTTGAAGCGTTGTAAAGAATACACTGTGTTAAGTGTTAATAAAGGTGGAAGGTTTCAGAGGGACTGATTCTGTTCTGTCAAACCCTATACCGAGCAGTGCTAATAGAATTTTTTGTGTCGAAACTATTCATAATTGATACATAGTACATCTATTCCAAATCTCATTAGAATATCTGAAGTGATATTACAGATATTAATAAAAAACTATCAATTTTTAAGAACTTTACCACCCTGTATCTCAAAAGTTAGGACGTTTAGGTCAAACGACGTTCATATGAAACTTTTTTCTTAGAATGGGCCCAAGGATCGCCTCCCCAAATATTGACATCCAATTATGAAACACCCTGTATATCTGACGGTTGGGCTAATAAATCATAAGAAACGCATACCTATTGAAAAAATTTTAAGAAGTTGGTTTGTTGAATCACCCTGTATTCACCATAAATGTCTACCCTCTAGCTCACTTATTTTTTAACCGATTTAAAAATTTGAAAAATCATCTGAAATGGTTTTTCAGAAAATTGTTTTTCCGTTGCATTAGAAAATACAGGGAAAATACAAATGGAACACCCTGCATTTCATTGTATTTTTAAATTCTTCCTGAAGAGCTGATTCCATCAATGCATCACACTTAGGGTCTAGCGAGAATGATTACAGAGATATAGGGTGTTCAAAATCGATATTTCTCAACTTTTTTTTGTGTCGAAACTATTCATAATTGATCAAAACGGAGTTCATGTCTCTATCTTGACTGTTCTCGTACTTTCAATTGATATTAAATTGAAATAAATACCGGATGGTTCAGAATTAAGATTTTTGAAAAGTTAAGATAGGGACATGAAAACCTTTTTGATCAATTATGAATAGTTTCGACACAAAAAATTCCATTCCCGCTAGGCCCCAAGTGTGATAGATCGATGGAATTACCTCTTCAGGGAGAATCTGAAAATGGAATGATATATGATATATACAGCAGGGGTTCCTTTGAAAAAATCAAAGTTATTGTTGCTACTTTTCAATATAAGCGGCAACGTCGCAACGCTGAAAATATTTTAGGTCGATAGATCACAAATAATTATCCAATGCACCAACTTCGCAGAATAATTCTGAGTTGCGTTCTCTTGAATCGGTCAATGTGTCATCCACCGTGAATCACCCTGTATAGTGTGACGCATTATCAAAACATTGATAAATGATCGGAATCAAAATGAAAAAAATGCTGATAACTCTTTGAAATTTTGAAAAATATGAGCATTCCTAGAAACTCTCAATTGTTTTGAGTTAATGTATTGAAATCTATTATTTGAAGCACTGAAAATATTTGTTCCACAAAATGGTACCTTTGTCTTAATGGATAATATGAATCAGTGTATACCTAATAATCTTATTATTAGAAATTTAATTCAATTTATTATATAAATTAAACATGAAGGTATATATTCTCATTGGTTTGTCTTTCTGATTGTTTCCTAGGTGAAATTAAGACTGATCCTAATTGCGACATATTTATGGAATGAATCCTGAAATAATTCAATAATATAACACAGGATGTTCTCGAAGGTGTGGCATTTTTATCAACAGAATGTACAACTCACCAAAATAGAAAAAAATCTGCTGAAGTAGTCCTTGCACGCATCAAATTAACGAAAATTCGCGGTGTTGGATGATTTTTTAACGGAAATCTTTCCGTGTACGAACGAAATCCTGCTGCTACACTTCGGCGGCACTATCATCATCAATCAAAAGCATATAAACATGTTCGTTATTTTCGTAAACTTGCTACATTGTTTGACAATGCACAGGAAAAGAATTTAGAATGATGTTCCTGGATATGAATAGGTTTGTGCGGCCAGAACAGTAATGACATTCTTTTAAAATGTATGAAATGTTCAAATAAAAATATCTCCGTTATGATACAACTTTTATTGGGGCGATATTTGGTGGATCTGTATACAATGTTTCTTCGAATAAAAATTATCCTGGGATATTGAGTATCCTTTATTTCAACAAATTAAACAATTCAACAGGCTGTGAAACCGCCATCTATGGGCAGACATACTCCCGAGATCATGCTTGATTTATCACTCAGAAGATAGAGCACAGCATCTGTCACTTCTCTCACCTCACCAAACCTGAAAATATCCGGAAATTGGTATTTTTTATAGGTTCTTTATCAAGTATAGGTGTTTTTTCGATATTTATATCAATCATCTCCGATGGATACAGAGGTTCTCAGTGGTCCACAATCAATCGAGAACTGTTCGTATATAATTATTATACAGGATGACCGACGGGAACCTGACGTTTTTTGGGATGGGAAGGATGGTGCATGCAATGTTATTCAAGGCATCTCCCCAGAACGTTTAATTTCCCGTTTTGGCGACATCTCGTGGCCCCCAAGATCACCTGACTTGAGCACTTGTGATTTTTTTTCAGTAGGGGTATCTCAAATCACGTGTATACTCTCACATACCCCGCACATTGGCAGAACTGAAAGAGGTAATCAGGGGAGAAATGGGGAAGTTTCCATCCGATGAATTTTCCTAAAATAAGTTCAGAACTCTCCAGTTTTATGTCCACACTGTACAGAAAATAAAATAAAGCCAGCAAATAGCTTACGAATGAAAAACGAATGAAAGATATAGAAGAAGTAAACTGGTAAACAAAAACATACATAAGCACAAATGTATTCGGAGCAGGAATGCAGAGGGTAGCTGGCTTCATTCTGACAAATTATGGTTTTGTTATTTATGCATTGAAATATCTCGAATGGAGCTCGAACCTAAACGAAAATATCATGGAATTAATGAATCACTATCGGCTACATTCAATATGATACTATCCTTCCTAATTTACTGTCATCGGTCAGAATAGAATGAAGCCAACACCCATGGCTTCTTCCTCTTGTTGTGCCTGTCTGTACTTTGAGTGGTGTGGACGGACTCGAAGTATTAGGCGCTGTTGCAAGATATACTCTGCAACTCTTCTATAAAATAAATCCGTTTTATTAAGGAACGAATTCATTAGCAAAAAAATGACTGACAGGTTATGAAAAACATATATTGTAATATAATGATAGTGAAAAATTATAGATACTATCGCAAAATATCATAATTTATGTTCATTAGTAATCAACGTCATTCAGCCAATGATAGATTTATGGGAATTATTCATAACACTTGACAAAGTAGGATTGAAGAACCTATTGCTGTTATGATATAGTTATTATGCATTCAAAGAACAATTTCCGGTAATCTAGACATATATTGATGATGTTGGCAACGTCGTATTGGCAAAGGGAATCGTATTTTAACTCTGTGTGAATGTGGAATTTCAGAAAGTATGTCATGAGATGGTGGAAGAGCCAAGTTTCTCATTTATTAATTTTTTTCTGAAGTGAAATTTGATCTTACAGAAATGAGCAAAAATACGTATAAATTATTTTTTTACAAACTCAAACTGCATTCAGGAGGATGGACACCATTTATCTGACGTATTTTTTCATAAGTGATATTCATCATATGGGTCGTGACAACAATTTTGTGTATTAAAATAAATTATTCCGTGAAAAATAACTGTGTAGGTACTGTTCATTTTAAAAACGTCAGGTTCTCGTCGGTCACTCTGTATTATTATCATTCTTGAGTAGGTAAGACCTGCCTTAGGCACCTCCCCACTCTTTCATTTTCGTCTAGTTCATGGAGTGGGCGGGGCTCAAAGAATAATAGCTCACGATTGGATGCTAAAATTACGTGAAAACGAGAAGTAGGAACTGAGGTGCCTAGGCCAGGGCTACTCTACTGATGACCTTGTACCACATTCAAAGTAACTATACAGGGTTTCCTCGAAAGATATTTACAAAAAACTACTACATATTCCTCAGACAAAAACATTTCGAAACAAGCAAATTTACCTCAGACCGGAAAAATGTGGATGGTGTAACTTATTTACTACAAAGAAGGTACTCCTGATGAAATTCGATTACTCTCATGGTTTTGACAACATTTCGATTCAAGTAAATTAGATCATCATCAGACAACATTAAAACGATTAACAGATAATAATTCATAAAAGTTGTTATAATTTTCATCATTTCCATCTTAAATTTTTTGTTGTTCTGCCAAGTTAAGTAAGCCAGAGCCGTCAAGCACCGAGAATGAGCAATTGTATCAATCGTAGTATAAATCTTTGTATCCGTGAAGATGAGAATTTCAAAAAACTCTTATATCTGGTTTCTTTTTAATGTTGTTTGATGCTCGAATTTACTGATATTCAAATTTTGTCGAAACCATGAAACTATGATAATAATCATCAGGTGTGTTCCTTTTTGTATAGTAAATAAGTTACACAATCCAAATTTCTTTCGTAGAAGTTTTATAGGTTTATTTACTGAAAAAAAGTTCTACGTCCATGGAATGATATTCATCATGATCATGAAATGGGTTTTATCGCCTGATGAAGGTATGCCAACGTACCGAATTTGAAATAAATCTTGATCATGAGCCGTTTTGAAGTTATAAAGCACAAACGATTTGAAAATTATAACTTTAGAGCCGTCTAGTGCCCAAACTAAGCAACCTTATACTTGAATAAATATGTGGTAATCTTCTATAAATAATATTTAGGGACACCCTGTATATAAAATCAACAGCTGATTGTCAAACAGAAAGCCTATAACAAATCGAAAATCTCTAGCATGATGAAAATATATTTTCTGTGACGGGAAAAAAGTTTGACATTTCACCTCTGTTGACAGGTCACAAAATGTCACTTTTCAGAAAATTATTTTTTTCCTACAGGAAACAAGTGAGTTCTTTTTTTCGGATATATACAGGGTGGCCCATCGAAAACTTGACATCGGGGTTTTGGGTGAAAATATCGCAGATGTGGAAAAACCCTCGGACAGGTCGATTTTAGTTTCGAGAGGGACATTTTTTTCTTCTACATGCACTACAGTCACTGCAACACTCGAGCTGTGGGGTGAACCACCCCTAAAATTTGAATAGGGAATAATGGTGGAGTGGCACATCTTTTGAAAGCCCGTTAAGTTCTCTATCCAACAGCGTCCAGATTTTGAAGTTGGAATGAACCGTTTGGGAAAAAATAAATTCAGGAATAAACCTGTACGATAGAGATGTTTTTGCAATCTAGCATTCATTTGCAACGATACTGTTAAAGTTTTTGCTCAGTTTTTGTCGTGGTACCCATGAAAATATTGTAATAAAATAGAACAAAGAGATAGAGCATGCAGTTTCTGTTTTTCACGAGTGAGTGAGTTTCATTCGTGTGTGGTATCGTACGTATAAATTAAAACTAAACAATGGTGTATACAGTGGCAGAGAGGGTTCAGTTGATTGAACTGTATTATGTAAACCATAGATGTGCGAAAAGGGCTGCTGAACGGTTCAATCAACAATATGGTAGGACTGTGTCGCGGCAGTATGTGTCTGAATCAGTTTCAAAATTTCGAGAAACGGGATCGGTGGCAAATAAAAAACGTCAAATCGAACCGCCAGTAAGAAATGAGGCGACAACAGTGGCAATTTTGGGCCATGTTGAGGTTGACCATACGTTGAGTACAAGACAACTAGCAAGCTGTTTCCGGTATCTCAAGAACTAGCATTCAGCGTATTTTTAAACTACTAAATTCCATCCTCACAAAATTAACTTAACGCAAGAACTGAATGAAGATGATTTTGATCGGCGTTTACAATTCTGTGAAGTACTAAGTGAGCAGGCGATCGGAAATCCTCAGTGTTCGTTTCTTTAAATGGCATAGTTAATCGCCATAATTGTCGATATTGAGCTGATTCTAATCCACATATATTTCAAGACGTACATTCGCAATATCCCCAAGAATTGAATGCATGGTCTGGTATTTTTGGGGATCGTATCATGGGCCCTTTCTTCTTAGAAGGCAATCTAACAGGGGAAATGTATCTGGAACTGCTTGAAGACACAATTGATCCAATGTTAACGGCTATTATTGAAAATGACCATCATTATCTGGAAGATCAGTTAATATTTCCACAAGATGGTGCTCCTCCGCATTATGCTATGCCTGTTCGGCGATATTTAGATCAACACTTCCCTGGTCATTGGATTGGTAGGCGAGGTTCTATTGAATGGCCCCAAAGATCACCAGACCTGTCTCCCTTACATTTCTTTTTGTGGGAAAAGCAGAATTCATAGTACACCCCCAGCTTCACTAGCAGATTTACGGCAACGAATCACAGAAGAATGTCGCCAAATCACCCCAGACATGCTCCAAAATGTTCGAGAACGTTTTCAACAAAATCTGTATCATTGCATGGAAGTTGGAGGTGCGCATTTCGAGCATTTGCTAAGATGAGGATAATGTAAGTGAATTTTACTCTTAACTCAATTATGGCTCATTTCGGTTGAAAAACTGACGACCGTTGTTTCGAGAATTAAACAAGCTTTCAAACGATAAGCCACTCGACTCCTATTCCCTATTCAAATTTCAAGGGTAGTTCACCCCCTTGCTCGAAGGTTGCATGACGTGACGGTGCTGCATGTAAGAGGGCACAATGTCCCCCTCGAAACTAAAATCGACTTGTCCGAGCGTTTTTCCAGATCTGCGATATTAGTACCCAAAACCCTCATGTCAAGTTTTCGATGGGCCACCCTGTATACCACCTCTTCGATTAACCTACAGACAGTATTCAATACTTTTTTCCCTTGTATGATGAATTAACTATCACCTTCTGAGAGGAATCTTCTCCAACATGGGTTTGGCCACACTAGGATCAGACCAACCCTCTCTCCCCATATCCGTCATGATAACCGTGGGGTTGACCGCGTTCACCCTGATATTCCTAGGGCCGTACTCAAGGGCGGCGGCCCTAGTGAAAGCATCGACCGCCCCCTTGCTGGCGCAATATACAGTGTGATGCAGCAAGCCAGCAATGGAGGCTTGGGACGAGAGGTTGACGATGGAACCAGGAGCGTTTCTGTCTAGGAGATTCTTGATGACCAGCTTGGTGACGTTTATAAGAGCTTTTATGTTGATTCCGAAAACACTGAAATATATATTTTTGTATTTGAAATACGGAATGAACCATTTGCCTTTAAGAATGGAAGCTATTCAGCATTCAAACCAATATGAGAATGTGGAATTAATAAATAAATAGGTATATGTCATTGTTAATTGGCATTTTGTGTTCGAATCCAGACGATCCAGGTGACCCAGCATCTGTGTCTAGACACAATACGACACAAATCCGGTTGTAACGCAAACACAGATAAAAAGATAGATTTTTTTTATGTTCTGGTTCCCACGAAAAGGGATATCCTGTGATGTTCAGAGAACATCGTGAGAACCAACGGAAATAAGGTAGGAATTTGTGTTCTTCTTAAATTTCTGGAGGTTATTTGCCTCGGGGAACAGCTCCCTTGGTAATGTGTTCCAGAGCCTCACTGTTCGTTGGATGAATGAGTCTTTGGAGAGAGATGTTCTGCAGGTCTCCAAAGTGACCACGAGGGGGTGCGAAGCCTCCACTCGACGGGTTAATCTCGCGGGGATTGCCAAGGAAGGAAAAATTCTTGATATTTCAGAAGAGCAACGTCCATGAGAATATCTATAAAATAGAGCCAGATCGCCAACTTTTCTACGGTGTTCCAGAGAAGTGAGTGGGTTTGTGAGCGAGGCACCACTCACGAGACGAATTGCCCTTTTTTGGACAGAATCCAACAGTTTCAGGGTATGTTTGGGTGCTGCACTCCAAATATGGGAACAGTATTCGAGGACAGGTCGGATCTGTGCCTTATATATAGATCATAAGCAGCTGACTGGAAGTGAAATAGTGAAAGTGAAAGTGAATCTCACGTGATTTCCCCAAGAAAGGTTATTGCTGATAGTAATACCAAGCATCGAAATAGATTTCTTCAAAGGTATGGTTACTCCGGACAAGCTTATGTTGAGCACAGTGAGATCGGCTTTTCTAGAGAAAAGGCATGCTTGTGTTTTGTTTGCATTGAAATCTACCAAGTTATTGGATCGCCTTTCGAAAATTGTTGCCAAGCCCATATTTTTGTTGTCAACATTTCTCCCTCGATCGTTTCTGATTTGCCTGGCTGGTATTGGAGCCCTGGGAGAGAAGGCGGTATGGAGGGTACTATCGTCCGCGAAGCTATTGTCATCCGCTAAATATAGGTAGAAATAAAAGGATAATCCTTGGAAAAGTAGATCAGTACGCCCATTAACGCAGTGGGATAACCCGTACACGAGAGCATGAAGTTTTCGAACCATTCCCAATTCTGATTGTCAAATTGATCACAGTGAATCACGTGATACATTATGGACTCAATCGCATTCTCTCGTGAATTATTAACAAAACCCTCGGGGTTTCGAGAGGAAGGAAAAACATCCTTGAAAGCCTGAATCAATACATAAATGATCACAGTGGGCTGACGCCACGCTATTAGTGGACCAGAATAAAACTTTCTGAGCAAACTCAGCCTCCACAATTTTATTGCGAAAAATAATCATAAAAAAACAACAATCTCAACATATCAGGTGATGGGAACAGTTCGAAAGATTTAGGAACTTCTACCCGTACTCGTATTCAAATAATAAATTCCCAAATAAAAGTTCCTTACAAATGACAAAATGTTCTAGACATCAAAGTTTTTCTCAGTTGAATTACAAGATAATGAGCTACTTCACTGACATTTCAACAAAGATTGCAGCATTTGATGACAGTTTTCGGAAGTTTTTTGATATGAAGATGGGATCTGAGCGTCTCTTCGAATGTGATCTCTTGATTTAAGCATCGGTTTTAAAGACCCAGTTCAATATTTCAAACTCCACCCACTAAGCAAAGTTGAAAGCTTTGTTTATGTAATGTTGAAGCAATTGCTGAAACGGGCGTTCAGCAATATTGCGAAGGTGAAGTTTGATATGTTAGCGTTGCAGCAATATTATGACATGTTGCTGTGACATTGCTAGAACGTTACATTTACAAATTTACATTTGTAATATTGCTGAACGTGCGTTTCAGTAATTGCTACAACCTTGCATCACCATAGCTTCCAAATTTGCTTAGTCGTAGGACTAAGGTATGACGTTGTTTCTTCTTGCAATCTGATTGGTTGGGCTAGGAAGAATGCGGTTGTCGTATTTAAAGATTCAGGCTAACACTCCGAAATATCAATATACAGTTTGGTCAAAATTTCACTAGAATCGGACGAGAATTTAAAAAGCTACAGGGTGATCAATATGGCCAAGTTCTTTGCTGGCCGATGAGTGTGTTACTCGAAATATATTTCTGGAAATTACTGTGAAAGCCTTTTTGGAAATATATTTCGTGTGTGAATAAAATGAATTATTAATTAACTATATTATACCTATCAACATCTTCTTCAGTGATGTCCATCATGGATTTTAACCATCCCATGCCAGCATTATTCACCAATAAATCGATTGGACCACAATTCTTGAGAACACCTTCTGTTTTACTCCAATTGGCGATATCCAATTGGATAGTTTCGATGTTGGGATCCTCCTTTTTCAGAGAATCTTCGGTGAAATACAGAATATTATCAAGTTGGTAGAATTCAAAAAATTAAGTAATACGACATTGACTGACCTAGTTGATCTTTGGTTCTTCCAACTGCAATAACTTTCGCTCCACATTTAGAAAGCTGAAGGGCGATATCTCTCCCAATGCCTTGATGAAAATATAATAATAAAAATAGTTATTTATTATACATGCAGGGGGAAAATAGTAGATTTTAGCTCCAGATAAAAAACCGTGAGCTAAAATCTGATATATTTATCTCGTGTGTAATACACTATTTTTTTTCTGTGACAGCAAAAAGGACGAATCACTATTAGAAGATATTGCATTATATTGAAATCAGAAAATTATTGACGTGAAATTTGAAGTTTTTAACAGTAATGACACCGGCGTTGAAGGCATCTTTATCATTCTTTTGAAGTAATCAAATATATATTATCTGTCAGTAAGATTATGTGATTTGATTTTGATAAATTGCGAATTTAGTGCTTGTTTAGTAATATACGTAACCGCGAAGTCGAATGGAAGATAAAATGACTTCGCAGTTCTTTCTCGGAGACGGTGTTATTGGCTTGACAAAAGCCATCAACATCAGGGCATATATACAAGGTGTTATTTATGTATGTGGCCAAACTCTTCAAGGGGTGATTATCAGGGTGATTCTGAGATGGAAAGTTTATGTAAACATAGGTGCTGAAATGCTTCGTTTTCAAGATACAGGGTGTCAAAGTTTCAATAGGAAATCTTTTTTTTTTATTAATTAGTGAAAATTCTGGTTTTCAATTTCGATAGAACTCAGTGATTTTGTTGACTATATCAAGAATCTTTTGTTGGTGCTGGTAATCAGATTCGAAATAATGATTCCAGGGCGTCATAGATTTTTTAGATATTTTTATCAAATTGTACTATTGAAAATACAACTTTCTTGTCCCCAATTGAATTAAGGTATATTATTTTTTTTTTCCTGAGGAAATAACGAGAAAGCAAATTGATTCCAAATTCTAATCTAGAACACTCATTTGGATTACCCAATAATCTCAATGAGTAGTATTCTTCTGCAATTTTGCGACTTTCTCAGCCACCAACCAGACTAAATTCTGCAATGATGAAAGCTTACACAGTGTAATCATAAAATACACGAATCAATACTTCCAACTTCCAACTTCAACACTCTGTATTTCAAAAACGAAGCATTTCAGGACTTGTGTTTATACATTGTGTATGAACTTTTCGTCTTAGAATCACCCTTGAGGTGTGGCCTCATACTCAAATAACACCCTGTATATATGTCATATATATCCGGGAAAAAAGTAATCCATGAAGAGTGACATTTTATGATCTGTCAACAGAGATGAAATGACAAATATTTTTTCCAGTCACAGATGAAAAATAGTTCATTTGAATATGCAGATCTTCAATTAACACAGTATTTGGAGTATTAATTACCTACAATATTTCAAAGTATTTATATCTTATTGTATTGCAGTTATGTTTTTCATGAGTAAGCTCTTCATTTATTCCCTAAATACAATTATTTTTGTATACGGCTATAACATGAAATTGCTCTCTTGTAAAAGGCTGCGACACAATTGAAGTTTTATGTTATTAGTGTTGAAAGTTTTACCGTACGATTGAATTTTGTGATAGGCATTGGAATATACGCGAAAGGAATTGATTATCATTCTGAACAGAGTGTTCACCAAAAAACGGGTGTGTTGTTTTGGTGTTTAGTGCTGTGGAAAATTTCAAACAATGAAATAGCAGAAGTGGACTCTTTTATACAAATTCATTTTGTTTTCACGCTAGCGAGTGTCTTTTTATTCATTATTTTATTGTACCGTCCTTTTCTCCTTTGCTTTTCTAGCTATATTTCTGAAATTTAAAGCATCGAATATGCTCACTAGAGGGTCCTTTTTCACATTCTAGGTTTTTTTTTCATCATCCGGTTTTCCTGGAAATGACATTAACTTTTGATTTTCAAATGGGACAGCCTGTATTTTTTCCATAATCGGTTGGGGATTATCATAACGAATTCAACGATACCGGGTTTGATTGGGATATTACGAACGATTTCAAGATTCAGAATTCTGATCACCCTGCATCTGTTCCAACTACATGTCTGTAAATAGTAAATCAGTGTCAGTTGTTGTTGAAAATATTTTAAAACGATGTCCTCCTCAAAAATATAGCTGATGTGTTTCAGCGTTTTTATATAATCCGGTTCTGTCGACCTAAAGATCCGCTGTTTCGTTTCCACTGCCCCACCCTGTATATTCTCAAATGTGATATTTTTTTGATCAAAAATTGTTTGCCTGTATGTCACTATTGTGAATTGTTTCTCGACTTGTATATGAGAAGCGTTATATTTCTCCACTACATATACTGTCCGGTTGAATTCTTTCATATCACGAGAGATTTTTGTAAAAGATATATTATCAGCCTGTGATGAATTCTTTCATAATATCTTGGGAGATTTTCTCAAAAAATAATCCACCACTCTTCGTGCTCAATTCTTCATCTGGTATTTAGTTTACTATACATTTCGAATATATTTAACCATATAAAATATTATACAAAGTGTTACGAACTTTGAGATATCTCCGTTTGGTCGAACATTTCATCATATTGTATTTTTTTCTTTTTCAAGAGTTGGATACGATTTTCATAGATATTGAACTAGTAATGGGATACAAATGTGAATTTCGAAAACGAGTTCCTGTAACATACAACTTCGTATTTATTACAGAAAAGATTTCTTTGAAAATGAAACACTTTGTATAACAGAAAATAAGTTTAAATATTTTCAGAATCACATCACATACCACCCAGATATACGTCGGTGAACCAAACACCCTGAATATAATTTTCCCCCGTATAATTTCATTATCATCATTAGTCATAGACTCGGTCATAGATGAATCATTTGTTCAGAAATTAATCGGTTAGCAACATGATTCAATTTATTAGTCATTCATTCGGGATCAGTGGTTGATCAAGACAGTCTCATATTAGATTTCATCACAAACGGTCGAATTTTATGACAGGCATTGAAAAATACGCGAAAGGAATAATTAATAATCATTCCAAACAGAGTGTTCACTAAAAAAATAGTGATAGTATCGTGTTTTTGTGTTTCTCATTCGAATCATTGATCACATGATAGCGATTGTGTGGTGTTTTGGAAGTGGACTATTTTATAGAAATTCATTTTGTTTTCACACTGGTGAGTGTTATCTTCATTATTTTATTATGAGTGATATACTGACACAGAGGCATGGTATAACCCCATTTCTCCTTTCTTTTTCTAGCTATATTCCTGAAATTTGAAAAATCGAATATGCTCACTAGAGGGCACCTTATCACATTTTAGGATTTTTTTTTCATCGTCCAGTTTCCCTGTTTTCACGGTGAGCGTTAATTAGACGGATCTGAAAATTTGATTATATTTATGAATTTACATGATCTACACGTCTTATAAATTTTTTACGATGCAGCGTTGCCGCTTTTACTAGAAGGTAGCAGCAACTTCGAATTTTCAAATGGAACACCCTGTATTGCATTTTTATATTCTCCATGTGGATCTTATTTCATCAATGCATCACTCTTGAGGTCTAGCGGGGATGATTACAGAGATATAGAGTGTTCAAAATCGAGATTCCTCAATTTTAAGATTATTTTGTGTCAAAACGGCTTCCGTGTCCCTGTCTTAATTTTGGATTCACTATTTACTGACATTTAATTGAAACAGATACAGGGTGATCAGAATTCTGAATCTTAAACCACCCTGTATTTTTTCCAATTTAATGTCAGTGGATAGAGGATCAATAGTTATGAAAGGAACACGAAAGCCGTTTTGACCGATAATGAATAGTTTCGACACAAAAATATCCTAACATTGAAAAGTCTTTATTTAAAACACCCTATATCTTTGTGATCACCCTTGCTAGACTCCAAGTGCGATACATTGATGATATCTGATCTTCAGGGATGATCTAAAAATGCAATGAAAAATCATAGTTGCTGCTACTTCCTAGTAGGAGCGGCAACGGAGCATCGATTGAAATATTGTATACGTTTAGATCATGCCAATGTTTACATATCATCAAATTTTCATATTGATATTTTGCTTGGTTTGCCAGATACGTCTGATTAACCCTCATCGTGAAAAACCCTGTATATATTTCTCCCCCGTATAATTTTATCATGATCATCAGTCATAGATGAAATTGATCGGTTAGTAGCATAATTCAACCTATAACTTATTCATTCGGGACCAGTGGTGAATCAAGACAATCCCATATTAGATGTCATCACGTACGGTCGAATTTTGTGATATTGAAAAATACACGGAAGGAATTGATTATCCTCGTAATTGTCATTCCCAACGGATTGTTTACTGAGAAATGAGTATACAGTGCTTTCCCAAAGTACTCAATGAATTCTTTTTTCGTCGACTTCTACAAAAAATCACATGTTACCTTCTAATTTCCGAACGAAACACAGACTTTTTCCGAAGGCAAGTACTTTTCGTCCGCAAACACTAGTTGTCCGCTGCAGGGTTGCCAATTCTACTGAATTTTCAGTAAATTTACTGATTTGCATATTGATCTGCTGATCTACTGGAACATTTCATAACCTACTGATAAATATTTTGACACTTATTTATTATAATTATAATTATCTATATTATTATTGATTTTAGTAATCACTTATACTTATAAATTGCATGATATTTCGGCAGGCTCTGTTTAAATTAATTTTACAAAATGAGTAATAAATGTACATAAAGGTACTAAAAGTAATGATAAATATGTATAAATCAGAAAAGGACAATACTTCATCTGATTCAGATCAAATTCAATTATTTATATACCTTCGTTATAACAGTTTGTTTTTTACGTTTATTTTTTGTATTTTTTTTTTTTTTTTTTTTTTTTTTTATCGATTGGAGCGCACGAAAGGGAATCCCTATAATGTTCAAAGAACATCGTGCGTTCCTAGGGAGGATAGGGACAGGAGGTAGGTATTGGAATTTTTTTTGAATTTTTGGAGATTATATGTTGTTGGGAATACTTCCACAGGCAATGAATTCCAGAGCCTAGCCGTTCTATGGATGAAGGAGTCTTGATAAAGTGCTGTTCGACATCTTT